CGCCCCTCGGCGGCCCCCGCCCTAGCCCCTGGGGACCCACACCGTGTAACCCCGGAGTGGCGCTGACGGCCACTGGCGGTATCGCCCACGGGTGGTGATGCTGGGGGTGATGGGGATAGGGGTGCAAGTGCTGCGGCTGCTGCAGCGACGGCGGCCCTTGCAAGAAGTGTTGTTGTTGTTGTTGTTGTTGTTGTTGGTGGTGGTGGTATTGCTGATGTTTGTATCCGGTTGTCTGTTGCGGGAGGGTGAGGTGTGGTCGCCACTCGCGGGCAGGTGTGGGTGTGGGTGTGGAGCCCGGGTGGGGAGACTTCGGGGGCTGTGGAGGAGGGGGCATGAGGCGGGTTCCGGAGCTGAGGGGGGCCGAGGGGCTGTCGGTCGTGTGGGTGTGACCGGGTGGGGGTTGTTGAGTCACTGGGTAGGGTCCACAGGGCGGCGGCTGGTACGGGTAATGGTGCTGCTGCTGCTGCTGCTGGTGTTGCTGCTGCTGGTTCTGCGGGTAATGCCGGTGGTGATGGTGGTGTAGGTCAGGTCGGTTGTCTGGTTGACCACCACCGCCACCTGCGGGGCAGGGCACTGGGGTAAGCCAGCAGCCAGATGTGCCGCCGCCGCCGCAGCCACAGCAGCAGCAGCCGAGGTGTGCGCGGGCCGTGTACATGGGGGGTTGGGGGCGGGGTCGGGGGCAAGGGGGAGGGGCTGCTGGAGGTCCCCTTGCATAGCGCTACTCACAAACACGGGCACCAGTCCACCATCTACCCCCCCCCCGCACACACACACACGCCGGGGGATGAGTGGCCGCATACGGATCCCCCTTCCTGCCAGTCCCCCGGGGGCGGGGGAGCGGGGGAATGACGAACCACACACGATTGAAGCGGGGGAGCGGGGGAAGCAGGGGAAAAGACAAACCACGAGCGAGTGAAGGAGCGGGGGAAGCGGGGGGAGGGGCCCTCCGGGAATCCCGAACTTCCAAAACTTTATCGTGTTGCGCGGACCTCCCCCTCCCGCACCTCCCTCAGAGTGCCCCTCCCTGTCACCCGCACCTCCAGCTAGTCCACCAGCACCGCCTCCCACCTCCAGCTGGCCCTCGGGCGACTTTACGACTGCCACTGTCCGCCCTAAATCCCCTCCACCGCCACCACCATCACCACCGCTGCTTCCATAGCTGCCCCCTCCAGCGACTCCTGCCATTCGCGTGGGTGGGTTCCCGGGCTCCGATTGCTCCTGCTGGTGGTGGTGGAGGTGGTGGAGGTGATGCTGCTGCTGCCGGCCGCTCGCGGGTTCCGTGACGAGCAGGGAGGTCATCAGGTGCACGGGCACCGCCACACCGCCATCGGGCTCACGGCGATGGGCTGTTGCTGCGGCCGCCGCGGCGGGCAGGTGCGCGGCGCCGTTGACGTCGCCGTTGGTCGTAGCTGTATTGCTGTTATTGGTGTTATTATTGGTGCTGGTAAATTGCTGTTGTACCGGGGTTGCGTCCAGCAGCATGAACCTCCTGGTGTAGGGGGGAAGTGGGGTTGGGTGATGTGGCTCTGGGTTAGCTGGCCCTGGTTTGCTTGGTGCTCGCTCCCCCTCTTTCTTCTTCTTCTTTGGCACAGAGAACGGAAAAGGGGAAAGGGACCCCGCTGGGCGACTGAGGTGGTGGTGGTGGTGGTGGTGGTGGTGGTGGTAGGCGCAGTCACATGCTGCCACTACCCACCTGACTGTTGGCCCGCTGTAACGCTGCTTGCTCGCTCACCCCCTCACTCCCTTCCTCAGTGGCCCTTACCCCTCATCATCACATTTCTCGTCTCCTCTCCCTCACACTCCGCCCCCTGGGCCCCTAGCCACCGCCAGTTGACCCGCGGGCGGGGATAGTGACCGGGAGGGAGGGCGGGAGTGCAGTCGGACCCAAACTCAGACGTGTTCACATCCCCCCTCACAAGGCCACCAAGCCACCTACACAAACTCGCTCCCTGAGGCCGCCCACTCGCTCACCGTGTGTCATGGATACCAGGAGGCTCCTGCTGCTGCTGCTGCTGCTGCACTTGATGTGGTCCGCCCTGCGGGTGCTGGTGCTCTAGTTGGTGCTGTAGCTCGTACGGCAACTCGTAGCGGTCGGGGAATATGTCCTGTGTCAATGGCTGTAGCTGCATGGACCGGTTCTGTTGCTGTTGCTGTAGCTGCTGCTGCTGAAGCTGCCGGGTCAGGTCACGCAGGAAATCAGGTGCAGGGGGGCTCACCCACACACGTTTGGGTGCCGGGCTGCTGCTGCCGGAACCGTTACCACCCCCACCCCGCCTGGAAGCACCCAGCACCAGTTCCGGCTGTGGCTGCTTGTGGTGGTTGAGGGGATGATTCGCTTCAGTCAAAAAGTCCGTACGAACGTCGTACCGCGGCGAGCGGGCGCCGTTTGTGGTGTCCGCATGGTGTATGTCAGTTGCATCTGTGGATTGTACGGGAAAGCGGCGGGCAGGGGTTGGAGCTCAGAAGGGCACAAGTAGCGGGCAGCGGAATCATTAAGCTTTTCTGCGGGTTGAGGCCTTAATGATCAAAAGCAGTTACATAGGTTCTTCGCCCAGCTGCGGGTCTCCCTCTTCGTACTGCACCACGTTGCCTAAGGCAGATGGCCAGGCGCAAGCATCCGCCGAAGCTGTGGCAAGGCAAGCACGCACATGGCATGAGAACCGCGGCAAGCGACTCCGTGTGGGGATGTAGGCGCACAGGAACACTGAAGGACGTATCCGTGCTCTGCCCGGCCTCAGTCGCCAAGCTAAGCCTCAGCGATGTCTTCCGTCGTTCCTCCATTCACGTTATACGACGAAATGTTGAATGTACCGCAAGCTTTAGGCACATCCAGCACAGACATACAACGAAGCTCAGAGTCTAGCTGGACGGTAGGTCGACTAAGGTATAGACAGCATCATAGGACGGCAATATAGTCATTTGCTAACAAAGCAACCTCCCAAGCCTCAGTGCTTCCTTTTGCGACGCCGCGTTGTAGGCGCTGATCCCTCTCGCGACAGAACCCTCTGCGCGCTTTACAATACCCGGAGCTGCATCTCGCATCGATGTAAATGCTAGCATATAAGCATGGACAATTGTGCGTTTCGGCAGCGATCCATGCAGTATTGCTCCAATTCGTCACCTAGACTCAGAAACCATTTTCTGCAGGAGATGTATTTCTAGCGCATAAGCAATGAGTTCTAATAAAGCCAAGCGAATATATTATGACACTGAAGGAGCATAAGGGCGATGCACTCCAAGGGCGAGAGCCAAAAGGCAACAGTTGTCGTGGAGTATGCATCCCTATCGCGCAACCGCAGTACAGGTCATACATGCAACGGCTACATGCTTATGTGTAGAAGAAATTGAGTATATTGCATTGCCATTTCGTGAATAATCCGCCTGATCATGATCCAGGCGAAGCTGAGTTCGTGTGCAGCGAAACCATCCGCTTGCATGCTCTAGGTAAACATCACAATTTAAGTTTTACAAGCATATCTGGCAACATGGCCGCCAGCCGAGCTTTGGGCCGTGCGTTCCTGGCTGCCGGCGGGACTATGGTCTTCCTAATGGGTGCGACTGCGGTGGTCAGCGGGGCATCAATGGCAGTCGTCAAAGCAGTTCTGGACCGCCAAAAGGTAGCCATTCGGTTAGTCTTTTTGTCCGTTTGTATTCTTCCACAACTTTCTCAACTGCCTTTGCAGGCAAAGGCCCAAGTGCCATGTACTATATGCTCCTCGAAACGTCGTGTAATTTGTGAGGTCTGCGAAGGTGGGCTCTTGTGTACTATCGCGGGTGTTACGCGAACCTCGAACACTGCAGCGGACGTATCAACTCCTAACCGCTGAGCAACTGTTGGCTTCCCGGACGTTGCAACTCTTAAACACTTCACGCTTTCAGGTGAACGCATAATCAAGTACTGGCCAACCCCGGATCCCCCGCCAACGACTTCGCACGCATGGAGTGTCTGTGCAATGTGCGAAGGTGCCGGCGACCATGCATGCATCAATTGTGTTGGCACAGGGCAAGTTAACCTGCCTTCGTGGGAACTCGAGGGCAGCCAACTTACCGACATGCTGGTTGGTCCGACGTCACCGTAATCGGTGTTCAGGTTGGGCTCGCTCCTGTGCTCGACGGCGGAACTGCTGGTTGTTGCGGGGGATGACGGAGTGGGACTGCCGTCGTTTTGTACTGCGAAATCCTGCATGGCAGTATGGCAGTCCGTTGCTGGTGTGGTGCCGACGCGTGTTTTCGGATGTGCGGGCGCGGTGAGATTGCAGGAAGCCTTAATCCCTTACAGGATCAGAGCAACCGGGAGCCTTTCTCTAGCATAAGGAGTTGTCGGAATCGCAGTGGATCGCTCTCACCCCCACCTCCCAACGGTTCGACGCAGTCCGCTGGTCGCGTCCCGCTCCCTCATTATCACCTGGCGTGCTGTACTTAGGGCTGTACAGACTGCCATGCGGTACTGGGGCCGTACGCAGATCTTCAGAGGTGCAGTTAGATGCAGGCCTGCAGCGGTCTCGGAGCTGTCAAGATACGTAGTGAAGAAGAAGTGCCAAAAGAACAAAAGCTTAACAAGCGGCGGCGGTGTGTAACGGCTGTGGGAAGGAAAGTTGAGCTGTACTACGACATGCGACACGTCTCGCCAGCAGCGGCTAGGGAGGCATGCCAGCAGCGGCCGGCTGATGATGTTGGTTAACCCCTTGGATCAGGAGATGCACACTTATGAACACACGCACACGCATCCCGCCGCTGGTCCCCCCACCCGGGTGAAATAGTTCGCGCGGTGTCGAATGCTGCTGGAGCCACCGGGGTCCTCCAGTGCGCCGGGCGGCAGGAGGGAGGAGTGGGAGCCCGATACGAGGACCTATACACTGCCGCGGAACAGTGGCGGAGGAGGAATAACTCTGCACACGGCCTGGACCAGACTGTATACCAGATGGTGGTTGGATAACGAAACCGGGCGGCGGCAGGATTCGCATGGATAGGGTGGCGATTGGGACTGATGTGAGTGCATTGGTAGATCGCGCAGCTGTAGAGGATGCCCTCGGTGGAACGGAGGTTGCTTGGCATCTGAGCTACTGGCGTATGTAGCTGGCTATTAGGATTCGAACAGACGACGGCGCCTTGCGTTGATAAGGGTGAGCGGATGCTTTTTGTTGGACAATAGAACCCTCTTCAGCTGAAGCTGAGTGCTTCGGTGATCTCCCTGTGGGTACGGTTGCGTGCCCCGGTCGGTGTCGGCGCAGTTCATATGGTTCTGACAGTCTGTGCGCTGGCTGGATTGTGCGTGTCTCCTTCCCATCAGTTAAGTTCAACGGTGCTGTCCGCGAATCAATTAACTTGGCGCACTGGGGCAGAATATGGTTCGGCTAAGGGTTCCCTTCCTTCACATCTGCATTCACGCACCATTGATACTGATCAATACGTTTGCCTTCAGTGTGGATACTCAAATTACACGTGCAGTAAAACTGGTATAATTATGCAGCTTTATGCAGGCCCGCAACTGGTGGTGCTTTTGTGTAGAAACTAGATCGTTAGCGGCGGCTGTGTCCGCAAGTCTTCCGATACCCTGGAGGCGAGATTGTAGAAGATATTGCGTGGATGGGGTAAAGTCTGAAAGGGTTTGGTTTGGTTTGGGGTTACATGCCTACATGTTCAGCCTATAGCCAGGAGGCGTCAGTTATATGAAACGATCAGAACGTAGCATGACCCTAACGTGATCATAATGTTCGGGATCGAGCAGGGTCTTTTCCTAACGCACCGGATTGTTCCTTGCGTGCAACCGTCGCCGCAAACACGCAGAACTTAGAAACCATTCCCATTATCAAAAACGACAACTCGCAGCTACGCCTAATACACCAAAAGCCACGGTAGCAAGGAGCAATGGGGCAAACAAATTACAAGGCCGAATGGATGAAATAGTATTCGGAGCCCTTTGACCGTACAGAATCAATACAGCGAAGATTCGGGACGCTGACTGTACAGGCATGAACAGCTGATTTCTGAGCCACCCATCAGAGCCAAAGGATTCGTAAATGTTAAGCTCAGCTATGCAGATAGGCGAGGCCCAGCGAGTAGGAAAGTTGAGGCCCACAATCTTTGGGACGTATGTTCCTTAATTAGCAGCTCTCAAGAGTACATGAGTCTATAACTATTGTATCATTGCTTTGAAGAAACCGTGGTGAATCCAAAAGGTCCAAAGATTCGGACGAGACGGACTCAGATTTGGAATCAGGACGAGCACCCATGCTTCTCGCGTAACCATCAGCATTCAAACACTACCTTTATAGAAACAGTTGACATGATTGTTCACTCATATCGTATACACCAGCTACAAATACTTGTTAGTGAAATTTCAACAACATTATCATGACCTGCCACGGAGCTCCCCAACTATGAGCTGGCTCTTATGTTGTGTGAATCCCGAAGCGTCGGGTGAAGCTCGCGCTGCACAGGAGTACGCCAAAGGACTTGCGAAACCCGGTTCTCCGAGCAAGACAACGACTGGCAACTCATTGTCCGTACGTCTCACGCCGTCACTTGATGAAGAAGAAGAAACCTCAAAGCGGGCACCATTTGTGCACGTATCATCCTCGAGGGTGCGCAAAGCTTCACAGCATGGCTTGCGACTTTCTGAGGACACGGTCGTCAGCGCTCTCTCTTCAACTCCAACAAGCCTTAACCCGCTAGCATATGTGTTTCCATTTGCCAACGATGACAACGAGGATTTCAGCATGGGGACTACTCGTGAAGAGTCCGACGCCCTGGGTAGCAATGCCGCGCCGCAAACTCGTAGCAAAGTGGACTTGGCAGACCTTTGCGGTTCCTTAGAAAATTTGGTCTACGTGGGAGAGGTGAGCAGCTTGGGCACAAATACCAACCAAATAATTTCCTTTCGTCGTTACGAGCCTTTTTCTACCTTGCTTCCCATAAATGTCCAGGGCTCTAACGGTGTTGTGTATTCAGCATTCTGGCATGGTGCACGGGTGGCTGTCAAGGTATGTTTATACAGATGTGCCTCTTTTCAATTACGGTTCCTCTAGCCGAGTTAGGTACTTTCACTCCAGACATCTCGGCTTCCTCTACAGCCCCGGCTTGCAACTGTATGGGCAACTGTTTCTGTATAGCGAATTGCCGAACTTGCAGAAGCCCAGACATCCCTTGTACCTAAATTGCATGTCACGAGATGAAGTAGCCGTCGGTTTAACAAACCAGCGGCACGACCACCCATCGCTCCTACCCGCCCCACCGCCCCACTTCCATCCTCTTCACCTTCCCTAACCCACCCTCCACTCTAGCAGTTTGCAGTTTCGACTTAGGCAATTTGTTTCCTTTTTTTTGCTTATGACACCCCCATTTTCGCCCTTTCATCTCCCTTTTCCTGGCTTTGCTCTTTCCAAGTTTCTTCTGGGTAACCGCAACGACAACACCCACTTGCAGCGCTGCCTGACCGAGGCGGTGCTAACTCGGGTGCTGAGTCACCCTTGCGTCGTACAGTGCTTCGCCACCGCTAATGCGCAGCTCACCCCCGAGGTATGGGTGGCCATACGGTCGCGGTGCCGCCGCCACAAGTCCCTGCTCAAGAGCTCCTCCCTTGGCCGCTCAATGGAGGCTGCCGTTCTGGAACAACAACAACAAGAACAGCAGCAGCAGCAAGGACCTCCGCGACTCACATCGCCTCATCATCATCAGCAGCAGCAACAGCTTTGTCCCCCGCAGCGGCTGTCGTCCTCCCAATCGCTGTCCCGCTCGCACCGGTGGGCGCAGTCGGTGCTGCTGCTGCAGTCCCCGGACCGCGGGATGCCCACTCGCGGGCACCTGGGGCCGGTCACGGCAGCGACAGCGACAGCGGCAGGCCCTGAGTCGCCTCCCTCCAATCCCACAGAGCGAAACCAACAACAGCCGCCGCCGCAGCAGCAGCAGCAGGCGGCCCTCTTAGAGCTCAACACCAGCACCGCCAAGGACAACAGCAGCAGAATGTTGATGATGATGAGCGCCTTCGCTGCACCTGACGAGGAAATGGAGTCCCGTTCCCCACGCCCACCCCCGGCGGGAGGCAACCAGAACAAGACACAGTACGGCAACCGTAGCCAACAGCAACAACCTGAGGAGCAGCAAAGCATGCGGCAGCTTTCCGGGGTTGCCAGCTCCGCCGCGATTGGGGCGCCGCCGTGTGGATACGGCAGCTTGGAGGAGGTGGAGGGGCCTGAAGAGGGCTGCGAGGGTGATGATGAGGGTGAGGGTGATTGCGGCATCAGTTTCCTCCAGGCGCTTCAGATGTTGGCGGCGGATGCGGCCACGGGTCGCCACTGCACCCTGGTGGTCATGGAGTACATGGATGCAGGTATGTATTGTGTGTATATGTATGTATGTGTGTGTATGTATGTATGTATGTGCAGGAGCAGGAGGGAAGGGAGAAGATAGAGAGCGGCGGGAGCAGGAGAGGGCTGCCCCACGTAGTTGCGGGTTGGGTTGGGTTGGGGACCTTTAACAGCCTGGCGGGGAGGGGAGGGGTGCAGGGGGGGGGGAAGGGGAGTGCTGCTAAGGTATCTGGTAAGTAGCAGCAGCAGCAGCAGCTGGGCAGGAACAGATAGACAGGCTGGCTGACTGATAGACAGACAGACAGACAGACAGGTCCCCTTGCCAGCCGGCTAGGACGTGGGCAGTCACAGATGTGGATACCCCCACCCTACCTCGGTGCCCCCCTCCCGGTGGGGAGGAGAGCGGAAGGTACGTCGCCATTCCCCGGAAGGTGCTCTGTTGCCGCTGCTCTACCTGCCAGTGCATTGTGTCGTGTGGGAGGGAAGGGGGGAGCTCCGTCGATCGCTGACCGCGCATTGATACCCCGCCCGCCCACCCACCTTACCTGTCCTCCCCCGCCCTCCGCCCCGCTCCACATCAGGCACCCTGCACCAGGCCATCACGCGAGGGGACTTCAGCGCCCGCAGGGCGGCAGACCAGCGACCCAAGCTGCTGGCGCTGCTGCTGACCGCCCAGGAGCTGGCGCAGGTGCGCGGTGGAGGGGAGAAGGGAAAACGGCTGCTGAGGCCCGGCAGGGGGCCAGGGTGATGAAGGGCCAGGGAGATGTCGAAAGGGCCTCCTCTAACGTGATGCACAGAGAGAACAGCTCTTTCCACTCTGCAGCTCGCTCCCTGGTCGCTGTTGCTCCTGTCCTCTTGTCCCGCACAACCCCTGCCATGCTGCATTGCTGCATCCAAGATCCATTGCTGCTCCCGAGGCAGATTGATTCCCAAGGCCGTCCTCCTCCCCTTTCCCCTCCCGCCCCCCCTCCCTCCCCTTCTCCCATTCCTTGCATCCATAGGGTATGGCCCACCTCCACGGCTTAGACATTCTGCACGGGGACCTCAAGCCCACCAACGTGCTGCTCAAGGGCTCCCCCTGCCAGTTCGCCGCCTGCACATCGTCATCGTCATCATCAGGGCCAGGGGGGCGGGGGGGAGGTCGCACCTGCACAGACCCCCGGGGCTACACCGCCAAGGTCGCTGACCTGGGCCTGGCTCGGCCCTGCAGCGGGGAGACGGTGGAGCTGTCCTCGGACGAGTGGGGTGAGTGCTGAGCTGCCGGGGGGGCAGAGAGCTGTGGCGAGGGGCAGGGGGCTAGGCGAGGGGCAGGGTGGGAAGGAGGAAGGCGGCCCCTTTTAGGGAGGGAGGGAGGGGGGCCATGTGATTACTTGCAGCGCCCGCTAGAGGTCCCCGCCGCCGCCACTGCGTGCGGCTGTCAGGCCTCCCCAGATGGACAAGGACCCTAACTTATCCCCGCACCTCCCCCATTCCCTTTTCGCTCCCCACAACCTCCCCCATTCCCTTTTCTCTCCCCACATACTCCCCCCCCTCGCCCTCTTCCCCCAGGTGCTCTGGCCTATCTGGCTCCTGAGGCGGCCAAAGGCAGCTGCTGCAAGGCGTCTGACGTGTACAGGTGCGTACGTGCGTGGGCGGGGAGAAGGGAGGGGGAGTGGCGGTCCCCAGGTTCACCTGCAACCCTGCCCACCGCAGACCCCAGCCCACCTCGTCAGCTTGACCCGGGGTTCACACTCTCCTTACCTTCCCTCCTGCCTTAGCCCTAGACCGCCTGCCGGGGGGAGGGCGTATTCCGGTGTATGCCCTCCCCCGCTCAGCCGTGGTGCTGCGCCGCAGCCACGTGTTTCGTAAATGTAGTTGTGTGTTTTAACCACCAGCCGTCACCCCCTTGCCCCGTCCCCGCCCCGCCGCTCTTCCTCGCTTTCCCTTGCTCCCCTGCAGCTTTGGTGTGATGCTGTGGGAGATGTCGGCTGGTGTTCGTCCGTATGTAGGCCTTACCACTCCACAGGTGCTGATGGGCCTTGTAACTGGGACCCTGCAGCTCACATGGCCCTCAGACGGCTCACTGTACGGCCCGCTCCGAAGCCTAGCTATTGCATGTACGGACTATAACCCCGCGGAGCGACCCACCTTTGAGGTGGCGGCGCGCATTCTAGGAAGAATGGTACGGCATATCCGGGGCGCCGCAGAACCTCTCCGTCAGCGGCACAGCTCCGCGCTATCCGTGGAAGCGGCGGCCGCCGCGGCGGCGGCTGTCGCGGCCGCCGGCAGGTCCCACTCGCCTGGCGGCGGCGGCGTCAGCGCTGCTGTCAAGTGCCCGCCGGATCACGCAAGCAGGTCGATGCCGATCTGCGTGCCCTTTGTCGGCGCTGCCACCTCCGCCGCCGGCGCTCTGAAGACCGGCCCCGCGGTCCCCCCGCTATCGCTGTTTGGTGGGACTGGGAATGCACGACCGAGTCCTCGTACGCCGCTGACGCCAGCGGCGATAAGCGCCACCTTCCTCGCGGTGTCGCAAGTGTACAGCGGCGGCGCGGCGGATATGGCAGAGCCGCCGCCATCGCCGCCACCACTGCGCCGCCATCAGCATCCACATCCCCACGCCGATCTTCGGCGCCTCCCTGCGGCTGCTTCCGCGTGCGACGGCGTGTGGAAGGCCAGCTCCCGCAGCACCCCCGGGGGAGGGGGCGACATTGCCACGCGGATGAGGGGCTTGCGCAGCGGCCCCTCGGGCCCCGCATCTCCGCCGGGCATTACCATCACCCCCACCGCCATCACCGCCTCTGGCACCTCCACACTGACCCACGCGACATCATCCGCCATCACTACAGCCGCCTCCGTCATCACCCCCACTGCCGCCACCGCCGCCGCCGAAAGCATCATCTGCTGATAGCCCCGCCCTGCCTGCCCTGCCCTGGTCAGCAGTCTCGAGGGCAGGCAGGCAATCCTGCATAGCGGCTGCTGGTTTTGAAAGATTTTGGATTGCAATGCTAACGCAATAAAAGACTGGAATGAAATTACGGGACTGTTTATTCGGTTTGGGTTTGGTCGGGTGTCCTTTGCTCGCTCGTGCCTCTCTCCTCCCCCCCGGGGCGGCACCACGGAAGTCCATCCCCCCCCCTGCGCCCTTTCCAACGGTATGGGCTGAACAGCCCCGGGGCCGGGGCCTCCCAGAACTGTACGAGTGCAGATATACATACACCTGTACTCGTGCTCCCATGTCCGCACTGGCGTACCTTGGTGTTTCGTTCTGGCGGCCGTCAGGGTGATGGTATAGGTCCCTTGCCCCGGGGGGAACATCCCCATCCCGTCCGGGGTTTAGGGGCCGGGCCGGCAGGAGATGGTGGTGGTGGTGGTAGTAGTGATGATCGCAGTGATGGAAGGGAATATTAGGGGCCTTAAGCTGGGGCAGGAGGAGGGCAGAGAGTGAGGGAGGGAGGTGTCGGGCGGGGCGGTTTGTCCAGCGGTACGTGTATGTGTGTATGTATGTGTTGTGTTGGGGGCCCCGGGGGGGGGATTTGAGTGCCCCCCGAGGCGACACACACATTGGCGCCTGGGGCCTGTTAATGGGAGGGAGGGAAGGAAGTATGGTGGCACCTTCTCCTTCCTTGGAGGGTCCCTGTTCCTCGTCCCACTCGCCCGCCGCCCGGTCCTTCACCCCAGCTCCTCGCCAGCCTGGCAGTGCTTTCAGTTCTGTGTCGTATAGTCGTTTGTTGGTGGTTGGGGGATTTCTTTCTCTCAGATGTTTTGGAACGCGGGACTGGACTTTTGTAGATTTGAACTGGGCGACATGAGTGACACATGGTATATATATAGATACATATACCATGGTATATTTATGTATGCATGGGTCTGCAGCTGAAAATGCTGTCATTAGTTGGTTTGTCCGTTTGTTCGTTAGGCGGCTGTTGTCTTGGTTACGACCTGGACTTTTTTTTGTATATTAATGTTGCGCTACTGGGGAGGGGGGTTGAATTGAAGCAACCGTGCACAAGAGCACTTATCCGCCAACATCATCAGCATCATCGTCATTTTGTGCCACCTGTATTTATTAGTGAGGAGGTCCCTTACCCCCATGCACTCTCGCTCGCTCGCTCATTATCACCGCACTGCACCAAACCCCGTCATGCCCTTCCCAGCGCCTCCCCTGCCCGCCGCTGTCCCAGCAACCCCCAATCCACCTTTCCCTTTTTTACCCTGGTTCACTGGAGGGAGGAGGAGGTGGGGGCGACGAGGGGATTTTTATTCTTCGAGCATGATCTCCGTTTGTCCTCAGCTTATGTCACCTGGTTTGTTTGTCGTGGTTCGTCGTTCGACCTTCGCCTTCACCTGTGGTGGTGATGGTGGTGGTGCATTGGGGACGGGGCCGGTGGGGGCTTTGCTTAACCCAAGTAGAAGAAAACTTTTGAGCATTTTGCAATGCCGTACAATAATCCAATAGCAACCACAACATGAAGCATACATCATCAGACTGTCGAAATGTGGCGGCGGCCGGGGTGGATACGGCCCTCCCTGCCATCCGCGTTGCGTGATGGCCCTGGTCGAATATCCAGGTCCAGATTTTGGTTGTGTGCTGGTGGTGGGTTGGTAGGTGGTGGAATATCGTTCGTTGCCTCCTCTTTACTTGGGGGCCGTTGGTATATGAGGCCTTTCTGATGACATCTGGATCGCTTCCCTGCGCCCTCGGGGACTTTCCAGGTGGCCAGGTGTCAGGTGAATTCCCCCTTTCGGGAATTCCCCCCTGCTTTTCTGTCCGTAAGTTACCAACCGCAAGGACGTTTTGGAGCTATCTCAATGGTCCTTTTTTTCCTCTGACTCACGGAGGAGGGCGTTTCGTGCTGTTTCGACCGCCCTGCTGCGGACCGGACTTTGTTCGCGGTTGACCTTTTTAACGGGTTTGAATGGGGTTTTAATCAATCAAAGTTGCCAAAACATGCAGGGCAGGGATGGGGAGATTTGTTAGTTAGGGGAAGCTGATGGCGCCACCAATCACAGCCACAGGATGCGGTGGTGTGTTGAGGACGCCGGGTGGCCCCTTTTCGGATTCAGCTCTCGGTGGGTTTGTGTGTTTGGGGGGGACTTAGAGAAGCCGAAGGTCGGGCGAGAAGGGTCGCTTCCCCCAGTAGTGGGCAGCAGCTAAACAGCGCAGCTAAACACCCCTTCCTCCCTCGAGGAGGAGTGGATGACGCCTTTTTTGTTGAGCTTTGGAGCCCACACACATCAATTTTGTGGCATCACGACGTACCTGCGATGCCCTCCTGGTCCAGAGAAACGCGTGTGTGTGGGTAAAATGAATGTCGTACTTTCTGTTGCTGTTTGATGCTGGTGATGATGACCATAATAATGGTGATGATGCAGTTTAGGAGGTAGCAGTGTGTGTAGGGTGTGGCTGGTGCTTAGCAGGGCGGACTTACCCTCCACCGCGAGCAGCTGGCCCCATTACGCTTGTGTATACGGCATGTCGTGTACGGATGTTGGATTCTGGATTCTGAAGCATTACGCCGTGCAGGTGCACTGCAATACAGGCTCCCCAGCATCTGATTGTGTTTAGCGTTTGGGAAACGTTGGAGCTGCTGTCCTGAAGGTGGCTGGATGAGCGGGCAGCATGTTGCGAGTGTACGGAACCCTGCTGCTGTGTTGCAGCTTGGGTGGACCACAACTTGCAGCGCAGCTGGAATATCCGGTATCTCTTAATTTGTTAATAGTATCTTGCGCTTCCCTGCTGCTTTTGAAATAATGCATGCTTGCAGCAGTTTTAAAAGCGCTCTGGATGGCAACGTGTCTGGCCGTGGTCTAAGGGTATTTTACACCAGAAAACGGAAACGGACCGTCTGGGCGACTTTCGGCTTGCTATACGAACGGGCTTGCTTTTTGCTCCCCCCTACTCATTCGTTCAGGAATGAATGTGTCGCTATGTGCGCGCGTATGTGCGTATATCTGCAGCCTCCCCCCTGACCCGATATGAGCTGCTGCGTTACAACCTCTGTTACTCTTGATTTTTGTGGCTCTTGACCCGCGGGTCGGCAGGGGACGCGGAGAGTGTCCCGGCGGCGGTCCGTGTATATCATGTGAGATGTGATTTTTCAGGTTGAGGAGTTACCATCTAAGGTAGTACGGAGGTATTACGGAGTTTAGCGCGCAGTGAAATGGCGATTGTTCGAAACCTTCCGTCGTTCGTCTGTTGCCATCAAATTCGCTCTCGGGGAGGAAACGCGTCTGTCGAAGGCCGGAACGGTCAAACATTGAAACCCAATAAGCCTGCATACGTATATGCGAGTATGCCTGAGTATTTTACGAACGCCGTTTGAATTTGAATCTGTATTCCGTCACTGTATTCCGTCGTAACATGAGTCAATTCTTACGGCATGGCATCGCATGCTGGCCATGGTCGTAGGAATGCGAGAGCAAACTATTCTACAGTGATGCTGATGTATGCAATGCAAGCTAGACCCTGATAGGACTTCCCTACCACTTGGTTGAGGGACGGGGTGTTGTCAGGTAGTTGTGAACTAGCTGCTTCTGCCTGGCGATGGCTGTACAGGGAAGACGACGTCTCGGAGGTTTATGTAACAATATGATCCATACACGAAGCCCGGGACTGAGTGTCTCGGGCGTGCCGCAAGGGGGTCTAAGTGCCCTGCATCCCTGGATCGTGTCGAGTGCGCAGCTCCTTCAATATAGGCACACGCAAAAGCGGACAGCAGCAGCGTTGGGCTGCCTGTCGCTTCACGGACAGACAGCACGTGGATTGCAATCGATTGTCAATCGCTGTCATCTGGGTTATACGTTGAGCGGGTTGTGCCGTCAACGCATAAGCCCTGCAGCCAGACACATGCGGCCGGTCGCATCCTCCTTTCTCGGCTGTGACGGACTCCGCCAAGAGTCACGGCTTGAATGCACTGCCAGCGGCACATAATACAAATAAACCTGCATATAAACCCGCGCGCGTCTGCGGCGATAACATTCTCCGAGCTCGGGCTTGAAGGCGGATGGCCCCGCACGCCGACTCAGCCACAGCACTTCATCACCACAGCACTGAGCATCGCGAAATTATCGCGCCGGTCTTTGGCGACCAGGAATGATAGCGCCCAGGTGCTAATTGGGCCCCTTTAGGAGAGGGCTACAACTGCCACCACTTTTTGTTCTTCTCTCGCTCAGCCAGCTGTCGGGCCATCTCCGCAAAGCCCGCCGCGGTGTTCTCCAGGTCGGCCGCCTTGTCATTGAGCTGCCGCAGTTTCTCCCCGCGCTCCTCCAACTTGCTGCGGTTCTGCTCCATCACCGACCGCACCTCGTTGGACCTTTATGGTGGACAAGAAAAAGGTATTGTTCCAACTATTGTTAGTTACCCAGAAACCAGACGAAGCAGACATCGCATGGCGTCCTCCAGCCTTACGCTGAAAAGCGACTGGAACGGTATCCAACTGACATCCATCCGCGGAAGCGAATCCTAGCCTGCAACGAAGCTAGGATCGTACCTCCTTGCCACACGCCGCAGGCGGTAACCAAGTCGCACCGCCCCAAGCAGGTATGCTCTAATTACAACAGAAACTCGTGACCCGGACAAACACAGGGCCCAGCGCCCCAAACCCGCACCCTCAAACCCGGAGCGACATGCCTGGCAGTAGCTGCGGAGGTAGGCCGACCGTACGCCCGTTTGATCTCATCTGCCGTACGTGCACGTGGCTGTGAGGTCCCGCTGGTGCCAGGAGGGCCGTGGCTCGGCCGGGAAGATCCCAAGCTAACGCCGCCGCCGCCACCGCCGCCGGCCGACACGTACGGGCGCGCGCCAGCTGGCCAAATATGATGCGTGAGGCCAACAGCGGACGTGGTGCAGGCAGGGGTTGAATTAGACAGGATAACGTTACGCAGGATTGATGTGGGAAGAACAAGGAGCCAAATATGGACCTCCATCCCATACCAGGGAACAGAGAAGACGGAGGGTTGCGGTTCGCGCCCCGAGGTATTGCTATATTCCTCCCCCCTAAAGTGAAGCGCTTTTAGCGACAAAAAACGTGTACCGCGCGGAAGGGCGCTGGGAGGACCATGCAATACTTTATGTCATCCCCATCCAACACGTTGTCCAGTCGTGAACCCCGTCCATCAAGTGTGCATCTTCTTGCTCAACGAGCCGACCAGTAAGTCGGTCAGGGTCATCCAATCAGACATCAGAACAACGCTGAAGTTCGGTTGAATGTCCCCCCGGACATCGGCGAGCTCAGCAATGGCGACGGACACCCCTCACACTCTCTCGGCCCCCTTCCCGCACCGAACAGCTCGTTGCGCAGGGAGCCCTCTTCGCCGCCGGCGCTATGGACTGCCGAGCTGGGCGACGGGTGCGGCCGTCGGGGCTGCCCACGCGCCGCCGCGGAGACCGCTGCCCCTGCTGCTGAGCCCGGAGGCTGCTGGGCAGGATGGCTTCGTGGCGGCAGTGGTGGCCCTGCGCCCCGGGGTGCCCCGCCGCCGCCATCACGCCGGCGGGCGGTAGCAGCCCGAGCTCCGCCCGCATCCTCGTCCTCGTCGTCCCTGGGGTTGCGGACGTTGGAAGGTGAGAGCACCCGGCCAGATGATCGCACTAGGTAGGGGATGGGTTATCACGACAGTTCACATTCAATTTGCACGGTCCGAGCGCTCTAGTAAAACGAACCGAATGGAGGCCCCAGGAGGTCAGGCTCACGGAAAAGCGGAAAAGGAAGGGACCTGAGCCACATCCTGGGAAAGGGGCGTGTAGAGGGCGTCGGGATGGGGTTTTGTTCGGAATGGCTGAGGGGCCAAAGGGAAGGGGCTTCGGTGAGGGCGCCTCTTTTCAACGCGAATGAGCATGATGGCGCAGACCTGAAGATGACGGCCAAGGCTATTGTGTGCCAACACGGGTGCGGGTTGTGCTGCAGATAAACCGGGGGACTCACGTTATTGTGAGGAAGCTGATGTCCTCTTCGTCGTCGCTCCCGGACGCATCCCCGTGCCCTGCCTGCCGCTGCTGGCGCCTCAGCCGGGCGACCGGCTCGTCGTCATCGGGGACGTTGCGGGAGAATATGGCACCCAGGTCGGGCTGCGAGGCGTACCACTCGGTGCTGTGGCCGCGGACGTCTACAAGGAAGGAGACACGTGAGGGCTGCCGTGGGGGGGAAGGTGCAGTGATGCGCGAGTATATATAGGATCATGGAAGCATAAGGCATCCACATGAAAAGTGTTAAGGCTCCACCCACGGATCATCTTGCCCCAGGCCACGTCCCACCATCTGAACATAGGCCCTGACCCCGTAGGCCACAGGGCGCTCCCGCTTCCTCCACCTTACCTAGTCCCAACATCCGACCCTACCACCGGCCCGGCCGCCTCACCGGCACACGTCCCAAGGCCGCCACCGCCTCCGTCCATCATGGTCGCCACCCCCTTCTCCACGTTGGTGGCCAGCTGCCGCACCCCCCGGGTGGTTTCCTCCACTGCCCGGCTGAGCCCCTGCTGCACCCGGGTGAACACACGGCTCAGCGCCACGTTGGCCTCCTTGGCAACATCCGCCACGCGACCCGCAGCGGCACGCTGCGCGGCCAGGGCGGCGTTGGCGTTGGCGGAGGGAAGCACTCGGTCCATTCGGTGGCCCTCCGTTCGGACAATGGGCGAGTCCATGCCTGGAGTCGGGCCATGGCCGCAAAAACGGGGGCAACGGGTTGCAGCGGGCCGGTGCCGGGTTGGATTTGGATGAGTTGGGATGAGTTGGAACGAGTTGGGGGAATACCTTGAGAGGGAAGGGCGTGAGCACGCGGACCCATACGGACCCATACGGTTATCTGGGTCCGTAAAATGCTGGTCTGACATATGGCTGTGAGGGGAGAGGGGCTTCAGAAGGTTTGCGTTTCGTGGTGGCGGTGGGTCCTGCCATATCGCGTGTGCCATAATGCTGTGTCCCAAGCCCCCACTTCCACCCACCTTCTATCATTTCGGACATGGCGGTGGATGTCGCTGCCTGCCCCTCCGTGCCCACGGCTGAAAACTCCCCTTGAAGCTGCCCTTGGGGACCCTGGCTCCCTGTCCGCCGCATCAGCCGGCCTCCTGCCGCTGCCAAGTGGTGCTCATCCTCAAAGGAAGCCGCGGCGGCCAGGGAGGCGGTGGCGGCAGCCGGATCAAACAGCGAGAGGGGCGGGATGGGACGAGGAAGACCTGCGGGGGTCGCAGTCGCATTGTCAGTGCCGGCATTAGAGGTGGCAATGAGGCTGGGAGAGGGCCATGAATGGGATGCTGATAACCATTCCAGCCCTCGTCCGCCTAGCTCCCTAGTCCCCTAAGGCCCCTCCGCCCCTCCGCAAGACGGGCTCCCTACCCGCAGCCAGACCCAACGCGAGCAGTTCGTTACTGAGGCCCAGCAGCAGCAGGTGGCCCAGGCGGCTGGTGGCGGCCAGGCGGCCCAGATGCCGTTCGTGGCCGGTAGGCACGTCCCAGTACCAGGACAGTGAGGAGGAGAGAGTCATCTCATGGATTAACTCCAGTGAGGGCAGGGAGTACACCTGCAGCGGAAAGAGAAACCCAAAGGATGAAAAGTTGAGACACCGGGCAACGACGATGGGACAGCTTACAGCAGTAGATGGTGGTGCAAGGAGTGGCAGCGTGAGAAGAGCGCTGTCGGAACGTGCAGGTGTACGGACTGCTCCAGACACTATGTCCTGTGTCAGGAGGAGGAAGGCCAAGCTGTGCTAGGTTGGCGCGCGAGTTTTAACGAGTAAATACAGAGGACGCAAGGGTCAAACGGCCAACGACGCGAGAACTTGAAAGGGGGCCGCACGACGTGCAACTCCACACAGCCGTACGTGAGATTACAATAGGGGCCCTATATGCTACGTCTCGTACCCCCAGCAGTCTAAAACTTTCCACATCACCGGCGCAAGTGGTGGTACTAGGCTGATCCGGACTACCCTTCCATCGTCGGCTCCATAATGCCGTGTCCGCATAACCCGAACAACCCCCGTCGCCCTATCCATATCGTGAGCTGGCTCCAATGTCCCTGTAACTTCCTCCTCCGCGCCTCTGCTTACGCGCACCGCATCGTCCCCCGCCCCCAGCCCTTACTCTACCCACCTGCGCACAGAGGCCATGCTCTGCCGCTGCCAGCGCCATGACGCCCGGCGCCCCCGCCACTTGGATGGGTCGCGCGTACACCAGTTGCTGCTGAGCCGCCGGGCTGCGTTTAGCCAACGTGGAGCGCTCCCCCGTCATCACATTGGACGCCGAGTACAGCCGCAGATACTGGTCCGTGACCTGGGGGGAACAGGAGCGGGGATGGGGTGTTTGGGCGCGTGTGAAAACTGCGAAAGCCATCAAGTGCCCATGGCCAAATGGCCAAGCACCCGGGTCGCCAATGGTCCCCAATACTGTGTTCGTAAGGACCTGAAGTGAAGAGGAGGGCCGGTTGAGCGAGCATGAGCTTAGAGGTGGAGGCCCGCGCTAACTGGGAGCTTAAGAGAGCTGCATATGGGCAGGCCCCGTGTTGATGGTGCTGTCCTTAAGGCCCCCAAGGGTCTTCCTTTTGCCCTCCAGGTGCGCGGGGCTGGGGAGACAGCTGGGGTGGTCCTCACTCACCAGGAGCATGTAGTGGGCAGCGGGGTCAGGACAAGAGGTCAGTATCGCCGGTGCGCCGGTGGCATCTGCATGCGGGGAGGAGGCAGACGGCAGCAGGGGTTGGATGGGGATATGGTGGGGGACTCCGACGGACAATTACCGCTGTCCACAGCAGGAACAGGAGGGCGTCACAACATACAAATGAGCACACGGCGACGTAGTGTCTTGAGCAAACGGGAAATGCTGCCGGTAAAGAGGAAAGCGCGGCGGTGAGCTAGGGGCGCTCCAGCAGGTTTGTGCACAAGACATCGCTTCCGCATGGACACCACAAATACTGCGCATGGATCGCACAACAGATAAGCCACAATCCTACCTTCCAAGTCGTTGACGCCCTGGCAGCCACGACGACGGTTGTGCTCGCGTGGTCGGATGTCCCCTCCGCTTCGCCGGCGGTGTGGAGAGTTCCGAGCTGCACGTCCACCCACCTGGACAGCAAACCACCCCGCGCGGGTCAGACAGGGACTGACCAGAAGTATGGGGCCCCGGGAAACTCGGCTAACGGCTCTCCAGCCGTTCGGAAGCATGCCCATGCACACTCCGAACACCACATCTACACAGCGGTGGCACCAAGTCAGGCACCCGCACGGCCATTGACCACCAACCGGCCAGTGCGTTGGCTGGTTGGCACACAGCAAGAGCAGCCACCGCGGGGGAACCGTGCGCTTGAGCACCTTTTATAAATCGCCTTCATTTCCTGCGGTTATCGCCCCACCCCGTCTTACACCGATATACGCTGCTGTACCTGCATCGCCGCCTTGGCTAGCAATGTGTCAACGTCCATCCCATCAATGTCCTCCGCCTCGCTATCCTCCTCGCTATTGCTATCATCGTCGCCGTCCATTTCGCCTGTCTTGCCGTGTCCCCGGCTACGGCGCAGTTCTCCATGCCGCGGTACGGATCCGTAATTTCCGTCGTCTCTGTCAGTGCCTCGGGCTTGGGTGCCACGGCCTGTGTGGCGTTGAAAGTCAAGGGGTCAGGGAAGTAGGTTTGGAGCGGTGAAGTACCCTCTAAATTTTGGTCAACGCGCTCCCGCGGTCCATCGTTGGCAACCCGAATTCTGAGTGTTCGAGCAACCCAAATCCCATCGTTGGCAACCCGAATTCTGAGTGTCAGCAAGTGAAAGCAGCCAGTAAGATGGCAAGGGCCCGCCACCGCCGACCGCCACCGGTTAACATACGGCAACACACAAGACAGCAAAGCAGCAAAGCGTGGGTCAAACCCGGTGTTGATATATTTGGAAGAGTATTGTAAATCCTTTAAGTAGGCAAGCAGACTACCACTCCCTGCGAAGCGACTCGGGACTGGCACCCACCCTACCCTTAGATGACCCCGACGTGCAGCCGCCCAGCGCCGCCTGGTCGCATCCCGCGCCAACCTGTCGCCGGGACCAGATGGGCATGAAGCTCTCGTCCAGGAGCTCCAACATAAGCGTGTAGCTGTGGTTCTTGGGAGTCAGTTCGCCATTGCGGCCGATAAAGCAGCCCCTCGCAGCGTCCAGTGCGGCTGAGGGTGAACAGAGAGTAAAGCCGTCGTCGGACAATAAAAAAAGGAAAGGGTGCAGGGAAGAAATTCCTAATGGACTTTAGGGAAAGTACAACTGCATCGAGACACGTCGCCAACGAGCCTCCAATCAATACCCACTTCGGCCACAAGAGCTGCTTGCTATGCAGCAAGCACAGGCTTCTAAAACCGCAGTACCTGAGGACCCGTAGCTGAAACTGCGTTGCAGCGGGCACACACCTTAACGAAGTGGCGATGCCGGTTGTTCTTTTCTTTGGTAACCCCGCCCCTACCAAAAGCACACCTGCCCCAACACACGCCCATTTCGCATCCTACGCCTCCCTACCACGCCGCTTCGACCCGGCCTCCCTTTCTTCACGCCTTTACAACCTAACCATGGCTACCCCCTCTCCCTTTCGTTGCTCACCCAAGCGCCCCTCCGAGTCCGCGATGACAACCGCATGCGACAGGGTGCCATCCTCGCCCACCACTTCAGGTACCCGCAGCTTTGCAGGCGGCAGCGGCAGCGGCGCAAGTGCGCACGCCAGCACGGCGTTCTGTGCCGGCATGGCGTACCATCGCACCAGCGGCTTGGCTGTGTCTACCAGCGCGACACCGCCCGCCTTGTCGCCCACCGCCACGGCGCGGATAGCCTAGCACGCACACATAGCGTGAAAGGCGGGGGTTTCAGCCTGAACAGTCAGGACGGACAGCCTACACATATGGCCTTGCTAAACCGCACTCCTTGCCTTTCAACCTTCAACCTTTAGGACCCACCTGGCAGTACGCGAGGCTGGTGATTTCGCCTGAGCTGACTTGCACGCACAGCCGCAGTTGCAGCCCGGCCGGCTGATGCAGGGAACCCGCAACTCCGGGAGTGTTGATGCTGCAAGAACGGGGAAAGGCGGATGTGCACGACTCGCGATTTAAACAAGGGACTCAGTCGACTGACGCCGCATCTGCGGTGCTGCCCTGTGGCTTAAGCCGCTGCTTCGTTGTTGAAGCAGCCAGCACAAATGAAGGAACTAACCCAAGCCTGGTCCTAACTCCAAAAACCGAATCAACTTGAGTCGTGGCCTAGGTCGTTTAACACAACTGGGACATTCCTAACCGATTGTAACGTCATACGTTGCAAGCCTCGACCATGTCATGAGCGCCACCAACGCAGCGCAGAGCACAAATGGCTAGCAAATTTTGGGCGTCGCAACCGGAGCGACGCAAACACAGTACCTCCCGTCCCCGCACGTTGAACCCGGCACACGCGCTTCCCCCCCATGGCCATCCTGTCACTCCTTATCCCGGCCTCCTACCTCTGCACTCTCACCTCTCCAGCGTAATGCAGTTCACTTGGCGGTCCGTGGTGCTGAACTGGTACATGCGCACCTCGCCTTTATGATGGCCCGTCAGCAGCAGACCAGTAGACCACACCAGGTGCAGGCAGGTCACGGAGCCGCTGCTGGCGCTGCTGCGCTTCAGCTTGGCCTCCGCGTCTCCGGCAGGTGCAGCGCACAATAGCCGCGTGGTGCCTCCATGCAAGTCCCACAGGCACACACCACCGTCCTTGTAGCCTGGAGCACAAGCGTGAAAATGGAGCATGGATCGCGGAGTGCAAAGAGAAGGGATGGGTTAAATATAAACCCAAGAAGCCTTGAGCTAAGTAAGATAATAGTTGCTTAGTCCGCCTCCAGGTGAGGAGGGCGCCTGGGCCGGGGCAACCTGACAGGGCTCCGATGCGCGTGGTTTGGCTTTGCGTGTCAGGCTCACGCCCATGTGTGAAGTTGGGGGCTCATATATTCAATACCCGTGACTGCTGTAGCACTCACCGCCAGCCAGCGCTTACCAGTGCAGTACAAGAGGCCCCAGGTTGCGTCCGATGGCAGCGGGGGCGCCCTGCCGCATGTGAACGCCTCCATACTGGAGGCTAAGCCTTCAAGCTGTTCGTTTCCCCCCTCCTCGGCCACCTTGCGGAGAGCAGTCAAAGTGATGGCGTTGGGGCTGCAGCCAGCAGGCCTGAAACGGATGTGGAAAGTGTCCGCGTCCGGAGGCAAAGATCTGAGCAAGAGCAAGAGGCGGAAAGCTGAAAATATGCAAGGGTAGGGGAGCAGTGTGGGTCCGGTTGCCGGCGGCGTAGCCTAGTCGAAACGGAAGGCCAGCGATATTAGCATGCATGCAAGTGCTCCCGAGCAGCTGCGGCTATGAGCGATTAAAGGCCGCTATGGCTGAATACATGCAACTTATATGTGTGTGTGCAGGCGACCGCTTCTGACGGTAGGGGACGTTCCTTGCTTTTACCACCCTAGAGGTTCCAAATCCTTATGAAACACACCATAACTAGGTTGTCGTTGATCCAGCACGCCCAGCCTGTGGGTTTCAAGGATTGCCGGAATGCCAGGGGACATCCCCGTGTGCTTTTTGCCAGATGCGCAGTCACGACCTCCTTGCCGTGTGCAACCGCCGAGTACAGTCCATCTGTCCTCACACGCCGTAGAGCCGTCTTCGCTTCGGGCCCATCAACCAATGGGCTCGAGAAGCCCCGAGCTCATAGGTCGGGACGGCCCAGTTACCTGAACCCACAACACGCCCGTACAGCGCGCCACTTACCGCCGCACCGGCACCAGTGGCGCCTCCGTGACGGTGATGGGGGTTCGCTGCTGCAAGTACGGCGCAACCATGTGCGGCTGCTGATCCTTTAGGTTGTACAGCACCAGCTGGCCCCCCTCCACCAACTGAAGCACCGCGGCCGTGGCCTCGTAGCCTGCGAATACCATGACACAGCGAGCTCACATGCGATACACCCACAAATCGGTTCCCTGAGTGCGAACACGTCAACCCGCTCAATTGCTGCATGTTTAAGAACATAAGTCGGTCAGATATGTAGCACCACACGCAATAAAAAATGTCATCCCCCGCAGCTCTTAGCTGTGCAACTGCTAATCGTCAAGGAGCTGGTGCCGAGGTTGTCGGGCACAGGGAACTCGCATGGCGATGTGGGTCCATCGCAGGTCACAACGGCAACACGGTCCGCTTCCTGTCCCGAGTGTACGACCCTGAGAGGTGCCCCGGAGGGGCCGTCACCTGTTATGCAGCCTCCATCCATCACCAGAGAGAAGCCGATAATATGGCCAAACCAGGGCAGCTTCGTATGGGGGTGCCTGGGCAGCCGGCAAGCCTTGCCCCTGCGACTCAAGCCTTGGCCCTCTTCGCCCGCCGTCTCATCGTCCGCGTTGCTACCTTTCTCGCTACCATCGCCTTCCTCCTCTCCCTCCTCCTCCTCGACTAGCGTTTCCTGGCACAAGGAGGGCCCAATCCGATTTCTTAGGAACCTCTCCGTCTCAACAGACCAAGAGCCTCAAACAGCATGCTCGCATCGGAGATCTGCCCAAGGAGCCTTTGGGCAGGATAAAGTTCATGGGCCTCCCTTCTGGACTTCGTTGTAGTGGCGTCAGACTTTCGGCTACTGCCGGCTCCCTTGACAGCACATGAGTGCCCCCGATCAGCACCACCCACCTCATCGCCACCCGGCAACGGTATCCAGGTAAGGCCCTCCGGTTGCGCTACCTCCTGACCTCCTAGAACCAGCAGGCCGTCCACATCGCCAAAAACGCAGCGCAGCATGCGAACCGGCTCCGCCTGGCCCCTGACCACACTGTCAAGGAGAGGTTAGGACAACCGTACCAGACAGGTACCGTTCCAAATGGGCGCGACAGACAGCGTGTCAGAGCACCAGTCGACCGATGGTAGCCAAGAGTTCCTGCTGCGCGATCAAGCAAGGTTTGAGAAATAGCGGTCGGCTTTCAAGATGCAGCTGGCATGACATGCCGTCACGGCGTAGGACCCATTGCCCCGGTAAAAACAGCGGCATGCACGTCCTTGCGGCGTCATTGCCTTTGCCTAAGGCAAATCAGAATGAAAAAATGTCTTTCTGCCGCGCCACCACCTAGCTGCTGCCTACCGCATCGTGGCTGCCACCGCAGCCTTTCCAGGTTCCAGCCCAGGGAGGGCCCAAACCAGGACACTGCCTTCCGCGTGTCCCGTAGCGAAATCGCCACGTTCGGTGCCGATCCAACAGACCGCTGTCACCTCTCCGACGTCTGCCAAGGCGGATGCGTAATCTGCAGCGTCCGAGCTGGTCGGGTTGATGCTCGTAGTCAGCTCCACCGCTCTGCAGGCAAATCCGAGCCGCAAGCAAGAGCAGAAGCGCGGCTCCGATGAGCAACGAAAGGCCGAAGACGCAAATCACTTTCTGACGGGCGTAGAGCCTGTAGGCTTTGCATATGGAGGCAAAACGCGATCCGGCACGTGGGGATACGGCTACGACCTTGCAACAGTAGGCTGGCGTTTCGCGTTGTGGCTTAGATGGGACTGCCCCTGAAGGATTTGGGAATCAACACTTCTATCCCTAGTCCAGGAGGTGCCAATAAGCGCGTTACAAAATATCGTCAATCGCCGCCATCTCTAAAACCCGGGAGCATCCACCACGCACCTCAGGTCCCACACGGAGACCATACCCGCAGTGAAGAGCACCAGCGCACGGTGTATTGGACCGAAACTCTGTACAGCCAGCTGCCGCACTTCCCCTTCGCCACACATCTCATGAGGCCGCACTGCAGGGAAGATGCGGTGTGTACGCGAGTTTGCAACGAAATCCATGTGACACGACGCAGTGCTTCCTCTGTTATTCTAAAGCGCCCAATGCCCGCACAACTGCATGGCGCCACAACATTCACTAAAGCGAAAGCTTGTACAGCAACTAAGCCTGAGGAAATCTTTGATTGGCCATCCAACGCGCCTCGGCTCCCCCTTGTTGCGCGGCAGGCAGCTAATGCATATTACGGCTTTCTAGGCCTTCTAGACGTGCAACCAATCCGCCCGCGCAAACAAGCAGCTGCAACAGCAGCAGTCTCCCGCGTACGAACCGCAACCAAGATGTCTCCTTTTGCAACTCACCGCGATATGGAGCAACAGTGAACCCACGCGCCTGTAATGGCTGCGTGGTCGGAGAGCCTGCGGCATCCACCAACATGGCGATGCGCAGCGAGCCGCTGGAGCAACCCAGCAACACGTATGGGTCACGAGCCATGTCCGCCACGCAGCAAATCTTATCGGCACGTACTTTGACCGTGCCCAGGGACCGCACGGCGCCGTCGGCGGCACTACCGGAGGCAACGGACCAGCTTTCCATGAACCCACCCTAGCATAGGGCAGCACCACGTGCAGGGGCATGCATGCCGTGGGTGTAGAGACGATAGGCGGAGGCGTGTTCAGCAAGTGAACTGCAAGGTTACCAGAACCTTTGTCGTGCACTCCAATTGCACGAACTCCTCAATACGGTAAAATGCAACGCGGACTGGTCAAGGAGTTCATAAACTCCTAGAAAATTAGAGCTTAGGTTATGGAACGCGCTTGCAACAGCCCGACTCGCCAATTCAGCGTCCCCCTAGGCCGGTTATTTGGGCTCACCTTTGACACCCGCACGAGCACACCCCTATTCTGAAGGAACTGGAGCTGGCGTGTCGCATAGGGATACCTTGCTGCAGAGTACAGCGTCGCCTCACAGCCAGGACAACCAAGGACCTTTACCTTTCCATCGCTGGTTGCAATCTGCAAACAATACCGTTTAGTTTAGGGGATTCATTTCAACCGTAGACACTTGCGCGAGTCATCCCACCGCAACCAAGCCCTGCACAGGCTCGTAAGCCAGCGCGTCCGCTGTTCCAGGAATGCCCGCAGTCCATAGCAATGCACGCTCTACACCGGCTAGCGCGTCTGCGCGCAACCGGTCGGCCTGTGTCTCAGCCGAGGCCTTTGAGTCCTTCTTCCTTATCGAAGTGGATCCAAAACCAAACATATTCATTTGGAGAGGTTATCGCGATCCATGTGTATGCCAGCAAGCGAAACAAGTACTCAGATGTTGCAAGGACAGCTGCTTCAAGGTTCATGCATCTAATCCGTGCAGTTTATCAGGTACCTAAACGCCTCAATACACAAAGGTATTATCTTTGGCTGTTGAATCGAAAACACTGTACCTCGTGCATTCCAGTATCCTATTGTAAACTGGCACTATGTTGACTGTGTATCAGCGATGAGCTTTACCGTAAAGCCGTTATGGGACGATGAAAATGATGTTCAGGAGTTTCCATTTGATGGTGTTTACGCGGGGGATGTTCCCCAAAGAAAGGAACATGTTCAGACCGTGAAGCGGCAGCCGAAGCGCCGAGGGCTATGGTACGCCTGCTTCGCACCACCTCGTGCAGATGAGCCGGCACCTACGGGCCCTTCGCGTTCTTTGCCGTCGCGGCTACGGCTGACAGCTCGCCAGCTAGAGTATCGGCGCACAGGGTCTCCTGAGGCAAGGCATGTACCACTCTCTGACATCCGAGATGTCCAGGTCAAATGGATTCATGCGGGAGGAGTCCGGGTGTCGAAGGTGAGCTTGTGATGTGCGTTGTCGGATTGGTTATGCTATAGCACGAGCCCCTTCCTGGCCACAGCCTTGCATTCTAAGTTCAGGACACTATTATTACTGCAACGGCCTGGCTTGACAAACTTGCACCCAACCCGAAAGCGTCGTGCAGAGCGCCTCTTAAACGCATGTTGCTGGTTGTACAGGTCACGATTTCGGTGGAATCCGGCAAGGAGCCCGTGGTCATCAGGGGCCTTAAGGTGGGGCAGGTTTGAACAGGGGAAGGGGCGATCCATCTAGCGGGCCGGACTGCGCGGGTATGACGGGTTCACAGCTTACTTGACCGCCAGATGCTAAGAACATGCCGCGCTTACCCTCACTACAGAACCCTGAAGATCTGGCGGACGCCGTCAAAAAACTACAACAGACTGTTGTGGAACATCCGGACGCGGCGCGGCATGCGCATCAAGGCGGTAAGGGGGTTATGGAGGGTGTTTTTCTTGACATGTGACTCTACTGAGTCGCACGTCAACATGGTCGCCAATAAGACAAGAAATGACGTTTAAGAATTCATTTGGGACAGCTCCGTCGGTCCTTAGATGTTCATGTCTGTCGGGACTTCGTGTGAAACAGAGTCGAGCTGTTTTTCGCCCCTCCCTGCGTAGGAAGAAAGGGACGCAAGAAGGAACACGCGTGCAGGGACACTCAATCGATAGTGGTTACGTCTTTGCCCTCCCGATGCAGACGGGGCGGATGCTGGGGAAGGCGATGGTCAAGCGGCAGGTGGCCATGATGCGCCGGCTTCGCCTTACAAGCGCATGACGCCGCGTGCACTCTTTGCTGATGCCTCCGGCAGCCCGAGGTCAGCAGTAAACGGCGGGTGCCGCAGCATGACTCTGCTCAGCGCCTTCGCCCGCAGCCCAGCGCAGGATTTTGCGGGCGCCGACTCCGTTGCCCGGGAGATACAGCTAGCCTCGCCCCGGGATGAGGACTCCAGCTACGGTTCCTTTGAAGAAGTCAGCGACTCGGTGGAAACGGCATCAAGCGAGAGTGGTTGCGGCAAACCGCTAGCAGCTTCCGCCCTGCCTGCAGCGAAGCGGCCGTCCACGATGGGCGTGCACAATGCATTGGTGCAAGTAGCCGCACCACCTCGGCAGGCCAGCGACTCGTTTGTTCTGCCAACGAACCTGATGCTACCAGACATGGCGCAAACTCGGACATCGCACCACCCTTCGCTGCCACTAGGGCGGAGCCCCGACAAGTCTGGGGCGGCGTCTGAGCTGCTGAAGGACGCGGTGCAGCTGGACAGCCCGCAGCCCCATGCCAAGGATTCTGTGCTGGAAGGCGACTCTGTGCCGGTTTCGGTCCAGGGCTCACCATTTTTGTTGCAGGTTTACACCCTGGGTGGGCCCCCGCCGGCGGTGCCAGAGGACTCGGTTGCATATGGAGGGACGCTCACACCACTGTCAACACAGAGCAGCAAATCAGTGGCGAAGCGTGGTCGTCGCATGTCACCGAGCTCCTTGGCAGCATCCCGCGCTGCGGAACTCTTGGCCGCTACTTCGCATCCAGTTTTGCATTCAGCCCCGGAACCCCGAAGCGGCAATGACTTGCCGTCAGGATCAGCACCTGGGTCGCCTGCTGCGTCCCAAGAAGGGCCGTCAAACTGTTCAGACACACAGGCTGGCTTGACGGAGGTGAGCTTTGCGTCTGGAGTTGCTGCCGAGGCCGGCCGCGGGCCTGAGGACCAGGTGCTGGAGCTGCCTTTGGTAGCCGCTGGGTTGGACAACAGCGGCTCATCGGTGCCCGGTCTGCCACAGCAGCAGCAGCGGCACCATGAAGACAGTCACAGGCGGGAACAGAGCAGTCACGAGCGACGAATCACTGAGGGTAGCTCCTCTGAGGCCGCGACGGCTGGTCCGAATGGCCGGTTGGATGGTTGCGGTAGCTCCTTCCAGTCGACCAGCTCAGGTGAACTGGGAGATGGCCTGGTCGGAACCACGCCGATGGGGTCGCCGGGGGCAGCAGGCAAGGCCGGTGGCGTAGGCGCGCTCACTGTGCCTGGGCGTCGTGTGAGCGGCGGGCCTGAAAAGAAGAGCTTCAAGCCTGTAGGCACCCTGGGCATCACTGCAGCAGCAGCCACCCTGTCGGCAGTGATGAGGTCAGCATCGCCATCACAGGCTGGGACCGGCGATGCGGATGCAGGCTCCTCTGCGGCTGCTGCAACAACCGTGGCGGCACCACTGGTGCTGTTAGGCTTTACGGCGGCGATGCTGACTGCGGCGTCTGTGCTGACCAATACTCGGGCTGCAGGTACCCTCTGTCCCCTGGATAATCCTTCCACCATAGGCACCTTGGAGACGCAGGCGCAGGCCGCACCACTCCTGGTTACGAGGGCCGGCAGTGTATCCGCAACCGCTGCCACGTCAGGGAGGGTGAGTGTTGTGTAGGTCCACGGCGCACCTGGAGACCATTGAGACCCCACACCAGGCGAACTTGCTCACCTGGACACAGTGTCGACTGCATATACAGTGCAACATGAAGAGTCGGTGTTGACCCTGGTCCCAGCTGTACCAAAGGCACTCGCCCAGCGTCCATAGCATCAACTCCTAAGGATTTACTTCTTTTGTTTTCGATTCGCTTGGGCAATCAAGCCGACGGTTGAGAACATTTCGCCTCTTAATCCCTCGCAGGCGACCGGCAGTGGTGACGACAGCGAGGATGCGACCATGAGCGGTGACCGGAACTCGCAATCCCAACTCTCTGACAACAGCACGAAGCACGACGCGCAGCCCGCGTTGTATGCTTCCGCGTGGCCGGACGCAGCGGATCAGCAGCAGCAACAACAACCGGTCAAGAATAAAACTGCATCTGTAGACGCCTTTTGCTTGCCAAACGTTCGCGGCACAGCCCCGCTAGCAACTGGCGCATCTCCAGCTTCAGCAAGTATTCCTGTCCCCCCGGACTCAAATGCAAATCGGCGGCAGAGGGCGCGCCACCTCAGCGAATCTCCCGTGCGCGTGCTGTACTCTGTCCATGCGTCCTTCACGGGTCCGCCGCCTGTATCTTTCCAGGCGCAGCCTGAACAATGGGGACCCGTGGTGCCTGTGGAGGCAACAGCCTTGCCTATGCAGCTTACTTGCGAATCTGCTGCGCAGACGGACGCACCGCTGGTTGAATGTGCGGTGCAGACAGAGGTTGAGGTGCTGGGCAGAGTCAGGGCAGCAGGACTGAGTCGCGACGGCTCGGCAGCCTATCATAGCAGCAGAAGCCCGAGCTGCGACGGTGGGTGCAGCCAACGCGACAGCAGAAGCGGCAGCATGGTGGCGGCACAACCACTTGCAGAGGTTACAGTTGAGCAACTGCTTAAGCCTGCCTGCCCCGAGGCAAGTGACACTGGTGCTGCGCCGGGCACTGCTGCCGACAGTGAAAAGAGTGAGAGCAGCCTGGCGCAGGCGGATGCACAGAACTGGTGCATGCCTTCGCTAGGTGCGGGGCCCTCGCTGCTCGGCGGCTCTGGGTTGGCAGCATCGTCCGAGCAGCAAGCAAGGTGCGGCAGCTCTGGGTTACGGCACGGGTAGGGCGGTAGCTTCGAGTTTGCGATGCCTAGGAAATTGCGCTCCACAGCTGGTCAGCAGCTCGCGACTTGGCGCAGCCATTCGCACGTCCATGGGGATATTTGTCTCCAGCGAGACACGTCAGTCCTTCTTGACTTGTGGACGTCCTTCGACGATGGCCGCATCCTGACGCTCGGGGTTACCTCGACCCGTCGATTGCACTCATGTCGATTGCGCCTTGTCGAATGCAGGTGCAACCCACCGTCGACTGCCAGCAGCTCTACCGGCGCCTCCCTATCCAGCAGCCCTGGTACTGCACCGGTCGCTAATGCGTCTGCCGCCGCCCTGGGCTTGTGCTCATCTGACTTGCACAGCCGCCCTGCGGCAGGGGTCGAGCATGGCGTAGACAACGGCGCGGGCCCTGCTAGGCATGCAGAAGGGACGCCGCGGCTGGGCCATGACGCGCTAGACGGTCTCTTGGACCCAGAGGAGACGCTGCTGGCCGCCTCGGGCGCCGGCACCAGCATCGGAACGCCAGCACTGGCACGGGGATCCTGCACGGGCGCATTGGTTGCCGTCAACTACGACACCGCTTCTGCGTCCGAACAGCTCGAGATTAGTGAAGTTGTCGAAGGACACCTGCGACTGCTTGTGCAGCAGGAGCAACGGATGGAAGGTGTCAATTTACTTGTCGTTGATGAAGGCGTAAGGTCCCTCACCCACAGCAGCTCCGTGTCGCAGCTGTCGCACAGCATGTCAGGCGCGTCTGGCAGCATCCCTGTATCCGGGTCAATAGGCTCGGGGTACTATACACGCATGCCCAGCATCGCAAGCAGCAGCGAGACTGGGCCCGTGGACATCGGCAGTCCTAAGGTTGGAACTCACAGTCGGTGGCCGTCAGAAGTCGCCAGGATTTCGCGACAGAATAGCGACAACTCTGCTGTTGGCAGCGGCATTGACCCCAGCGAAACGGCGGCAGCAGACCCTGTGCACGACGCCGACCCTGGGCAGCGGGTGCTGCCAACAGATTCGATGCTTCCGAAAGAGCAACCAATGCTGTGCTCACACAGCGCTCTTTTAGCAGCACCAGGCGGGGTCGGTAGCCCCAGTGTTCGGGATATGCAGGAGGGCAGCGAGTGCAAAAGACTGGATGCCAACCCTGTTGCCGCGGAGCCGGGATCGCTGCTCAGCGTCGACAATGAAACTGCTGACGATGCAGCTTGGCTACTGGGGCCAACAGCTGGCCGTGTCGGCACAATTGGTCCCTCGTCGGCCGCCGCCTCTGCCCCGGATTCCCCACGCATCCCGTTGCCGCCCCCGCTTGCGCGCAGCGCCAACGTGTCACGCGGCGGCGCCTCCTCGCGTCGTTCAACGGCAGAGGCAGCCGGAGGCAGCGACCATGCAGCTCATGCAGACGGTTACTCAAGTCGCAAGTCTAGCAGCGGCAGCTGTGGAGGTCATGCGGCAATCTCCCAGAGCTTTACCCGGCCCCCTGAAGCTTCAGGCTGGCGCCAACACTGCTGGTCATCTCGTTCGGCTGCATACAGCGACCCGCTGCATACCACTCGGTCAATTGCCTGCTCAGACGGTAACCAGCTTGCCACGCCCCTCTCGTACGGGGCCTGTGGCTCAGCAATTGAGCGTTCGGGCACTGTTCATGGACCCGAGGTGCTCGCCGGCATCACCGACAGTAACAGCAACAATGGAGAAAACAGCGGGAGGTCCGGGAGGTCGAGCAACAGCAATGCAGTTGCCGGGCCGAGCTGGGGCCCTGCAACTGCCTCCTTGGCCGCTATAGGTGTCTTTCGACGTTCCCGGGGTGTGGCCGGCAGAGTCGATATCGTCAGCGGTGTGGCCCCTCCTGATCCTCAAGCCGTGAATCCCGCGGCAGCTTTGCCATGCGCCTTAGGTGCAGCTTCCTCGCAGCCCACATCGGTATCCCCCGACCGCACTGCTGCTTCTTTGGTTACCTTAGGCGTCTTCCGACGTTCCCACGGTGCGACCGGATGGGCCAACGTCACCAGCTGTGCGGGCAGTCCTGGACTGCAAGTCGGCAATTCCGCGGCACCTTTTCCTGGGGGTTTCGATGCTACTTCCTTGCAAAAGACACCGGTATGCCCCGCTGTTACGGCTGCTCCTTTGGTTCCCATCGGCGCCTCCCGACATTCTCAGGGTGCAGCTGAAAAGGACAGCATTGCTGGCTATGTGGGCAGTCCCGGCCCGCGGACCCAGAGCCACCCTCGGCCGTCGCCAGGCGCGATAGGTACTGCCACCTCGCAGGCAGCTCCGGTGTCCCCGGATCCCACGGCGGCTGCGTTGGTTGCTATCGGTGTGCTCCGACATCCAGCCGGAAAGGATGGTGGTGTTGGCCATGGGGTCAGATCTGGCCCATGGACCAGCAGCAGCCCTGCACCATCTTCCCGCGACGCGTCCGGTGCAGCATCTTCGCAGGCAACAGCGACACCGGTGTCGCCTGATCTGTCGGACATTTCCTCGACTGCCTACGCGGAAGGCATGTACACGTACGGCAGTCCGCGGATGCGGCAGGCCTCGGACAGAGGGCACACGGGGGGCGGTGCAAGGACATCCCGCTTTGCCGCCAACGTGAGGGACGACCTGTTTCACAATCCACTCTACGGCGCTTTGGGCAAGGAATCCTCACCAGGACTTGATCAAGTAGCGCAGACACGGAGGAACCATGATATCACCCGTTGGGGTGTGCTCCCACTTGTGCCCTACTCGGACGGGCGGCTCTACGGCACGATGGGCGGCAACGGTTACGGCACGTCAACATGCACGTCCTCCCCCGCCCACGGGAGTACAGCGCAGCCGAGCGCGCGGGTCGACGCAGCGACCAATGTCTGGCGGCGATGGACGCGGGATGAAATGGCGTCACCATACAAAAACGATGGCGGCGACGAAGTGCGGGGTGCTGCTAGTGAGCGCGGCGCTGCGTTAAATGAGGCGTGGCGCTCATGTGTGGCAGAGGCGGCCCACAGGCTGCTGGCCGACAGGCGGCGAACGGACGGCTCGGTGAGCGGTTCCCGAGCCCGCAGTTTAGCCTTTGAATGCGACGATGCCGCAACGGCGCAACCCCAGCCCTCCAAGAGGGCCCGCACGCAACATCAGCAGCCGGAGTCGCCCACCAGCACAATGTTGAGCCCGTCGCAACACCAGCAACGCGCGGGGCAGCACCTACAGGAGCCTGGCACGTCAGCACCACTGCAGGGTTTGGTCAGTCCGCTAATGGTTCTCAATCCTGCCTACGTTCAGTCTACCGGTGGTTCTCCCCCGCTCACATCGTCGCCACCTGTCACAAATCGTGATGCCTGGGCCACACGCGCGGATGTGGCGCAACGTGAGGGTCCTGCAGGCGCTAGAGTGGGCCTTACAGAAGGGAGCATTGCGGCCCCAAAGATAGAGCTGGCCATTGTTACGCCAGGTCACCTGGACGATGGTGTGGACGTAGGTTATGGGCCGGCAGATCAACGTACCTCCCAGCATGCCACGCCGAGGAACCGTGATATGATCCAGCTTCAGGAGTCTGGTTGGGACAGCATACAGGTAAGCTGCTGGGATGCAAAACCCAGACTACCCTTAGCATGGACAGCCATCCCATTACACTAGGCCTGACCTGGGCTTCCCATTTCCTGTAGGGCTCTCCTTCGAGCAACCAGGCAGCTCACGCGGCGGCTCTGCTGCGGCATGCTAATGATGCCGTGGACGTCGCACGGGAGGCCGTACAACGAGGCGATGCGCAATGGCTCTCACGTGTCGCTGTGACGTTGCAAGCTGTTCAGTCGGCCCTAGACGCCCTTCGTGAATTTTGATGAAACTTTTGTTGGAAGCATTGATTGACTGCTGAGAAGGGCAGTTGACCAGTTGTGTAAGGAGTTGTATACGGCAGCCAACGGGTTTTTCCATTAACGACCACGATGACCGCATGCCAATGGAAAGAGATATGATTATGCATGCCTAAGCATTGTGGAAGCTTATGGTAAGCACTTACTGCATTGTCCGGAGATTTTCGACGCCATTGAGCTTGAGTAATTTTGCTTCAGCGTTGGTCCAACATGCTTGCGGCCGCTGCGATACGCACTAGGTCTACTTGTAAAGTGTCTCTTGAAGATGTGAGGTCCTTTATTTTTGCTCCAGTAAGGACGGTTTCGACGGCGTCAGGCAATGCGGAGCAGCCCTGCACGAGCGGACAAGATGCTGCGTTGGGCTGGTTGGGAAAGCAAATAAAAGCGAAAAACAAGAAAGGTGCTGTTGTATATCATGTAAGAGCTTGGACGACGTGTTTTCGATAACATCAGGATGCCTGCCACAGACCCCCCACTATCATGGATCTACATGAGGGAGGGAACCGATGGTGTTAAACGCTTAATGCCATGGTCTGAACGTCTCATATGGGGCTCTGTTTTTGGTGGAATCGCCTTCTTCTTCGGGCCAAGGATATACAATGCACGGAAACAGGCCGATCAAGAACGAGAAGTAAGGGATGTTCGTTATTTGCACAATTGCGTTATATGGGCTTACATCCAATCGGGTATGGGCTGCAGGCAGCGAAGCGACGGGAAGAGGAAATCCACCAGAAGCGGCTGACAGCAGCCCGTGTATTGTTGTCAGGGAAGAGCTGGGTTCGTGATGAGGCAGAAGCCTTCGAGGGTTTGGCACCCAAGCAGATCGTGGAGTTTATCCGCACTCACAACATTAACCCTGATGACCCCTTCGAGGTACGATTAGACGTGCCAGTAAAGAAGGGCATAGTGGTGAGTCACCGTCTCCCGTTTGGTCCTTATATTGGTTTGTGGGGCATTGGAATTCCGCCTGGGTCAGACCACGGCGGTCCGTGGGCCGTGGTACTCAAACAGCCCACTCCCCAGACTAGTCTCACTTCTTCTCCGAGCTTCACAAGACGGGTCCTGGCTGCTGGTTGCTGACGCAGGGCATGTCCCCCGAGGAAATAGATGAGTTCGTTCGTCAGACCGGAGTGGAGCTTTGAGATGCCAAGTTTGTGTAGGGCCTTCTAGTTGGAGGGGTGCTTGCGTGGACGTCGTGACACGAACCTCGTCAGGCTGCGTTGAGGTTCAAGTCCGAAAGCTAAAGCTGATATGTCGATTCGTCTTAGTGGTGACTGTTAGTGATATGGTGTAATGGGTTTTGGCAGGGGACTGGCACGTGTGTTGCGACGGAGGAGACCAACCCACACACCAGGCCGACAGTACGGCTTTGGCGGCAACCGTACGCTCCGCGAGTTTGTAAACCCTTTATAGTAACTGTTTTGTCTATGATTATAACATAATTTTTTGCGTTTATTGATTATCTCTCCGGAATACTAGCGGCCAGCCAGGTCCTACCGCCGCCGTTAGCGCCGCCCCATTTCGGTGAAGCGGACAACAGGACTTAGGAAGACGAGTCTAGTCCTGGCATCTATTCAATTTAGCACTAGGACTTTGCGAGCACTCCGGTTTGCATTTCCACATTCGACTGCGATCCCAGACGCTGCTTTTGTAAATCGGAAGAAAATGGCTGCCAAGGCTGTATCCAAGGTGTCGGACCTTGATGGTGAAGCTCCGGAGAGTACCGATTTCGCCAATTACTTTTGCACTTACGCTTATATCTACCATCAGGTGCGCGCCAGGTGAACTTGTAGCTTCAAAATACGGTAGGGCTGGGATTCAATACTTTGTAGGTTATACATGAAGCAAAACTGCTTCCCGCTCATTGGCTCATATTCGTCAGCTGTCGGAAGGACCTGTCCGGTGGTTTGCGTTTTCGCTCATTCAGGAGCCGCTATGAACCTGACAGTGCCTAATACCCCGCGATAAATTTCACACGACATATCGGCAAATGTTCCATAACTGCTTGCTGGCCATATCCATGTACGGCCTCTGTCTTAGCGCTCTCCCTCTCGGCTTGTGTATTTTTCACCTGCCAGAAAGACATGTTGGAGGACCACAAGCGCACTGGAGCGTACTACCAGGTGGGTAAGAGGACCTTCTCGCACGCTTTCGTAGGCAGCCACTCCCAAGGCTCTTCTCACCGATCATACTGGAGCCGCAGGGGTATGTCTCGAAAGGGGACAGGGAGTTATGGTCGTTTTGCGTTCTTAGCTGGCGCAAAGCCGCGAAGTGCTCGACAAAACACGTCCTATTCTCATTATTTGCAGAAAACTAGTTGTGCCTGTGCTGTCAGCCATTCGGGTGCCAAGGCATGTTCATTAACCCATGCACTCCACCTAACACGACAGCTTAATCCGAGTCATTAACTGGCAGCTTGAACTTGTAAAACGTCTCGTGCATGATCCCCCAGGCTGTCCTATCCAACAAGAGGCAGTTTCAGGGCAAGGTGAGGGTCGCAAGCCCAGCTGCGTAAAGAGACAGTGCTTTTTATTAGCCTGTGGGGATTATCCGGGCATCAGGGTTTAGCCGGAGCTGTTGACCTGAGTACAGCGCCGTCAGGTGGCCCCGCGCCACCATGGAGAGCACCGTGGGCTTAGGTTCTGGCGCGGGTGTAGGTAGGTCCGATACCTTAGCGGCTTCTTTCCGACTCACAGTCAGCACTCCGCCAGTAACAGGCAGCCCTATTGCATATCCGCCGTACACATGCACATGACATAAACGAGGAAGCCGATTCACCGGTTGTCATGTACGTGTGTGCGTTCTGGCAGGTAGTCCTGGATGTGGGCACGGGCAGCGGCATCCTTGCTGTCTTCGCAGCCAAGGCAGGGGCGAAAAAGGTGTATGCGGTGGAGGCAACCAACATGGCGAAGCACGCGAGGGCTTTGGTGGAGCACAACAAGGTGGGGCTGGGCGGCGCCGGGGGTAATGTGACCGAAAGTTTTGGATAAGGAATTGTTATAGCATAAGTTTTTAATGAGCAAAACTTGGGAGGTTAGGTGGGAAGGAATACTGATGATGGTTTGTAGGCTCGAGGATGACTATGGGAAAAAATGAGAACATTGCAAGCCCTCTGGCGCTACACTGCGCACCGAAATTTGAATGCTCCCTTTGGGCGTTGATTTTCCCGCCTACGTATGGCATGCATCTGGCAGCATGTGGTTATGTTTCTTCCTCTCCTTTCCCTCTCCTTCTTAAGCCCCCTGCTTGTATCGGACACGGGCAGGGGCACGGGGCTTACGCACCCCGACCACATGGGGTACTCGTTTGGAAACATGCGGATGCATGTACATGCATGTGCAGTCGGAATGGCCGGAAGGTGCCTGCCTGTCGGGAGTCCGACCCACGGTTTGTGGTAATGAGACGCCTACTGTGTGTCGCCAATTTAATTTTCTTCGCCGACTTCGGTTGCACCATTTTTCCCACATCCTTCACGTACTTCTGACTGTTAGCTTCGCACGGCTTAGGTCTTGCATGCTCAGCTTGTAGACCTTGTATATGTGGCAAGATGCACTCCTTGAGCGGATGACGACTCCATAGTTATCCCTGTCCGAACTTGCCAAAGGCCGGCAAGGTTATGTGGACTGGTTTACTTCTACCTGACGCTCAAATATCAGGACGCAGTGCCTTGTGAAACGAGGAGATGGCTGTTGAGGGACCCCACCGTTAAGCGCCTGGTGCAACCTTTCTCCCTCCGCCTCGTGGCTGGTTTCCCTTTCATATGTCCTCCCAAAGCTCGGTGATGTCGCAGGATTACCACACCTTCGGGTGGAACTTAGTACGTCACTCCCGATTCTCCTTCCCTTGTAGCTGAGCCACGTCATCGAGGTAATCCAGGGTACCATTGAGTCCATTCAGCTGCCGGAGAAGGTGGACATTATTATTAGCGAATGGATGGGCTACTTCCTGCTGCGTGAAAGCATGCTGGACTCGGTGCTGGTGGCGCGAGACCGCTTCCTGCTGCCGGGCGGGTCGCTCTATCCCTCGCACGCGGCCATCTACCTGGCGCCCATCCGCTCCAACCTAGCCAACCAGCGGACTGGGGAGTTCCAGGTGAGAGGAGGGCGGAAGGGGTGGTCAGTGCTCTCGCAGCACACAGCTCTTTTAAACACACACAGGAGATCCTTCCACCTTGCACATTAAAGCTTTGCGCTTTGCATGGGCAATGTTCCTCACTGTAACATTCCTCGTTCTATTTCTCCCCAGGGTTCAATGGAGGGCTGGGCGGAGTTCCTCCAAGATATGCAGCACTATTACCAGGTAGGCAGGCGCGTGCATTAGACCTAGGGCGGGCCTCGGCGGGGTCCAGTTACGACTTATAAGGCATGCCTGCATCCTTTTACCAGGTTGGTGGTGAAATGGACAGTGAAGCTGAGTGCATGCTTCTTTGTCTAGCGGCTAACGCACACTGTTGGAGCATGGTGCGTCATCAGCCAATGGGCAATCGTGGACACCCACCCGGGCCCCGCCGTCCGTCCTTTACAGAGGGGTGCAAACCGCAAGCACGGCCAAGCTTGGCGTCCATATCTCGTTAATCTGCTCTCTGCCTAGTTGCCATTCCTTATATTCCTTTGTCCTTAATTCCTGTGCTGTGTTGCTGTGCTGCACTCACTCGCGCCCACTTGCTGAGCTGCATCCATATCCACCGCTACGCAGGTCAGCCTGGACTGCCTGAGTGACGCCTACCGCAACGAGCAGAAGGACTATTACCTGCACACCAGCCAATGGACCGACACGCACCCGCAGCAGATGCTGGGTCCCGCGTCGCCTTTTATCAAATATGACCTTCACAGGGTCACGTTGGAGGAGCTCAAGGTGAGAAGCAGGGACGAGAGGGACGGCAGGTGGGAAGGGTGTTATGGCTTAACGAACCGGAGTTAAGAGGAACAGGCTCAGGATACTGGCGGCGATAGCGTTGTAATTGTGGTTCTGAGGGCCAGGTTGTGAGGGCCAGTAGGGTTGTAAGTGTGGTTATGGGGCCCAGGTGGTGGTGGTGGTGGGGCTTAAGACAGGATAACGGCCGACTGGTGGTGCGGAGAGGAGGGGAAACTCTGCATGCCACCACATGGTGCACGCAGTCTGAGGTGGCTGAGTGGTCATCCAATCCAACCCGCTGATAGCGCTGTTCCCCAACCGCCGCCCGCCTCGTATTCTTCGTTCACGTATCTCGCTGGACCCCTCCAGGCCCCGCTTCGATCAGAGTTCATCTTGCACATGACGGACGGCGGCCCCGTGGATGCGCTATGCGGCTTCTTTGACGTCTGGTTCCGGGGGAGCGAGGACAACCCGGTGGACAACGAGATCCGGTTGTCCACGGGGCCAGACCCAACGGGTGAGCTGAGTCTCGGTGTGTGCCATTGGACGTCGTGTACCGTGATTAGGACCGTGAGCCCATCCCATGGGGTGGCTTTGGATGTTATGGAGCTTGCCGCTTGTCAGCGCCGGGCGTATACTGGAGCCTTCCCGGCCTTGATACTCGCTATGCTGGCCATGGTGTAAGCTGGCGTGGCGGGAACACTTCCATTGCGGTCCTTTCATCGACGTCCTCTGTCTTATCGGGTCCCTGGCCGTAGCGTGGTCTGTGCCCCTCCCTCACCCGTCGGGGCTGCCGTCCGATCTGGACTTGTGTTTGGCATGCATGACTCGTGTTCATTGTTCCCCTTCCCCACTTCCAATCCATTCCAGGCGCCACGCATTGGGGCCAGCAGACGTTCCCACTGCATCCGCCCATCGACTGCGCCCCCGGGGATCGGCTGCGGGTGTCGCTGGAGGTGGCCCGCAGAGCCGACAACCAGCGCCTACTGCAGGTCAAGGCCGGGATCACCGTTGAGGGCACTTCGATATACGCGGAGCAGAGCAAGACGCCGCGCACTTTCCGATGGAACATTGAGTGATGGCAGCCCCGCGATGGTGTCGCGTTGACTGATATGCCATTGCTGTCAGTTTTGGTGTGAAGGCGAACTGATGTAGACTGTCTTGATAACCTGAGCCGCTGTGTCGTGTGTCTAGGTGACAAGGGTTCGAACGTACCAGGTCGTAGCCGACGCCATCTACGACGGCAACGGTAAGGCTAGGTGGCCGAAGCAGGGGTTCCTCCTATTAGTTCCTTTTAGTTTTGTACATACACATACGCAGCTGCTCGGACTTGTCGTGACTATGCAGGCGCCGATGCGCAAATACCGGGGTCTCGCAGGGTGTAGTGCCGGGGAAACGGGACGTCAAGGGGCCCTGGCTCGGCCGTCTGGCTGTGAGCCGAATTCGCGTCAATTTGTAGAAAGGGTCTTGTCAGGTCGGAAATGGTTTTCCTGGGGACATAATATTGGCTGAGTTCTGAGTGGAATTAGAGGAGGTTTCATGGGCCTGTGGACCCATGCAACATGTGGAGAAGAGCGACAGGGTGTGTGTGGGCGGCGCCAACTACGAACGTACTGCCCAAAGGAAAACGGTTGCCAGAGTGTCCGTTCATTTGCGCGTGAGAAGCATTTACTTGTGGACACCCCAGTTAAGTTCTTGCCACGTGGCGTGTGAATTGTCGCTGGTATCTGGTGAGATCTAGTCAATTGGAAGCGTAGGACCTGCACCGGTCTTATGCCTCCCAACTGAAGGGTGATCCCAAGCTTTAAGGAGTCACCCCTTGTCGGAGCTCTCTAATGGTCTGACACGGCCTCACCATATTGGCTTCGCGCAACCTCGCCGCGCGGGGTTCCACCAAACTCTGGATTTGTTCGCAAGAAACTAGAGACAGGCATCCTTGGTGGACTGAGCCCCTGCGGCCGGCGTAAAGTACCCAAGCGTTGCCGCGTGCAGCAAACACTGCCGTATCATTAGAGAATTGTTCGAATAGCCTTGTGCGCTACGCCGGCGCTGGATGTATGTCAACACTTCGACACCGTTTTGTCATCTGTTACCCTCACAACAACACTACAAAGTACAAGTTTCGGGTTCTGAGTTACCCGAGAACCTAAGCAGGAATAACCCTAACCATTGGGTACACAACATACTTCTACAACATGCAACGTCAAGAGCAATCTTGGCAAAACATCTTTCACGCTATTTTTCCTGAGATACGAGTGCTAAACGGTGGTATCAAGGTTCGAATCTGCTTGATGGTGCAAAGGCTATGTCCAGCGCTTCCGAAACGTACTGTACGCTACACGCCACTCGCAGGTGGCGAATACAACCCGATCATTCAGTTTCTCGCTCCTTTTCTTCGGAGTAGTTTGGGTACGTGTACCGAACTACTGTAAATGTCGCCCCAAAGAGTCGCTTATTAATTTCGCCCAGGCTGCCTCGAATTTACATGCTTTCTTCATGAACCTGCAGTACCTCAGCAACGAGTATGATGCGGCGAGAGGGGTATCTCAAGGCAGCACATCAGACAACTCCTGCCAGGCGAAAGAATGACATTTGCCATATCGCGAATGTTGGTCCCTTGCCGTCTTGATGAGACAAAACACCATGACAATCTAAGAAGAGCAGCTTGGCTCTGGGGAGAATCCTGGGTGTCCCCGTACGCTTCTGTACGACGGTACAGAGAGGTTGGCCTTTGGCGGCGCAACGTTGGTATAAATGTAGGCCCACACCCTTTAGTTCTTATCCTTTCAAGAATCATGTGATATTCAAAGTTGTGTAACATCAATTTAAGCAAGATGCCTCTATACGAGCTCCTTTGCTTAGCCAAGCCGGCTCCTAGAGCTGAGCTTGTGGCGCTGATGAAGAACATGGGTGATGTTGTGTATAAAAACGGAGGCTTCATTACACAGCTCAAGAGCTTTGGGGAGCAGCACCTCGCCTATGATCTACGTCAGCCTTTTGAGAGATATGAGCGTGCGCATATTTGGCAGATGGATTTCATTTCCAGTGTTGACGGGTTAAAGCCTTTGGACCACGAGCTACATGTCAGTGACAGGGTACTGCGGTGGACTGTCGTCAAACGTCCTATGGGGATGGAAGCGTCGCGTACCAAGGAGTAACCATTCTATTTGAACGTTATGTCTGCATCAAGGTTTTTCACTTGCGCCCACTTATTTTGGACGGTAAGTTGCTTGCTCCGGATAGCGCAAGCCTTCTCGTTAAGCTTTTAGACCTGGTGTGTGTTTCTTTGCGTCTGTTGCACAATTTGCACTCGAGCGAATGACGATTTAATAGTTATCCCTGTCCGAACCTGCCAAAGGCCGGCAAGATTATGCGGACTGAATTAGCTCTATCTGACGCTCAAAGGTTATGTTGCAACTTGCATAGTCGCGTTTGTGAAAATTATCTAGCTTCGGCGCTGATGATTGGAGAAACATTCAAGCTCAACAGATCTGAGCTCTGCTGTGCTGACACCTTCCCCGCTGTTCTGAGCCGAATGTCATAATAGCAACGCATCTGTGTGAATGATGAGAACATGCAACTAAATGTCGGATTCCTTCTGATTGCTTAAATGTTGATAAGTTGTTGCTTGACACACAGCGCGTCGTATTACATTCCCCTGCCTGCATTTGTGCTTGCAGGAGCCGAGGTTCAAGCGCTGGTCTATTCATGATGGCGTTACTACCGCATTGTGTTACTGCAGCGTTTAGGAGAGTTCTTAAACCGTTATCGATAGTATTCTTTGCCTCATCGGCTCAACTTGTTGTGGAAATGTTGTGAAGTGACGTGCTAATGGGAATATGTTCAGCGTTTAATATGCATTATTTATTATTTCTACAGCGAAATGTCTGACATATGTAGCGATACTGCAGTGCGTATGACATGATATTGGTAGTCACGACAGTTTATTCCTGTCGCTGTAAACAATCCAATCCGTCTGTACCGCGTTGTTATACGCATTTGAACATAACAAATGTAATGAAATTAAACTTTCTCACGATATACTACTTTTTCGATATTCTCAACAGTCCACGCGACCAGTATGATGTGTGAAACAAGCCCATGGCTAATACCCAGCATACCCCGGTATTTCGGGGCACCCTCATCCAGTCACCCTAGTCAACTTCTCAGTGGATCGCTCAGGTTCCGCACCCACCATCCAACGGTATCTGCCGGGTCGACAGCGGCACAACTCCATTCCGGTCGGCCCGATCGATCCTGGGACATCCCGGGGCCAATGGTCGCGCCTTACCAGTAGTGCCAAACCCTAGTATATATTACAAAACTGACACTAATGTCAACATTTCAATCTTTCTTTGGTCCTGCCGACTTCGGTGGCGGTGGCCTGTGCTGCTCCCCGACAGGACGTTGTACATATAATTTTTCCTGCGCAGTGCAAAATAGGATAAAATATCATGACCACACCTCAAATCAAGTAATACAACCGTAACTTCCCAGTCACAAACGCAGAATCTATAATTACAGCGGATGAATGGTGCGTAGTGCTCGTTGCTTGCCTGACCACCTCCCCGGGGCCTTGCGTATGTCTACACTCGGCGAAGCGACAGCATAAGCCTGTATGTGTCACCTATACATACCTCGTCATTTGTCTTCAACTTCGGAGGCTTCACCATGCCCGTTGACTTCTTATTGCCACCGCCTTTAAGGTAGTCATGCCAGGTGCTAACACGCTGGTCACGCGTGTTCTCCCACTGCTTCTCGTGTTCTTTTTTAGCCTTGACGCGCTCCTTCACCTCCTTCTCCTTCTCTTCAAGGCGCAGGGTCTCCTCTTTGAGCTACGACGGTAGAGAAAACCACAAAAGGATTAGTACGGGGATGCCACGCAAGGCAATTAGTACGGGAATGTCAAACCATTTACCATACCAGGCGTAAGATACCTATAAAACGGGATTGGATGACGATGTGCGATACGTACCCGCTTCCCAAGTTTCCGCTTCCGCCACTCCGAACGTGCGAGCACATCACGAGCCTTCATCTTCCAGCGCTCGTGAAATTCCTCCGACTTCTCCCACTCCGCTTCAATGCCGTCTCGCCCTTCCTGTGAGATGAACGGCCATTGTATCCAGGGGTGCAATACATAGGAGCATGTAACCCGGCGATGACCCATATACTCTCAGTATGGCTACACAGCTACGCCCCAACACCGCAGTGATAAAATCACCTCGTGCAGTAAGCTCGCAACGCGTACGAGGTTATCATGCTTCGTTTCCTTGCGCCGCTCCTTCCGGAGCTCCTCTGCAACACATCCGATACGGGCACGACACAGCGAGTCCAGTAAGGGAGGGGGGCAATACCGTCCAGATTACGCGTGCATGGCGCCGCTGGGTCCCAGGCAGCGACACCAGAAGAATGTAGGGCTTCATCAAACTGCAAAGCTTAGCCCTTTCCTGCTATAGCCTCCTTTGCAAACCCCTTAACATGGGACTTGCACTGGAGACATGCCCCTTAGCTTGAGTGCCGTGTTGCTGATAAACACTCCTTTATTGCAGTCCTGCTGGAGTAACAGGTTCTTGGTACAGGATTCGCCTATCTCTCAAACAGTATGGTTGCTTCGTTGGTATGGTCGTTGCGGATATGGTATTAAGGGGGCTTCAGGAATCAGAGTGGATGTCTATCGGGTTGTTCTATCCCACTGGGAAGCCTTCTCCTCTCTCTTTATCTGTGACAATATCGAAACGGTTCTGGGCTGCCCACACCTAGACACCTATGTTAACTACATTTTCGAATCACCGTTATCATCTACTACCTGTTAGGCATATACGCGTGTGGGGTGGTACAAGGCCCACCTTGGCAACCTCCCGTAACACAACGACATTTACCGTAGAGATGTAAATGCTGCGTCATTGTATCCGAAGCGAGGTCCACATTAACCAGAGCACTTAACGCACCATGTCCAAGTATGTTTGACACGCCACGCGATGTATGGTAACACGCACTCCCAGGGACACTCACCCTTCGCTACGTCCAAGACCTTTAGCAGGGATTCCCGCTTTTCGTCATCGAGGAGCTCCTTCTGTGCATCTCCAAGGACTGCACGCAAATGCCACAAGGTTTGAGCATGAGCACATTTTCCGATCCGACGCGACCATGACATGCGTATGCGTGTGTGTGATACACCTTTAAATTGCGTTATTATCCAAAGGTGTAACGGGCCCATACAAGCCGGGGCCACAACGGCCGAAGGCTGCCCGGATAAGTAGATATTTAAGAAACGCATAAGATAAACGATTGTCCGATGGAATGAGTATGCAAACCGCCATGCGAGATCATCCCCGACCCATGGGACCGCATTTCACAGGACCAAGAATAATCCTCAGTCCAGCACTTACTGTCGAAAGCAGTCGACGCCTGCGGATGCTTGCATTTATCCGGGTGCACCATGAGAGAGAGCTTGCGGAATTGCCGCTTCACATCTTCTGGGGTCGCGTCAAACCGCAGGTTGAGCTTCTCGAACGGATTCAATTTGAATGCCCACAGGATTCGATTAACCTCATTATCGCGATCGACTTCTTTCAGATCGGAGAAAAATGCCTGCGTTGAAATATCACGGTCGATTGCCTGCAAGCCCGCGAATCCGTTCGATGTCACTACATTATATCAAACCTTCATCAAATCATCTGGATCAAGTTCCTCCGGAGTTGGCCTTGCTGCGTGTGGCTCATTTCGCTCTTGAGATTTGCTGCTCGGCCCAGGTCCAGCAGCATCCGAGGGGCCCGCATCCGCCATACGGAAAGCTAACAAAGTTTTTATGACTATATGCAAGACTTTTGTCCAGGGAAACCCTCGCAACCCTTGCTCTCTTATTAAAAATGTTTGCGGGTGCGGATAATATGAATTCGCATCATATGGATTCGCATCACTACTCGTCTCGCAATGCTCAGGAATTGAATGCTATCAAACTGTCAAACGGATCGAGTTTGGTTGACTGCGATTCCACGTCGTACACAGTCGCTAGTTCCATTTTCGAAATGAATACACAGCCACGCAAATCTATTACAAATTGAACATACATATTACGCTTCACGGAAACACAAGCTGTAATGGGTGAAGCGAATGGCCCCTCCAAGAAAGTCTGGCAATTAGGCTCTAATATGTAACATCCCGCTTGCAGGAATTCGTTCGCCATCATATATTGAGCATGGATAACGCGCGCGCTTGCAATCCCAGAGGTGGCGTGCTTCTGACCCATGGGCCAGGCATGGCTCTTATTATTTAACCTTCTTCACCTTGAGCTTCCTGCAACATGTAAGATACGTTGGACAGCATAAAATGTGGTGTTCACTGCAAACGTGTACGGATCACAGGCGCACCACTCACCCTGACGCCGCCACAGCTGCATTAATATTTGCTGCACAGTAAATGATGCAAATCACTGGCACAATGATCCAAATGGCATTTGCGCCGATGAAATAACCCCAAAAATATAGCGGCTCGCGTCGGCTATATTTGTGGACTCCTGCGCATATACCAGAACTCCGAGCCTGGTTAGCACACCGAAACCACAATTTGACGTAATGACAGATTCCCTCCATACCCCACCATCCATACCTTCATAAATACATGTCAGGTAGTAGAGCACATCTCCGTAGAGCTGGCCAAGAGACACCAGGATCATGGCACTAAAGCGCCAGGCGGTGCGGTACAGGACACCATAGACAATCAGGAAGCTGAGGGGGCCCCAGGCAAAGGCTGTAACACCCTCCATGGTGACGATGAACGCATCACGGGTTGCATATCGCGAGTCTGCCTTCGAATACTCCTTCCCTATTGAAGCGCGACGACACAGGTTTTAGGCCCCGGGAGTATGGTATGGAGTCCCATTCGCATCCAACTTACAGATTTCGTTCAATATGTTGCCGCTATAGTCCTGGTAGAACTTGCTATTCAAAACCACGTTCCCTGCCAATGGAGCGTCGCTGTTGAGAACGTGGACATGGTAACTACGCGCATCTGGAGGATCCTTGCACAACGCGCACCTTCGATAACAAAATGTATTATACCAGTGCACATCCACCAGCCAGCCCAAAGCCTCTCGACGGTTGTCAGGTACTTGTAGCGGCCTGAGTTGAGCAAGCAATAATTGACGCGCCTTGCAGACATAACAAGTAATGGACTTATTCGTTCAGACCTGTCAGGGCAAACATAGATATAACAACCAGTGCCGAGCAGCCAAAGAAGACAGCCAAGATAGTCTCATAGGCTAGTACGTTCGGCACGAAGCCGGGTAACACCAAATCTGTTGGCACATAAGGGTGCTTTGGGATCGCCATTTTGACAGTAAGCTCGAGTCAAGAATTCGTGCTTCAGCTTATTGTATTAACGAGGTTTAACAACAGACGTCTGCTCCGAATCCTTGCATGTACGAACATTAAAGGGTTGCAGCTATGGTTACTCAGGTATGCTCGCTCAGTGCGAGACGAGAAGCAACTGCGAGGATATGACGTGTAATGTTATTCCTGGGCAGGCCTTCAACGGAAGCACAGGGCAAATGAGGCGAAAGCCATCTTGAACCCAGAGCGCTCTGGTTCCGCTCTGGTTGAACCATGTTATCAATCTAATAAATATGTGCAAAAATATGGAGTAACGACCATGGAGCCGCTTCAGAAAGCACAAGAACGCTTGTCACTCCATGAGCTTATCCGCGTTGGCGTGGGCAGGCAAGAGGATCTGCGCCTACTGCAAAATGTAAGCACGAGGCCCAAACGACAGAAGCTCATGGAATGGGAAGGCAGGACACTCATGCCTTTTTCCTGTCTCAGGCACACCCGAGGCACCCGGAAACCCACGCCAATCTCCCCCCCTTATTTTCCACCTTGCCTTCCTCTCACAGAAATGTATATATCCATTACCTCAACCCCAAAGCACCTATGCTTCTGTCTTCTGGCTCCAGGTCGCCATGCAATCCGCTTGTTTACCCGCGACCTCCGTGGCGCAACTGCTGCGGGAGGCAGCTCTACGGGAGGAGTGGCGGTCGGGCCGGGAGGCGGCCCTCCTGGACTCCCTGCGCTCCCAGTCCCTTGGCGGTGTGCTGGGGCTGGGCCTGGGTCCAGGGGGCTGCCTCAGTGCCGCGGACGGGCGCCTGCTGTCGGAGCAGCTTGCGGCCCTCACAGAGGTGCGCACACACAGGTCGATGCGGAAAATAACAGGAAGGACGGGACGGGAAAGCCGCCGTTGCCATGAAACAATCCCCCTGGAATGACCACCTGACAGGGATTTTGGTTCCGTTGTCCTGCGCCGCCCATGTCGTGCCTCCATGTCTATTCCTAAGTCGTCGAAATCCCGCCCCCGTCTGGTTCCCCCTGCTGGTCACCCGCTGGGTGCCGCTCGGCCCCTCCGGGCCGTCAGATGGTGGAGCAGCACCAGCAGCGCAGGCGGACCCGGGCTGCGGCAGCATCCGCGGCGGCACCAGGAGCAGCAGTGCAGCGGGCAGCGGCGGCCGTGTACCGCGGCTCCCCAACCTCGCGCAAGAGCCCCGGTGCGACCTCCCACCCGGGACCCCGCGGACCGCACCCGGCAGCTCCCGCCGCCCCCAGTAGTACCGGTAGCAGTACCGCCGCTGTCACCGCCAGCGCTCCCTCCCCGGTGCGGCCCCATACCTCCTCTCACCCCTACCTCACACCTCTGGGCCCCAAGCAGCCACCGGCACCTCAGTCCCCGTTGTCAACACCGCCAGTGCAGCAGCAGCAGCCGCAGCCGCTGACTGGCCAACTCGCAGAGGGGCTGGGTCGGCGGCTTTCCCGCCCGGCCTCCACACCCTCAGCAGCTAGCCGCAGCAGCACCGGACTGGTGCGGACGGTCTCCGCGGGGTCGGATGTCGCGGACAGGAGGGACAGCGACAGCAGCGGCACCAGCGGGTACGACGTAGGCCACCACTCACCGGCGGCCCCGGCGCAGCGACAGCGGCGGCTGGGCACATCTGTGGGCGCTCCGGGATCCGCTGCTTCCGTGGCTGCGGCAGCAGCCATCTATGGGGCCGGCACCGCGGCCACCGCTGGCGGTACGGGAGTGGTGGGCTCACCCGCGCGGGGGCTGCGGAGCAGCGGACGCGGCGGTGGACGGCAACAGCAGCCAAGTGGTGGTGGCGGCGGTGGTGGTCCGTCTTCTCCTTTCCAGGCGGTGAAATCGACCCATGGGTCACCACTCAGTCAGGGAAGGCTCAGGCCGTGTAGCGCACCGGACGGGCTCCCGGGGCCGAGTGCCTGGGACGCCACGCGGACAGCGGCAGTAGCAGCAGCGGGACCAGTGGACACCTCGGTGGCCATGATGTCGGCGGCAGCTGCGACGGCTGCTGCAGCCGCGGCTGCCGTCAACTCCCCCCCTGGAGGAGGTGGTGGGGCGGTCGGGGCCAGCCACGCCGCGGAGCGCAACAGTGGATTCCGCAACCTGTTGCGGCTGCAGCAGCTGTTGGTGCAGGTAGGTGGGTGGCCTTGGGGCGCTCGTAGGCGGCGGTCGGTGAGTGAGCGGAAGGGGATTAAAGGTGGGACTCCTGTCAGTGAGATGGGGTTGGGGTGATCAGGGGACAGGAAATTTGTGGAGTGGAGCAGCGGTGTGTGTGTGTATATAGAGGGATCCGCTCTATTGCGGTAGTGGTTTGGCGGCCAAGGGGGAGAGATGTGTGGCGGATGCAGTTTGCTGCCCCCTGTCGCTCCGTGCTGTTGGTTGGAGAGGACGTGGAGGGGCATGCAGAGCCCTGACCTTCTGAACCAATAGAGGACCGGACCTGTGACCTGCAGGGCCTTCGTGAGCACGCCCAAGCCGAGGGCGAGGGTGGTGCGCTGGAGGCGCTGGTCGCCAGTGTGACGGAGGGACAGCACTTCTTTGCGGAGTGCCTGCTGGAGGCGTTGGAGGCCGCGGGGCTGCCACCGGATGCAGTGGGGGGGGGGGTGGGCGGTGGTGGCAGCGGTCCGCCGTCTCTCCCCTCAGGCTCCCCGCCGTGGGGGCGGCGGCCTCCGGTTCAGGCCTGGGACAAGATGCTGCGGTTGGGTCAGCTGGGCCTTACGCGGTCGGACGTGAACCGGCTGGAGGAGATCAGGCGGCAGCGGGCGGCCCGGGTCATTCAGCGGCAGGTGGGGGGCTGGAGGTTGGGTGACGTCATTGGGGGTAGGTCGTTTCACCTCTCATGCGTTGTTTGTCGAAGTGACAACTGCCGGTCGGACTGGGGTGGACTGGGGGCGGCGTGTTGGCGGCGTTGGGCGCTCAGGCGGGAGGGTACAGGGGGGGCGGGGTGGGGTGGGGTGGGGGAGGTGAGGGGCAGCAGCAGCGGGAGGAGGAGGAGGGTGGCAGCATGTCCTGAGGTGGTCCTGAGGTGCTTCCCTCACCTCACCTCCTGGCTGCCTTCTTTGGACTTTGGACTTGGCAGCAGCTAGTAAGTAACTCATTTTGCAACCTAGTTATGGCCACGTCGATGCCAAAACTATACTCTAGTCATCACTGGTCAGTAAATATTCCCAATGATGCAGTATCCGTCTATCTCTAGAATCTGCTTCAATCGCCAGTAGTTCGCCCTACCCGTCAGCTCCTCTTCCCTCCTCTCCGTCTGCGGCGCCTCTGGTGACACATTCCCCTGTACGAGGGCGTGGCGTCTGAGATCGGGTTTTACCTGGGGTGCTGGTTTGGCGGGATATCGTCTCGTCTAATGCCCAGCCATCATCGCGATGTGCCGCGCTTACCCCGTCGCACCCTCCTTTCTCCTCTCCCGCCGCCACCTCACCGCCAGGTGCGCAAGTGGTTGCGGAGGCGGCGGCACCAGCGGCGGCTGGCGGAGGCCCGGGCCAGGGCAGATGCCATGCAGCGGAAGCTTAGGTGCGTGGGGGGGGGGGAGGAGGTGGCGGGAGGGGGGCTCGTGCACCGCAGCTGGCTAGCTGCCGAGGCCGTGACGGCTGTAGAGGTGTGTAGCCATGCAGGAGTGGGCGGGAAAGGGGTCCTGACTCCCGCCAGGTCTAGGGGGCGCCGAGGACGAGGGGGGGGAAATCATGTGCAAGGAATTCGGAAATGAACTGCTGCCGGCGTCCACACGTCAAGTCTTAGGACCAGGGGGGGGACGAGGGCATCTGGGAGAGGAGTATCGCTGTCATGTGCGGCCCCAGTGGGGGGGGCTGGGTCTTAGTAACTGCTTGAAAGAGACGGGGTGGGTCAGACAGTCGGTCATTGGGCGGTCTGGCCGTCTCTCCGCCCGCCCTTCCCCCTTCACCCCTTTTCTAACCTCTCCCCTGTCGGCAGGTTGTCTGTTTGGCACAAAAAAAACAAAAACCTTTGGGTGGTTTTCCTCAACATATGAACCCTCTCCACCTCCTCCTCTTGCTGGGGCTGTTCCCCCGGGGGCTTCACCCGTCCAACCGCCTCCGGCACGGCATTACGTTAAAAGTAGGGGAGTAGTTATCAGGGCACTTAAGCAAATCTGTTGGCCCCTACCCCTCTTACCCCCCTTCATGCACCCCTTGCCCTCCCTTTCCCAACCCCCCAGGGAGGTGGCTGCCCGGGTGATTCAGTCCTGGGTTCGGGGCCACCTCGCTCGCCGCCTGGTGGCCCGCCTGGCTGCGGAGGCAGCTCGGGAGGGGGCCGAGCGGCGGCGGCTGGCGGCGGTGAGGGCGGCGGCGGCCACCCGCATTCAGAGGGCCTGGCGGGCGCACCGCCGGGCGTTGAGGTACGCGGAGGTGCTGGCCAGGGCGGAGGAGAAGCGGAGGAGGAGGCTACAGCTGCCCGAGCAGGAGCAGCAGCAGCAGCAGCAAGGGGGAGCGGTGGTGACGGTGGCGGTGGCGGGAGGGCAGGCGGGTGGCCGTACGGGTTGCGGCCGCGTCCTGATGACCGCCGAGCAAGCTGTGGTTGTGATCCAGGTGGGGAGAGTGATGTGATGTGGGAATGAATGTGGCGGTGGAGGTGTCTCTGGGGGGCCCTGCTGTGGAGCGCCAAGGGGCTTCAAGTTGGGTGGTTACTTGGGAGTCGGTTGGCGGGTCGGCAGCGGATGACGTCACCGTTAGTGGCGGTTGAATGGCGGTGCAGTTGTGGGGTCGTTGCGGTGGTAAGTAACGCCGCAACCTCAACCCCAACCCACAGGAGGGGGCCGGTGTGGGTACTGCGACGTCAGGGGGGGCCACCTTTTCAACCCCCTCCTCGCCCCCCTTTCCCGACACTGCCGCCCTTCCCCGGCCCCCCGCAGTCCCACCTGCGTGGCTGGCTGGTCCGCCGCAGCTCCGACCTGTGGTGGGCCCGAGCCAGTCTGCGGCTGAGGGAGCGGCGGGCGGGGGCGAGGGCGTGGAGGCAGCACCAGCGCTTCATGGAGGCCAGCCACGACATGCAGGCGCAGGTGCGGGGAGGGGAGGGGAGGGGAGGAGGGGTAAGGCGGACCGCTGGGGGAACGGAGGGGTAGGAGGAGCCACAGCTAGCTGCTGGGAAGGGAGGGAGGCAGCTTAGAAAGAGGCTGGGGGCTGTGGAGCAACAACAGGTAGATGGGTCCCCGGGCAAGAAGCCCAATAGCAGCCAATAGCTCGCCAGCTCACCGATCTTTGCCATTCCCCGGCCCACCCCGCAGCTTCTAGGTTCCCTGGTTCGTGAGGCCCAGCTGGCCGCGGCGCTGGAGGCGGACCGGCGGCGCCAGGACGGGGAGATGAGGGCCGCCTTCAACGAGTGGCTGCTGCAGCAGCAGCGGGTGGCGCTGTCGCAGCCGCTGCCACGGGGCTGGGTGCCCCACCCGCACCCCAGCGAGCCGGGTCGCATGTGCTTCCTGAACACGCGAACCGGTGAGGGGGTTTAGTGGGGGTTGGGTCTGTTCTCCTCCCCGCTCTGAGGCAACACCCTCACCTCGCTCCACCTGCTCAACCCACGTCTCCCTCAACCCCCTTTCCGTCCGTCCGCCCCCCCGCCCCCTCCCTCTCCCCCCGCACCAGGTGAGCTCCACGGCCTGCACCCCGCCGTGGCGGAGCTGGCTCGCCACGCCCGGGAGCAGCACGCCGCCGCAGTGGCCGCCCTGCAGCTGAGGTTCTCCGGCGTACCCGCCTACCTGGAGCAGGTGCACCAGGCCACAGCGGCTCAGGCGACCATCGCAATGAGGGCCATTGCAGTGGTGTACCAGAGCGCGGTGGCACAGGCGGGGGGCCTGCGGCCGCGGCCCTAAATGGCGGCGGGGAAGGGAAGGGCACCGCGGGAGGGGACACCGCCGAGGACTCGTCCCGCGGCCCCTCCCCTTTGGAGCTTTTTGGAGGAGCTGGGGCAGCTGTGCGGGTAGGAGTGTGTGTATGAGAGTGCGGGGGGCCGGGAGGGGGGGTTTGAGTGGCGGAGAAGGGGAATGGAGCAAGAGGGCATGGGAAGTCCTGGACCGGGTGGCGGGAGATGTGATGTGATGTGATGTGATGTGGCTAAGGGGGCTAAGAGGGCGGAGGGTTGGGAAGGGGTTTCAGGGTTAGGGCAGAGGGCCTATGAGGGCGCCGTCCGTGAGGGTGCGTGGCGAGGAGAGGCGCTGCGGCCTATTGTAGCAATTGCTGGGCCGAGGTGGGGCTCGGGGGGCTGGCGGTGCCTGGGGTGGCGCGTTTGGCCCCCTCCCCCTCCCCCGGTGCGAAGTCCCTGTCCCTACAGTCACTCTTCAGTCTCCCGGGGGGACTTTGAGGAGGGGGTTTAGGTAGGGGGCGGGTGGGTGGGCACCAGTGGCTTGAAACCTGACAACCTGACAACTTGATGCATTTTGAACTGCGCCGTAATGACCAGCTGTGTGCTGCTGTGTGACCATGTGCCCGCAGGTCTTCAGCGTTTTTTTAGGCTTTTAAGGATTTGGGAGGGCCGTGTTTGGCTGCAGGGTGTGGCTGGGGGCCAGCATTTGGCGCCTCCATGACCCTGCCTCTGCGAGCAGGCTTGCAGTTGCGGAGTGCTGTGCGGGGGGCTGCTGGGGTCCGGCGGCAGGGGGGCCCCCCTTGCGGTCTGTTGTGCCACCGGGGAGGGCGCTCGCCGGGTTGGTGGGAGTTTCCCCCCCTTCTGGAGGGAGTTAGACAGACAGTCAGTGCAGGTGCTCAGCCATCAGCGTCATCCTTAGAGCAGCAATCCTAGCTAGGAGTAATAGTTTGTCTATGCTGTGAACCTCCAACGTTGTTCGAGCTGGACAGAGCCGCCTACCGTCGCCGCGTCAGTACGATAACCCCAGGGTCGGGTCGTGGTTTCATCCATGATGCAAATTGTCTGGCGACACGCAATTGCTCCGGCGGCACAGGAATGCGTCGTGGGCAGCTGGGTGTCCTAGGAGGGAGGGAGGGAGGGAGGGAGGTGGGCAATCCGTCGAATGCAGCTACCACCGTGAAGCGGTACATCGAGGCATGCCCTGTGAGAGGTGGCTGCCGGGCCCTCCACAGCACCAGTGGTAGCGCGGCCGTGCTACGTCCCAAACACACCGTTCTGTTCTGTCACCGGATCAGGTGGTGCAAGTAGGCACAGCTGTTGGTGTGTGGTGGGCTGTCGACCCACCCGCACCGCCATCCGACCATTCGACGACCGCCTGGCACCTTGGGGGTATTCAACGGACCTCGTATCCCCGGGGGGGGGATGGTCACATCCGCATCAGGCCGCCGGTGCCGCCCCGCGACTGGTTCCCTTTTCCTATGAGGAGGATAGGTAGCCACACTGCTTGCAAATACAGGAAAAGATGAAGGTATGGACGAAGTGCATGGCGGCATGGATTATATGTATGTATGTATGTATGTATGTATGTGTTACACCTCCTCGGGTTGCGTTACTCCCCAAAGGTGTAACCTAGGGCCCCACACGAGCCAATATGTAGGGCCTCTGTAGGGCTGTGCTACGTAGGTAGGTAGGTAGATAGGTAGGTAGCTTAAAAGACGAGTAAGAAATACTGTTATCTTATCCCTAAACACGAAAAATTATGTCGAACTAATTGAACTACCCAGACTGGTATGCCGTAGAAGTGCGCCTACCCGCTATTATGTCTTGTCCTCGTTAGCCGCCGTACTGCTGTATGCAGGCGGTGTTAGCCTGATAGCGACGTCGCAAGAGCGAATATCTGTCTGAGTTGCCATGTCTTGTGGACTTGTTTTGTGATGAGCTTTCGGGGTGCGACCAAATGTCTATTCGGGCCAGAACGGCCTTTCAGTGATTGCCGTCAGCAGTTTTGTGATGCAGGACCGTCCGCTATGTTTTCCTTGTGTGCAAAGTTGGACAAGATGAAGCTGTTCGCCCCTGACGTGCGAATGCGGTGCTTTGCAACCCAAGTCCGAGCAATTTTGTTGTACGGCTGCCAGGCATGGGGCCCCTTTCGCGCTGACAGAGGCCGTGGATAGGGTGGGAAAGCGGCGGGATAATGTCAACCTTGCGGGGGACATATGTTTGAAGCTTGTTCGAGGGATGGCGCAGTCCAGCTGCAGATTATGTTCATGAGGCAGATAGGGGGGCCGGTACGGGCATCCCACCTGTTGTTGTATGCGGAGTCTGCTGAGCTCCCCCTACAGTATTACATGGTGAAACAGATCCTCCGTTTCTGGAACCGCCTTTAAAAGCAAGTGGGGTCCATTGCTCATGCAGTCTTACGGCAGGAGATAACCGATGCCCTGACCAACCCGGAATGGGAGGGTTGGGGAACCTCGATGCTACGACTGTTTTCTTTCTTGGAGTGCAATATTTGGAGCGGAATACGGCAAGAAGTCCTGGAGGTAAAGGAGCGAGCTTACTGGTTGCTGAGTAGGCCTCTCCCCGAAGGAACAATGGTAACGGCATGGGGACGCGTCTGACGCGCGACTGGGACCATGCGGGTCTGGCTGTCTGGCCAGAGAAGCACCCATCGAGCGGGAGTACAGATGGCGAAGTATAAGCACTGGATGGGGCTGCCCTTTTCGGGAGCCGCAGCCGTCATGTGGCCAACACATGCTAAGGTTTTCATTTCACGTTTAGCACATCGTAAGCTAATGCAGTTTCGTCTATGTTGCTGGGCTTTGGAGGCAAACAGAGCATGAAGGGGCAAGTACCATGTCCCCAGGGAGCAGCGGATTTGCCGCTGTTGTGGCACAAATAGCCAACTCGAGGATGAAAAACACGTGTTATTGGATTGCCCAGCCTATAATGATATTCGTGCTGAAGAGGGATTCGATCATCAACAGAGCATGCATTTTTGAGGATGTTGGAACGTATGTGGGCTCACCGTAACTCAGTTATCCCCTTTGGGCGCTAGTTTTTCTCTTCTCCTGCTAGTGCGATATTTCCTTTTTTCGTGGCTTTCAGGCGTTCAGGTTTTGCCGTTAGGCATTCGGCTCCTATGGATAGTTCTACAGGTATGGGGTCACGCACCCCAAACCATGTAACACACGCACGCACGCACAGTTAGCCAGATACCGCGAATCAGGTTCATCGACTGCAGCCAGTCAACCGGTACTATCGCATCCTTCATAGCCTGATCCACCTGAAACCCGACATGAAGCCCCTGCATGTGCGACCTAATGCTGGGCACTCCAAGAGTACATCCTCTTCAACAACAGCAGCAGATCCTCTGTTCGCGTGCGATCCACCCATAAGCTCTATTTGCTTCTAGCGGCCAGCAAAATAAACAAAAATGCATTAGCAGCCGATGAATATCGGGAGGGATAGATAAGCTTCGACTCCTTGAAGAGATGTATGAGTGTAGAGATAGGCGAGTAGTTAGTTACTGCGAAGGGAAGCTGCCGTGGTGCGTGGAAGCAGGGCGCATGCATGCGACCACAGTACGGCAGGGGACTCCAAGCTTCTACTTGGGTCGCAAAGGCGGATTGGTTTTTTAACTGCCGTTGTTTTGACTATTACCAAGAGGTGTGTCCCGCTGCTGGGACATTGTCCTCTAGTGTCCCCCCCACACACCACCACCAGGGCAAATCCTGGGATTGCCACATCGCAGCAATTTTGTCGCTGGCCTTAGGTGGGTCGCCCTGTGTGGCTCTCCGGCACACTTGTCGGGGTTCTTTAGGTCCTGGGGCCCTTTATGGCAGTGCAACTCAGGTCACTGTCATCACTATCTGCTTTGCGGCCAGGATGACTGCTGCCGAGCCGAGCCGGCGGCTGGCGGCTTAGCTGCAGTAACGCAACACGGCAGGAACTGAGCAATAAAACCCCGAGCACAACCCATATGTTTGGTTTGACCTCAATACGTTGGGTGGTTTCGGACATGGTGGTACCGGCGCATTCCAGGACCACTAAATTGCGCTCATGCATTTCCACAGCGAACAGACACAGTCAATTGCGAATGTGCTAAGGTGTGACATTGTGACGGGCCCATGTGATTATAACGACCTACGAGGCGACCGTAAGTGCCAGTGAAGGGTTGTTGTGACCAGACCTACCAGGTGCCCCCAGGGCTGCCTGTCCACGCAACCATGCCCACCCATGCACTAGCAACCTGTTGTTGCCTGTGACAGGATCCACCATGTTGCTGTCCAGTGAGCAAATCGCACATCCTTCCAACGGTTGCTTTCTTCGTTGGACCAACCAGATTTGTGGCCAGTGAAATGCACGTTGAGTTGATGGGTCATAACGTGCGGACGGGTGTGGACGACTCAGGCGACATTGAGGTCAAAGTTGATGCTCTGGCGACACGTTCACTAGATGTAGGCCAGTTGATCTGTGAACTTCGGAGCCGATTTGATGATGCCTGGGAAAGTGAGCGGTTGACAGTGGATCCAGCTTTGTTTGTTTCAGATAATAGGCAACCAGGGGTAAAGATGTGCCGCTATAAGCATTGGATGGGTTTGCCCAAGCATGGCAGCGGCTATATCTTGCCAAAACAGCACGTCACGCTGATGCGTTTCAGGATGTGTGTTTGGCCTTGGGCGGTTAATCGACCGCACGGTAGGGAACGGTCTGCCCGGTGGTGCCGGGTCTGTGGGAACCGGCAAGCTGTTGAAGATGAATGTCATGTGCTGCTAGATTGTCCTGCGTATGCGAATATCCGTTTGAAGCTTTGGGACCTGGGGGTTACTCCTGGGGACCGCATGATCGAGATTATGGGCGTCAAGGATCAACGCGGGTTAGCGCGCGTCTTGGACGACATTAGAAGATGCAGGTTGCAGTACGTTGAAGATGAATCAATCTGTTATTGTTGGGTATTGGCATTTTTCTTTTTTGAGTTCCTGTTTCCAGTTTGGCGGTTCATGAGCCTTTTGGCTCGTCTGGACCGTACAAGCTTGAAGCTTGTAAACGTAAACGTAAAACGTAAACGTAAAACGTAAACGAAATGCACGTGCCCGCATTCGGAGCTGACGGCGGCACCTAGCGGCACAACCAACATCACCTCAAGATGCCACACACGACTCAGTCACATCTGCAGGTCACGAGCCACGAGTAAGCTACGGTAAGGAAATAACCAGGATCCAAGGAAGAAGTCACCAACCCCTGTGTGCACATGCACATCCGGACGGACCAGGACGTGACGCCCCGTAATACATAGGCCTTATGTCAATCATCTAGATCTTTTTAATGTGGACACGTTCATCCATGTTTCACCCTAATTGGACTTGGATAGCCTATGTTGACTGGGTTTGAATGGATGCCTATACGCCGGATACGTGTATGCCAACCAAACACTTAAAACCGAAGTGTAACCAGCTCAAAACTCGAAAGCCCGAAATGAGCCTTATAACAACATGTAGAACTCTTTGATTCTGGACATGTACATCTTGCTTCACCCGATTTGGACTTGGACAGCCCTGCAGCCTTACTCAGGTTTTAATAGATGCCTGTAAACCTGTTGCATGTGAGCCCCACACCTTATGCCATACCAAGACCCAAAAAGCTCGACATGAATTTACATCAGCGTACAAATTGTTAAATTCTGGACAATTTGTGTTCATACTAATTGTACCCGATTTGGACTTGGATAGCCCAGGTTTACACGAGTCTGAATTGATGGCTCTTGCGCATAAATCTACATGCGGTGACGAGGAAATGAATGAGTGCCCTTGGAGTGAGATCACATGTACCAACAATAACAACAACAAACACATAGACTCTACCTCCAAACCGTGATTAGAACTAAATACCCATTTTATGTACTTTCATTCATTGAAATGCAGCATCAAAGCCCAGCAGCCTTGGAATTGCATAATGCGCCAGGCTCTTGAGTACCTCAAACTCCCCCCGGCTGACTGGCAAAGAAATGTTGTCGGGCGCGGCGCTGAGGCTGAAGGAGATGGCACCATCCGGCATCTGCTTCATGGTGAGCCGCTTCATAGGCTGGGGGAGGAGCAGCAGGTCATGTTTCATAGGACCCACCATTAGTATGTGCTAGGAATATCCAAGGCAAGGGCAAACGGCCCAAGCAACATACTCGGGTGCGTGAATGGATTAGTGTGTGCATGTGTGGTGGATGGGCGGGTGAATGGGTGGGTAAATGAATGGATAGGCTAATGGGCAGGTCGCCTTGCTCCGTGGAATCATTCACACGCACATCACTCTTCCAAGTATCACACATGCTTTTACAGCTATGGATTTCTGTCAGTATCACTGTTCACTCCCTCCCCTTTTCTCCGCTCTACTCCCCCCTCCCGTCTGTACTGCCACCGAGCTGCATCCCCACGCGGGGCTAGGTTCGTGCATGTCGGTGTGTGCTGGGGCCTTGCATGTGTGCGTGAGTGTGTGAGAGGGTCCTGCAGGGCCCCCAACCAGATGGGACGCAAGGGCCCCTAAGGCCCCACGTGCACATGTGCCGCCGCTTCAGCTATATCTGTCACTCACCTCCCCAACCTTGCCCAACTTGGTCGGGTCATGATACATGACCAGCCCCTTGTCTGAGGCAATGGCGTCACCCGCCAGCATGGTACCCAACTCCGAGGGGGACAGTGCGAAGGAAATCTGTTAAGGGGAGTTAGGTATTCAGTTGGGGACAGTTGTAGGCCGGTCAGGTTATGTGACGCCAGGGGTCGGTCGGCAGTTGGATAGGGGGGCACTGAAAACTCTCCCCGGGGTGCCGTCAAGATGTATTGATAAGACGATTCCGCTCCGTGGCAGCAGCTGAGGTTTCGTCTCATATGGGTGGGTGTCAAACTCAAACTCCCCCCGACCAGACCGACCCGTGCCCCACGCGAGTTGCCCGTGGGCCCCCCGGGGTGCCCCGGCGCATGTGGACCTCATCTGGGTCGCTGTGCCGCCTTTCCTTCAGCTTGTGCTTTGAAGCCGCATCTTAAGCTGGCTTCGGCGGTGGAAAAGTTCAAGTCACAACGCATGTGGATATCGGCCCCAGACGCAGCAAAGATGCTGAGGGATTGATTCCGACAATGAGCGGAGGATCATTGGACAAGGGGATCCCTCGACCGGCACACATGGGTTCGAACGATGACGCTGCCCCGAAACACCGGGGAAGGTGGTAGGGGGACTGCCAGGCTAGCTAGTGGCAACGGGTGAAGCTACAATCACCCCCTACTTCACACCATCATACGGACAGGGAATGTCAGCCGGATCCTGAGCAGACCCAAATGCAACGGACGTGTGTTGAGGGATCGAGACCATGCTTGCGGCGGCTCCCTTGACATCCATGTCGTACGTATAATTACCTTGTTGGACCAGTTGTAGGTGCGATTGATTCCGCCCGCCGCTGGGGCTGTCCCGGACGGCTGCCCGGGATTGGCGTTTGCAAACTCCAGCAGCATCACGCCATCGCGCTCCAAGGTCTTGTAACCGTTCTCGGTCGTGAAGCTGGGCGGCAGTAGCCGTACCGCCATGGCTGCACGTGTCTTATAGATGTGGAAGTTTACATAGACGCGCTCTGTCGAGCTTGTTGCGAGGGCGCGAGGCTGGGATGTGGTCGAGGTGGAGGGGTATGGGGAAAGGGGTTGCAGCTTTCGGCTGTGGACACACACGGCATCACCAACGGGTGAGCATGCTATCACTTATTGTGTCATAGGCGTACTCCTATAGGCATGTGATGGGATATTGTGGCCTGCCCACGTGCGTTGCCATCGGTGCCGCAGCTGTCGGCAGGAGCCAAACGCACCTCAATCCACTGCAATTTATCTAGTGCGGAAGCCGTCTTTCTTAAGGCTGTTCACTATGCCAGCATCCCGCATATCCGCGGTTGCGAAAACAAACTATGGTTGCGACTGTACCGACACTGGCATTTGGTTGCACTTGAAAACTCACCCCCGGCGAAGGAGCACTGTAGTTTGGCTTCGATACCGGTGCCGACAGCTGCTGTGAAAGGCTCTGAGCTGCCACTGAAAAGGCGCGCTGGCTCACGCGAACTCGACCACAAGTCGGAGAAGCTTTTCCCAACATTGCGGAGCAAAGCATTTTAGTGTGTCGAAAGGCTGTTCCTTAGTTTTCAGGTCGTTATATTAACTTTGGCGAGATTAAACCTCACTGCCGCAACGCGCGGTCGTTTTACAGTTGACACTTACGGCCTTGGGAATGCACAATCGCAATGCGCGATATTTGAAGTTAAAAAAAATTTATTGCACATGATCAGCATGCGGTGTTACAAATATGAGAGATGCACGACTGGTACGGGAGGCTTACTGGAGGCTGGTACGGGAGACCGCGTTTGCGGTCAGGTCAGGAGGACGAGAAGCACGCCATCCTAGATTCTCCTGCTCAGGCTGATATCCGTGCTTTCCCCGAGTGACCAAGGCTAGGATTGAGGATCCAGCCCGATGCACCCACTCAGAAAACTAACACTGGCCAAGTCACAGTTCCCCGAACCCGGCAAGCAGATTTTGGAGACCTTGGCACGGGCAGATCGTAAGAACAGAAAGTCCCCCTGGGCACGGAGTGCTGTCCATCACAGCGCATCTCCACAGCGCACCTCCACAGACCAAATAAAATGCTGCACAGATGATTGTGGCCTCGAAGGCCTCGCCATCACGCTCTCTCCGAACCACCGGCCGTCCCGTGTCGGCCTCTACCCATGCCGCTCGTCTCCCGACCGCTCTTCCCACCCCTCCTCCCCTCCCCCTCCTTCGCTCCCCAGCTGCAGCGCCTCGTCCACCTGGCCGCCTAACCTTCTGGCCTCCAATAGCAGCGAGTTGAGTCGGGATACTCGCCGCAGTTCCGCCTCTTCCTCCAGCACCTTGGCGTGGCACCACATCGGGAGGCGTGGTGGTCGGGCCGAGGGGTTTCCGGGAAGGGAGACGAGGGAGGAAAGCGACGCATGGGGAGGAGGATATGAGGGCGTCAACTGTAGCAGAAGCAGAAGCAGCTGTAAACTCTCAGCCGCTGCCCGACTGCTACCCGGGACACGCCTAGCCTCGCGGGCCTTACGAGTCCAGTGGAAAGGGGACGTGGGAGGGACGCGGAAGCGCTGGAGGACATGGCGGCACTAGAAGGCGCAAGAGCACGGTACGGGTGGCTTCAAGCCTTCTTCTGTGATATCCAAGACTGCACCCAGCAATCCCCAGCAGGACTCCGATAACCAATCCCCGGCACTCGGGAGCCTACGTGCGCCCCCCACTCTTAAAGCCCTAATCCAGCCCACCTGCATCATCTTCTTGGTATCGCTGGTCTGCTGCTCCAGGGTGCTAGCCAGCTCGTCCACCTCCCCCAGGAGCCGGAACATGTCAGCCAGCTCCGCAGCCTGGCGCTCGCGGCGGGCGGCCAGGGCCTAACAGGAGGATACGACCAGCAGCGGCGGGGAAGGTTCAAGGAGGACAGGGTGAGCGTCAGCCGCGGGACAAGGAAGCGACCCGGTCATGGGAGAGGACTGGCGGGTGTTGTTGGGGCCGCTGGAGGCCCCGCAGGCGACCATGCAACAATGCGCAATCCGCCACCCCCCCCCGCCAACCCGGGCACCCCATGTGCACACACGCCCCCGGTACATACCTGCTGCACGGAAGCTACAGCGACCTTCTGTGTGGCCTCCACTCGGGCACTGGCGGCACCCAGTGTCCGCATCTCCGCAGTCCACCGATCCAGCAGTGCAGCCCGATGCATCTCCCGCTGGACACGCTGCCGCGCCTCCTCCGCATCCTCCGCATCCTCCTCTCCCCGCCCTTGCCCGGCCGCCTCGGCCGTCCGCTCCTCCCCCTCCACCGCACGGCTGCCAATCACGCCGTCGGCGGAACTCCCGGCCACAGCGGGACGCTGTTCAGCGGAGATACACACGAGGAAGGGGGGAGGGAAAGCTGTGCACGCACTCGTATGTGTGTCTACATAGTCAGTCATAAGCGGCGCCACGCATGCCCGCGGATCCCCGCAGCCGGAATGACCTTTTCAATGCCTAGCCAGGCATGATGGCCTACATGGGACAGCCGCAGTGCACTGAGCGCTGTAGCCAGAAGCCCCCCCCCCTGTAACACCGCAATCCGATTCATCTTGCCGGCTATGCCAGATACCAATGGGAACATATGGTGAAGATAAAGCTCGCAGTGAGGTGCCTCACACCCATGCCGCCTGTCCTCGTAGTACTGTTGGGTGCACATGTAAATCGTTGCAGTAACGTGCTGAAAGAAACAGCGCTGAATTCGTGTTCTGATTACATCACCCCAAATTTCAGAGCCCTTTCCCAGCTCTTGACGTCTAAAGGAGCCCGCCGCACCTTCCCTGCCGCTCGCAATGGCTGCGCGCTACGCCGTGCGACACGCGTGCCGGTGTGGACCGTGGGTGTTTCGCCGCCTCGTTCCACTCCGCTGCCATGCACGGGGCACCCGGGGAAGTTGCAGCCGCCGCATTCCGTCTCAGGTCCCAGCGGGTCGCCATCATCATCCCAGTCTTCCCCCTGGTCCCCCTCGCCATGGTCCGCTCCGAAACCCCATTCACAGCCGGCAGCGTCGGCGGACGGGTGCATGGCGCTGCGGACCCGATTTGTAAAGTTGTGCTGGTGCTGTATCATCGCCGCCACCTGACCAGTGCAAATGTGAGCCGCAGGTTTCCATCAGGCGGTCCCATCAGGGGCAATGGCTAGGTACCGTAAACTCGGCGGGAGAGGGATTCTGTGGAGGCCACGCGTGGAGGCATCCGGCAATGCCTTTACGGCAGCCCTCCCATGAAAGGGTAATTGGGCGGCATGGAGCGGTCTAGCGACAACGAACGGCGTCAGGGCGGTGTGCGTGGGTGCCTGAGAAGCTACTCCCTTAGCCTTTAACGAGCGCGCGGAGCCCTATGCAGTGTCAGATCCGGAACATCACCCCACACGCCTTACCCAGTCCCGTCGCCTAGCGACACAGTATCGCCACACAGTTCCCCCCAGGGCCACCTTCGGCACCAGAAAAGCCCCCGACGCACCTGCGGTGGCAGTACGGCAGCGTCCTCGCGTCGGCTGCTCCACCGCCGCCGCTTCACCTCCGCGTGCATGCGCTGCTGTCGAGGGCTGCGTGTGCGCGGCTGCTGCTCCAAACTCGACCTCGTCAGGTAGGCTTGGCGCACCGGGACCGGGAAGACTGACCCGCGGGTCTCATCGCCCGAAAACAAGCTACGCCGCCTACCCAATGCCACATTCCGGCTGCCGGAGGCATACCATGGGCCTTCACCACCGGCGCCAACACCAAAGCCACCGTCACCTCCGCCGGCGCCGGCACCCGCCGGCATCTGGTACTCCGGCAGCGGCAGAAACAATGGCCGAAGCTGTTTGGTGGGATCTGCGAAGTGCTGCAGACCTGCCTGGTAGCGTGCCCGCCGTTCTGCCACTGCCGCTTCCTGCCGCGCACGCAGGCGCTGCAGTGCCGCCAGCCGGCGCTGCTGCTCGGGGTTGGGCTTCAGCGCCAAAACCTCCGCCGCCGTCAGGCCGCGACCAGGGCTGCGCATCCCAGGTCCCTGCACCTGCGTCTGTGGTTCGCCTCCGCCACCCGGGCCCATTGCGGCAGGAGGCGCCGGCCCCCCGGGCTGCCGGCCCCGTAACACCGCAATGGGCTGCGCCTCCCAATCGGCCATGCCGCCCTGGAAGCCCGCCGCCAGCGCCGCCATGCCGGCACCATCGCGGCCACCGGACAACCCCTCCATCTCGATATCCCGTACTTGCAAGAAGGTGGGGCCTTTTCCACGCGGCACGGCGGTGTTGGGCAGCGTGGACGGCAGGAAGGTGGATTGCGAGAGGGCACTGGGGTGTGTGGGACGTTGGGAGGGCCCCGCCGCAGTGGAGTTCACTGTGCCCCCGAATGCGTCAGTTAGGTACGCGGGACCCGCGGGGCCGCGGCCAGTGTATGTGACGCCGTCGTCGCCGCCGCTGGCTCCTGGAGGTGGCGGCCCTGTCGGCGCCTCCGTACCCTCCGGCAGAATTACTCCACCGCTTTGCTGGAAGGCCTCCAGGATCAGCTGCGTCAGTTCCGCGGCCAGCGCCACCTGCCGTGGAGGTGCCGGTGGCGGTGGCGGTGGCGGTGGCGGCATGACCTGCTGCTGCTCTGGCGGTGGTGCCGAAAGCTGCTCCCCAAAGCCGGAGCTGTCCTCTGCGACTCGCGAGGCATCGCCAGCTTCTCGCCCAGCCCCGCGCACATGCGCCTCAGATTCCCCCCCTTCCCTGTTCGATCCAGATCCAGATAAGGATCCAGGTTTGGACCCGGTTAGGGACAGCACCTCCCCATCTGCTGCGCTGCCCTGCGACACCACCCCACCAGACGGCCCCCTGGGCAACGCCTGCAGTGCCGTTTCACCTCGCTTCCCTTGCTGCTCCTCCACCTGATCCCTCCCTTCGCCTACTTCGGCCTCGCCCTCCTCTTCTTCCGCTGCCACAGTCGCGAATGAAGATCTGTTGGACGAAGTCGGGTCGGAAGGTCGGCGGCCGCCATCCCCCTCCCGGGACAGCACCACGATGCCCCCAGACGTGTCATGCGAAATTCTCTTACTGCCAATCACCCGACGGACGAGACGCTTGCCCGGTGTGACGCGGTTTCCGGAGACTGTGGGCGCATCCGATAACGGGCCACCGCCACCGCCACCGCCACTGCTGCTGCTGCGTCCAGGGTGAGGGCTGGCTCCTAAGGAAGGCATCTCATTTTCGGTGACGACTGCACCCAGCCGGTCTTTGGCATTGCCGACGGCGGTGGAGGCGGCTGCGGCAGCTCCGCGGCCGTCGTCCGCCGCTCTCAGTTCCGCACCACCGTTTGGCGGCACCCACACTGCGGCACCCGTGTGCAACACCTTCACTGCGGGCGGATGCGGCCGAAGCGCGGCTTGGCTGCTTGGGCACACATATACCGGGCGTTGCTCTCTCAGGTCAGCACCGGAGGGGGAGGTAGGGCCCGGGTGAACGTAGTGCGGCCCGGGGTAGGCGGGCGGAGACGAGGGCACCGCGACCGGCACACCCGCCCAGGCTGCAGGCCCTGGCGCAGGATAGTAGGCGGGCAGGCCAGGGACTGTGATGGGGCCCCGACCGGGGTTGAGCACCAGCTGGGTGCAGTAGATATTTATGGCCTGCTGCCCCTGCTGCCCCTGCTGCGGATCTGTTGTCGCCACCTGCGGCGCCGACCCCGCGGAGGCCACCGGAAGGCTGCCGCCAGGGGCCCCGGGCTGCGCTGTTGGGGCGCTCGCAGTTGCTAATGCAGCTACCCGACTCCGTGTCGGCTCGGGGCCGAGTCGGGACCCCTGGCTCCCAGGACTCGTGCCGCCTCCGCCACCAGCATTGCCGACGTCTTGCGTCGCTGGGGGGGTACCTTGCTGTCCAGCCGTCGAGCTAGCCAATACGGCGGCTCGAAGGTTATCAGCCGCAGCTAGGTACTTGGCGCGTAAGGCGGAATGGCGGTCCAGGATCTGTTGGGTGCTCAAAAAAGCGAGTAATGAAGGGCAACAATCGCGGCGGCGCAAGTAGGGTCGCAGGTTGTAAGCCAACGGGACTAGTGGGTCAGTAAAGCCTGCCGGAACAGCCATGGCAAAGGCAAGAGAGGCGGCACACAAACGGTCTACGGAAGCAGGCGGCCATGCCAATGCTGATGCCAGTTTAGGGTGGGCGAATTGTGTGTGGCTATCAGAACTAGGAAGCCATCGCAGCTGAAGACAAGTCGTACCTCCTGAGCCCTGCGATTCGTCTCCGGCCCACGCAGCACGTCCACCATCTTAGCATGCGGGGAGCTGCCGTGCCTTGGATCGGTGGGGCCATGGCCTAACACGGCAGGTGATAGTCCCCGGCTGGCCGCTAACCCGGCATCCTCAAGCCCCGTTACGACTCCTACGCCGCCAGGTGCTTCCTTGCCAGCCAGGGGCTCCCCGCTGTCGGTACCGCCAGAGCCCGTGGCGGCTACAGCGGGCGGAGGCCGATGCTGCTGCTGTAAGCGGTCCGCCGCCATGGCGTCACTGCGGCTACCTCGCCGCGATGACCGCATCTCCGATCCTGCCATCCGATGCAGCAGCCTCTCCGCTACGTCCAGTCCGAAATCGTCGCCGGGTTCTGGCCGGGTAGCGGGAGGGGCTGGGGGCCCTGCGCCACCATCATTATCGCCGTTCTCAGGTGCGCCGGCGGCCGTCGCACCCGGGGCGGATGCACCGTGTCGTGCGCCACCGCGGCTCCCGTCACTGCCCTCGCTACTGCTAGTGCTGCTGCTGCTGCTGGTGCTCCTACCGCTCCTGTACTCGCTGTTGCCGCTGTCCGAGATGGCGTCGCCCCCAGAGGAGCTCGCCCGCTTGCGGTGCCGGCCCGACCCTCCTGCTCTCCTCTGCAGCCCCTTCTTCCGATTTTCCTCTTTATCTCCCTTCTGCCTCCTGCCCTCGCTTTCCCCCCCACCCTCCTTCCCCCGAAACCCTGCTTCACCGGGGCCCGACTGCCGCCGCCTCCGCTGACCCCGTTCTCTCTCTCGCCGCCTCCGTTCCCTCGCCGCTGACCCCAACTCGCCTCCATGCCCTCCTTCCTGCTCAGCCTTTGCTGTGGGACTGATAGCAAGCACCGTGCCGTCCACAGACCGGCTGACCAACCATTTCCCCGGGGAATCGTCCCGCGGCACGTCCCCAGGACCACCGGGATACGGGCCCCCGGGCATGGGCCCGGCGCCGCCGCCGCCGCCGCCGCCGCCGCCCTGGCTTCTACCGTGGCGCAGGGCATGCTGGGCCTCCCCGAGAGGCCCTGGCCCCAGCATCTGGGTTGGCTCCAACTGCAATGCTGGGTCCATATCGCGCAAGGCGGCCATGTCGGGTTGCGCCAAGGCGGCCCGCTGCTGGCGCCAGCGCGCGACGGTGTTCTCGGAGACCTGGCGCAGCGACTCGGGGGTTGTCTGGAGCAAGGGGAAGGGGTTATGCGCGGTAGGGCAAGGCAACGACAGCAATGACCGGCTACATACAACGTATTGACCGTCCTTGACTCAAGAGTGTCTGTCAGATGCGTACATAAATCCTCTGGTCTGGTCTAGGTTGACACTTCTGCAATTAGCGGATTCCTGGGGAGGACACCGAATTAGTCGGGAGCGCGAGATTATGGCTAGCTGCTGAGATGTGCAGTTGAGGTCACAGTTGATGGACCAGATTCGCACGCTGAATTGGTGGCGGTTGCCGAACTCTCCGTCTCTTCGGATGTTGGGGTGAATGAATGAGGAGGGGTCCCTGTAGGTCTGGATCCGCCGCCTTGGACTTACAGTTCGTATGGCGAAGTACAGTGTGGTAGTGGTGGATGGTGCTATAAGGTGATAAATTGTAGAACTGACAATGTGATAAAGCGGCCCAGAAGCCTCCCACTCTGTAACATTACATTACATACAAAGTCAACAGTGGAGCTTGACGTGATCGGCCGCAAGGAACGGCTTACAGAAGCAGCTTTCAGGGCAGCCTGTTACCCGTCTGCCAGGATATCCGGAGCCGCAGGGATCACGCCGCTGCAGCTTCCCTCCTCTTTCCCAGCTTTCCCGTCCCCATATTCCATTCCGTGAGTGAGGACGTAACGTGCCATGTCGGGCTTTTGCCGCCCCATGGATGCACGCGTCCATGTGCTCCCGGCCCTTACCCATCACCCGGCCCTCTCACCCTTCAACCCCGGAGACGCACACTGCTCACCTCCAGGAGGTCCGGCCACAGCGAGGGGTCCTCCACGCCAGGTAGGCCCCCTACGGCCGCTCCTAGCTGCGACAGCGACGCGAGCACCGTCAGCTGGCTCAGAGCCGACAGCCCAGCCAGCGCCCCCAGGTCAGCAGGGGCGGTCACAGGGACTTGGCAGAGCTGTGGGTCCGGCTGTGGACAAGGTTGCTGATGCTGTCGTTGCGGTGATAATGGCGCTGCTGGATACCCGTAGACAGAGGCAGGGAGAGGCGGCGTGGCGCCCGGTGCGGTGCCGGCGGAGGTACTAGTGATGGCGGTGGTGGTGCTGTGGACATGGATATCGATCGTGGGTTGGGCCAGAGCGGATTGTGTGGCCATGTCGGTAGAGCCACGAGGCGGCAGGAGCTGCTGTGGCGATGATGGTCCTGGGGACTGCGGGGAGGTCTTTGACTTGGCCACAGGGAAGACGGAGGCCTGCTGCGGGTGCTGCGGGTGCTGCGGGTGCTGCCGAGGGCGTTCAGGAGGACAGCTTTGTGATGAAGTCGGGTCAGCGGGTGCGGCTGAGGTTGCGGCCTCCGTAGCCGGCGCGCACTGCGAAGCCGCCGCGGTCATTGAAGCCGCATCCGATGCAGCGTTGGCGTCCATCAGTGGCATTGCAGTGCCATCGAATAGGCCGACACGTTGGCCCAGTGGGCCACCTGCGTATAACCCTGCGCGGCGGAGTGTGGCATTCAGGTAACTACAGAGAGACATAACACCAAACAGGAGCATGCGCATGCGCACTAGTCGTACCAACGCATGCCTACTACCTCCTAGGTTGCGGAAGCCAAGCTGTCCTCGCCGTTGAGGATCCGCGCCCTCTTCCGGGACCCTACACGCTGCATCCGAACCCACTGATTATGAACCCCGGGCCTAACCGCTTCACAGCAAAGCAAGCCAGCGTTGGGGCCGCGGGGCCCTGCCGTCACCTGTTACAGGCCGTGTACGATCCTCCACTCGGCGCAGCATTCCCAGTAGGCGCTCGGTGCGGCCGGCAGTGCCCGCGGGGGTAATTCCCGGTAGCTCCCCCTCTGGCCGCTCCAGCGCCCGCAACTTGCGCATGGGCAGTCCCGGGGCAGGTGCCTCACCCGGCAGAGGGTCGGAAGGTGACTGCGGTGGATAACGGTGGACAAATGGGCGCGCAGACAGGCGAGAAGGTTCGCGGGTTGGCAGAAAACTCGTGGAGAACGGTGTGGAGGAGGAAGGGGACAGTGGAGATGTGCGGGAACCCAGTGGCAGGCAAGGCCGCGGCGCGTGGCTAATCACAGGGCCGTGCAGGTTAAGTTGGACGGTCAGGTAGGAGAAGTGCTCGCACTGCGGGAGTTCATGTGAAAGGCAACATGGGGGACGGGAATCGAAGAGCCAGGCACTACGGTCGGAACATGCGTGCTCCCGTTTGGGACATCTGTGTGCCGGCATAATCGACTTGACGGGTCAGTCTGCGGGCCTGTTGGCATTAAAGCAATAGAGCGGATGGAACAGACACGTGCATCATTCCGGATGGAAATCTGAGTTGCTGGCCCCACAGCGCCGCACCTTTGGCCGGGGCTCCAAGACTCGCATCAGCCTGACGTTGAGGTAGCGGGGTTCATCCACTTCCGCCCCCTTCGGAAGGGCCGAGTGCGTGTGGTTCCTGCACGCAACGGCGAAGGGACCGCATCGTGCACATCAGGCCATCGGACCACATTAACAGCACAACCCACGCAGGACTTCATGTAGCAGCAGCAGCAGCCAAGCGCGTCTCTCCACCTGCGGCACCATCCCGTGGCCTCTACCTGCGCCCATTCCTGCCCGCCACAGGGCTCACGCCAGAGGGCGCCCACCGAGCCTCCACAGGTATCGTCTGCCTCTGTACACTCTTAACAACTAACGAAAGTCGAAGATTCATTACCTGTCTTTCCCTGCACCTAGAGCAGCCCGGAAGCACAGCGAAGCCCTATCCGTCCCATATAAACCCACAATGGACTCATCACAACGCGGAGGCGGTAGCCCTCTCCCGCCGCTCTACACGCCACCCAAGCTCATACAGCTTACATGCGGTTCATCCCTTACATCGCTTTTACCTTCCACCGTTCCCGCACCTGGTGACCTGATGGTCCGCGGGGCCCTGCGGCAGCCGGAGCAGGCGCGGTGGGCTACGGCCGGCTCCCGGCAGCGGTGCGGCAGTCAGCGTCCTCACGGCCGGCACCGCAATGCTCCCCTCTGCCGGCCGTAGCAGGACAGCTGGCGGCGGAGCCCAGCCCGCTGAGATGCCTCCCCATTCCTGCTGCTGATGAGAGCTGCTCCAGGCTTCCCGAGGTTGCGGCAGTCTATGGCCGTTTCCGTCCACTGGCTGCTGTGCATCCGCTGGTGGCGGCTCTTGTTGCGGTATCGCCTGTGCAGACGTTGAGCTTCCTTGCTCGCTACCAGTGGGCTGCTGCGCTGTCGTCGGGAACTGACTGGGGTGAATTTGTGGCGCGTGTCCGCCAGCCGTGCCATCTGACGCGGCCGGCGGGTCCTGCATTGTGCAAGGGGACACGTCATGCATGGCAGGATCGGCATGCAAACGCGGACACGCAGGCAGGCAAGCGGGGAACCTGCGCGGTGAGCCAGGCCGGGCCTTTACGAAGCACTCTGGGCATCGCCAAGCAGCAAGATCAACAAGGAAACGCGCGAGAAAGTGCAAGCTGAATTGGGAGCCAAGCCAGACTCCGTTGTCAGGTGTGACGAAGCTGCATGGAAGTCCCGTTACGTTTGATACCACGCGCTAATGCGGCTGGCTGCCATGCCCAAAGGCCCAATCAAGGACAGCAAGGCGCAGGATGGCAAAGGCCTTCATTAAACCTGCCGCATCGCTATAGCAGGGAGCACCTCGCGCTCGTCCAGTACCTCCAGGTGGGCCTCTGCTGGAGGCACATGCTGCCGGCGGGTGAACGCGGGAGTGGGTCCGGGCGGCTGAAGGTTCCGCAGCAGCTGACGCGGCTTAAGCAGCTTGACATGGGGACCTGCCGCGGGAGATGAGGAAGCCAAGTCAGTGGACGCGCACGAGGACCGCTCCCCAGCTTGGGTGGGTTGGCTCAGGGGAGTTGAGCAAAGAACGGAGCGGAGCAAGCCATAAGGGGCGGCAGGATGGATGAACGAACGTAGGGGTGCGCATGAAAGCGCCGTGATGCAAGCCATACCTTACCTGCGGTCACCGTGCGTTTCAGGCCCCGCACAGTCACGCCAGAGACGCCCGCAGGGCCCGAGGCAGCGTATGGACCGTACGGGTCGAGCAGCTCCCGCCGCCGTAGCTCCAGCGCAAGCGCCGGCTGGATCTCCCTGCAGCCAAGAAAAAATATGGAAGACAGGCCAACTGTTTCCAGCACGTGTGTGGCCACAAAGGCGAAGGCAACTCGCCTTGCATCTCTAAGAGCGACGACGCGACACGCGGTTGCATGGCTGGGTCCTCCGACTCGGTTGTACGGAGGCTGATTCTTTACTCCGCCGCTACAGTGGTCCCCACCCGGCTTACCGGAGCGAGTTGGCGGTGCTGGAAGACGCCAGGCTGCTGCTGTTGTCGCCAGCGTGGCTCCTGCCAGCTCCCGTCAAGAAGCTTCCGGGCTGCTGCTGCTGCTGCTGCTGGTGCTGTGCTGCCGGCGCCGCTTGCCCAGCTGCCCAAAAGCCAGGGCCAGTGTCTGACCGAGAAGGAGGCGGCGCTGCCGCCGGGCCGTACGGCATCTCGGGTTGGAGCAGGGCCGGCTGTGCGGGCCGTTGCAGGGTCGGCATTTTCTCGGCTGCGGCCGCAGAAACGCTTGGAGGATTCGGGTATGCGTCTTTTCAAGATAGTGGACTTCGCTTTCCTTAAAAAACGTATGCAAGGCAGCCGAAGGCGGGAGGTTGGGGTTGAAAGGGAGGTCCCGGCGTGGAGAAGTTTGGGGGTTTAAGGCGTCTTGAGCAGCATATTCTCCCGCACATGGCAAGCGACCACAGAGCCCAACACCGTTTCCTCTCATGCAGTACCCTCATGCTTCACAGCTGCGGCAGGCGGTGCCAAGTGGCGCATGCTTGCATCCACCCATGTCCCCCACACCCTTAAGGAACCGACGCATCAGCCTGTAACTACACGCTACTACAAGTTACTCGTGTGTTCTATCCTCGCAGCGCACATTATCAATATTATTACAGCGCCCATCCAGAGCCCCGGAATGGAGCTGAGGAGGAACCGGGCAGTGGAGCGATAGATACCAAAGAAGGCGGAAAGGGTTTGGCGCTCCAAGAAGAGCGCGAGGGCGGCGGGGCAAGGGACCTGAAGTAGAGAAAATCACACGCATGTCCTGAACTGCAATGCAATTCATCCCGCGCCACACATACCCCTTAAGTGGCGAAAACGGAAATTGGCACGTGTGCCGAAGCCTGCACGGCGCTGGATAGGCAGGAGTTTAGACCACGCGCCTGCCACATGACCACCGCCGCACCTGGCCTATGGCCCAGCCACAAGGGCCGGTGCCTGCGGTAGGCGCCTGGTCCTGGCGGGGCAGACGGCACTTGACCGGTGCCGGGCAGGTACGTGAATTGCGTGGGTGAGGTGAAGCAGGCGTCCATGGGTCCTGGGTGCGGAGTTAAGGGGCAAATAAACCAATGGCGAGGGACGAGGAGGAAGCATAACAGCTGCGGCTGCCTAGGAGGGCACACCCACGCTCTGCTACAGGCCTGTTCCACATCAATCAAAAGGAAAGAACTTGGCATATAACGAGCCAAGCTCAAGGAGTCTCTTTTGCTGCAGCATTCAATTTCCGCGTAACGAGGGCCGCCCAGCCAGCATGCTAGGCGAAAAGGTCAGGCGCCCGCTTGCAATCCACCTGGTGGGAACGCGGCAGAATCCATCGGGTAAGTCTGGCCTCGGCAAGGGCTTGTGTCGCATCCTTGCCTGCAAACTGACAGCCGAAGCTAAACGCACACGACTTCCTCTACCTTCCACCAGACATCAGAGTGGCAACCGTGGTTTCCCTTTTCAGTGAAAGCCGATACTTCACGCACCTACCGTTACCGCCTTTCATTTGTAAGTCGAATCTCCCCCAACCCATGCCACCCACCCGCAGCAGTGGACAGAACACCATCAGCGGCCCCACGCCAGCTGCGCTCCGTCTCTCTCGCCATCTGGACGGAGTCATCATACCCACCGCCAGCACCGGCTCCGGCGCCCCCTACCGCCGCCGCAGCCGCTGTCGTCGCCTCGTCCCGGCCTAAGAGCTGCTCCCGTTGCCGCTGTTGCTGCTGCAGGTTCAGAGTGTCACTAGTCGGAAGAAAACTCTCGACACGCAACAGCTTCATCCGCTGCTGCATTTCCAGCCGTGGATCACCGATTGCCGCCCTCGCCATCAGCCTCGTGAAGGTGGCACCGGGTAAGACGGCCCCCTGTCCCCCGGCGGCCCCAGCCAACCCTGGCAGCGGCAGCCCGTCGGCGTCTAGGGCAGGTCGTACCAGCGGAGCGGGGGCGGGGGCGGGGAAGCGGATGGGGTCGACATGCAAGCCGCTGTGGCGGGGTGCAGGCAGCTGCGGACCGCGGAACGGCAGCTCCGCACCAGACGGCTGCAGCAGAGGATGTGCCAGTTGGCCTGGTGCCGGGCGCAGCGTGGAGGTAAAACCTGGGTGCCTGCGAGTGGGGGTGAGAGGGAGCGAGCGAGCAGCTCATAAATGCGTACAGGCTGCCATGTTCCCGCTTCCAGGAGGGCCTAATGCTCATTCCAAAAAAGAGGCAATCCTACAAAACAAGTTGAATGAGGAGGGCTAGGGACCGGGCGGCGCAAGGTTGGGTGGTGTAACTACGAACGCAAGCCCTTCGACATCGGGTCTGCAGTTATTTGGGTCAGCGGTCACTCCAACACGGAATGTAAATCGGATACGGATATAGACTCTTTTCACTATTGCACATAAGGAAGATGGCAGGTTGGCTCCAGGGAAGCCGCTTCTATAGCCTTTGCCCTCAGTTAGCTGTTTGGCGAATCCCCATCCCAACACACCCGCACCTGTCATGAGCCAGCATGATACTGGGACCGTCGAGATTGGCAACACCGATGGGCTCGCCGATGCGGGCGATGGCAGTGGCAACTTTAACAATGGACGATCCGGGCCTGGCTCCACGTAACGGCGAAATCAGCGCCTGTCCCAAGGGCATCACGCCACATAACATACACCGCACCCCAGGCCAATACTTTCGTAAGCTGAGGAAGACGGCAGGGGCGATACGTGCATAAGCATAATGGAGCAGACACTTGTGCCTGGAGCAGGCAGGTTCATCAGGGAGAGGACTCGTTGGTGCGGCCAGCTTTAAGCAGGGAGACCCCAAACAGCTTTGCGGAAACAGCCTTGACGACAGCTGCACGGCCGCACCCCGAGGTGCATGTGATGCGGGCAGCCAGGGAGCGGGTGCGGCGGACTACCGACCGCAGCAGGTATAGATAACCCAGTTAGCAAACCAAGCCTCAAGGCGCACGCGACGCAACTCATCACATAATTGCGCCTGCCGTCCAACGCACCCGGCCAGGGATCGCGTCGGCCAGCGGGGCGATCATGATCACCGGAGCCGTCCGGGGGTCCCCGCCTGCGGGACCCGGGGAGAAGCCGCCAGCACCGCCAGCGCTGGCGGCCGCCATGCTGCGCCCTAGCGGTGACACCGACCGGCCCACAGGCACGGCAGTCGGGGAGATTATTACTGCACCGGGCGAGCGGCTGGCGGCACCCAGGGCAGCGCCAGCCGATGCGGGCCGGGCTCCTGTGCTCCTGGCAACAGCACCGGCAGCTCCGATGGCAGCAGCTCCGGCGGTGGCAGGACGGGTCCTGCTTGGAGCCATATTACGCTGCGGCTGGTCGCTCTTAGTCCGGCCATGGCGGCTCCTGCGCCTCGAGGGCTTGGGGTGCTGTGGGGGATAGTTGCAACCGGAAGATCCCAGCCAAACTGGGATTATGCCATGTGTAGGTTATTTGAAAATGGAGGAAATGCAGCGTCGGCTGCATGTTTGGCGACGTTTACTTTGCAGGGGCCAGGGGGATGACGAAGTGCGGGCAGGTGGAGGGATTGTCGCGCGTGGAGCGACGACTTGGAGTGCAGGTCTGGGAGGCAGGCAGGCAGGCATATGACGACGGACGACAAGGGACAGGAGGACGACGGTGGGTGAGGCACTGGATGCGGCCCTCAGCCACAGTCCCTCTTCTGCTATACCACGTCCGCCTACCCATATCCCGGGGAGCCCGGTTGCCCACCGCCCAGGCTGCTCGATGCGGGACGGGGTCATTGCGAGCCCTGCTCGGGCCAGTGCAAACATCCGTACGCAATGTAATACTTCTGGACGCAGTAGCCTTTGACTCCCTTGACTCCCTTGCGCCAGATAGCCATAATAACTCCACAGACGCGACTGCGCGTGGCGCACCATTCGGTGCCGACCGTGGTCCAAACTTTCCGCGAGCACATCTAGGGGTTCAGGCGCCGCCGGGTCACGCACCTGCCCATCACCCTCATCAGCGGCAGCGGCGTCTTCGTCCGTGAAGACAACCTGCCCCTGACCAGCGAACGCCGACTGCATGACCGAAACTGGCCCGGTACTGGATTTCGGTGGGTCTTGAGTGGAGCCGTCATCGGTTGTCGTGGGTGGGCGGGGCGGAGGAAAAGCGGGCTGGGGGTGCTCTCTGGTCGCGCCCTGGACGGGTGCGTTGGCGTTGGATGCGGGCGGCGGTGGCGGTGACGCGGCAGTGGTGGCGATAGATGGCCTATCTTTACTGGCCGTGTCCTTGCCTGGAGAGCGAAACCTGTGGGCAGATTGCCGGACGAGCGTAGTGTGGGTGGGTGAGCCCTGGGAGAAATTAAACGGCCGGATACCGAGACACGTGTTTCATCCCAGGAACAAGCATATCCTGCATGCATACGGCCATAGAAATTAACCAAGGCTGGTGGCTGGCTGGCTGGCGTGAGCCTTCGAGTTGAACACCTTGCAGTTGAACACCTCTCACTCTGACCGTATCCATTCCCTCAGACTGCATGTATTCCGGCCATGAAGCGGCCATCATATAAGAGTTTACGTTGGTTGATGCAGGTACTGCGCTCTGAGATCCTGGGTTCGCAAGCAAGCGGGTCCTACTCCATCTCCTTCGCGCACATCGCACCTCATCATGGCGCCCAGCAAACCCGCGAGCTGCGACAAGCCGCCCTTCCGGGCCTTCTCCGGGGTGCCACCCTCTGTCAGCCCACTGCCGCCAGCCGCCGCGGCCGGCATCTTTCCTCTCCCAGCACCAGCCGTTGCCGTTGCCGGCCCGCCAGCTGAGGCTACCGCCACCACTGCAGCTGCCGCAACATCAGCACCTCCACCTTGCGGAGCGCTGGCCTGCAGTACCGGCGTGCGTGGATCGCTCGAAACCTTGAGCGGCGTCGGCCGGACTCGGTCTTGTGGTCGCAAGTGGTCCAAGGGCGGCGAGGAGCGCGGCGATGGCCGGATCTGCATCAAAGGGCTGTCCCGCACATCCAACGACGGTAGCGGTGGCGAGGGACGTGCGGTGCTGGGGTCCGGGCTGCTCCCCCTTGCTGCTGCCGCATCCATGAACGCCATTGAGGGACCCTGTGCACGTGATGACGTGGCCTTGGTTAAAACAGGGCTGCTTGCCGACGGTGGCGGTACCGCCGCAGCCGCCGTACCAGCGGCGGCTGCAGCAACCCGTTGGGAAGTGACGTCGGCGGCAGGGCTAGGAGCCTCGGGTAGCTCATGCTCTATGAATGAGGCGGAAGGTGGAGTGACGCTGGCACCTGAAGCCCCTTCGCCAGAGAGCTGAGACTGCGACGCTGTGGGCCTCTCTGGGGAAGAGGTTTCGGTGCCGCCAAGCCGGCGTCGGACGGCCAGAAGCCAGTTCATGAAGCGGTAGGTGCGTGCGCCGCCGGCGCCACCTTCCTGTTTGCCTGTGGACGGCTGGCCGCTGGCCGGGGCCCCTTCAGCCCAGGGATCCGCATGGGATATGCCGGACATCTTGCGCGCCCTGTTGGAAACGCAACGGTGCCAGGGAAGGGACAACGAGGGGCGGAACGTCACGGGATACCATGAAGCGATAGGGACAGAGGCGCCCGGGTTTGGCGCCAACCGAGGGAGCACGGCCCGAAAGGGGGGCGCTGAGGCCCCATGCCGCGTTGGGCAGCTTGCGGCGGCAGCACTGCAAAGTCGCCAGCGGACCCGGCTGAGGTAGGAAATGGAAAGGGCGTGTTTATCCTCTTCCGGGCAAGTCCCTAACTCTGGCTATTTAGGGGTAGCTGTGAATGCTGCTGCGCGGCAAAGAGGCAACTGCACCGACGCGGTATGCGTGGTCTAAGAGGCCCAGCTAGCCCCGTAGCTTTCCGCTGGTGTTTACGCAGCCTTACCGTCCACCTCTCCTTCCGTAAGAATTTTAACACCCTCTCCCATCCTTACCGCTTCGCCCACTACCTGCCTGCGCTGGGCCGCGAAGGACCGACGCCCCTCCGAGCGGCTCCGCGCGAAACCATGACCCCTGCCGTCTCCACCGCTGCTACTGCGCCGCTGCCGCCCCCTTTGGTTTCTGCCCTCAGACCCCTGCCGCTCCCAGCGACGCTGTGCAGCCCGAGAGCGGGACCCGGAGCGGTGCGGCGGGCTGGAGGAGCGTGGCAAGACCGCTGCGCCTGCAGCACATGTGCAGGGCCACGGCTAGCTCGGGCCCCGAGTACCCGGAAGTATCCTTGAGCAACCGACACAGCAACAGTAATTTAGTCGCGCGCTCGCCATGACGCACTTGCTTTTGCAGTGCAAACCCACGCAAGTCTACAAATGCCCTCCTCCGGCCGGTTACCCCTTTGCAACTCAACGGGAGCGCCGCCTGGATCCGCCTACAGGAACAGACACTGCAGCTAGCCTCCCTAGAGTGCCAACATCCACCATTCATACTTCACGCCAAAACAGCCTCGCGCCTGCAAACCTGGTTGCTGCCGCCCGAGCGATGGTGTGGGCGTGAGTCGCTGCAGCGGCGAAGCCCTCCTCTCTGGAGAGGGTGTCCTCTGCAGCAGCGATGGCTGCAGCTGCAGCTGCTGGGGATTCGGTGGCAGGTTGCGTGAAGGCGTGGCGGGGCCCCCTTGCTGCCGAATGGTGGGTGATGGCACGAAGGCCAGACTGGGCAAGGAGCCTGAGCACGCGTGTAGGTCAGCATGCGTTTGGGGGAGGAAGTTTGGTTTGGGGCCGAATTTTGAAGTATATGCTAGCCGGGTAAATTGAATGAGGGTAGCACACGAAGGCATGCATGACATCCATTTCCCCATCCGGGCCGGATGCCAAGCTTGGAATATCGGAGAGAGGTCATCGGATTGCGCCGCATAGCCCATACAACGGTCAACAGCCCTGGACAGCACGCAGCTCTCCTCCTATGCCCTGGCGTGGGATGCAACAAGGAGATGGCTAGGACTAGCGGCGTTGACCAAGCAGCTGCTTCTCAGGCAGCGACATGAGACCCAAAAATGCGGAAGCTACGCCGTTTTTGTGAAACAAGGATAGGCGGCAGGTCGCAGGACTGTGTGACCTGCCGAAGCCCCCCCCACACAAGCTGCTCCTCAGCCACTTTCCGTGGATGACCCCTGCCTGGCACAACCAAGTACCCGAGGACTAGTGCCTTCCTTGGGAAAAGAAACCTTAGCAAGGAGGTGTCATGGGCGCTTCCCCTCATGTTTTCTAGGAAGGCTGAGGCATTGGCAACGCGCGATCCAGCAACCATGTCAGCCAAATAGCAATGACGGCAGCTGAAGCGAACTGAGGGGCCGCGGGAAGAAGAGCTTCACTGCAGAGGCAAACGCTCACCCGCGTGAGATGCCTGCGGAGCGATAGATCCGCTCCTGCTGGCGGTTGCGAAGGACGCCCGCGGCGGACCTGAGCCCATGGTCCGCGGCAACACAGGCACCGGTACGGACACGGGCGCTAGCGGCACCTGCAGCTGAGACGGCCGCCGTAGCTCCAAGCGCCTCACGGACGGGTTGGGCCGCAGCGCTGCTGTGGGCTGCCCTGCAGCTTGAAAAGATCCTGGACCAGCGGAAGATGCCCGCGGTGTGCTCCAAGGCCCGCGGCCCAGCGGCACGGGCGACTCCCCCGACCCCAACCTGAACCCGTGTGCGCATGGAGCGGGCAATGGTCGGACAGACCAGCGCTCAGTGAATGAGGTGAAGGGTCATTGAGGCACTGTGTGCTTCTGTGGGGCCGAATACGCAGTGCGGCTGTCTAACCAGAACACACCAGGCTGGATAGACCATCAGTACATTTCAACAGCCCAGACACACGTTACGTGCGTTCACCCACAAAGCATGATCCCCTCTGGGGCTTTGGAAAACTTAGGAGCGCCACACACATGTATGAATATTGGCATGCAAGGCTTAGAGGGATGGGTTCCCCTTGGGTGAGCGAGGCCCTATACGAGGATTGCATAGAAGAGGTCGGAGACGGACGATGTTGAAGTGCGATTGCTGCTTTCAGGCCTGACCAGCAGAGGTCGCCTCTAGCCCTGCATTCCGGCGATGCTGGCCGTGCCACAGCGGCGGGCACGCTGGATGGCCGAGCCTGGCGGTGCGGCTTGCAGCAGCCATACAGCAGACAAACATACGCACACACGCATATACCGCCGCCAGTATCACGCGGCACCTGCCTGCCAGAACTTGGCTCCGGCGGACGGCCGCCACTGTGCGACCTGGGCAGAGGGTTGTGGCTCCGCCGTGCATGGAGACTACCTGCGGCAACACCGACAAAGGGTCCCAGCAGCAACGGGAGTGCGAGAAGGTATTTCCGACGTTGGCTTCGTTCCTATGGGCCGCAAGGATATCCGCAAGGTGAACTCCGCTTTGTGCGCCCGGGTGGGCTGGCGATGGCTATTAACTGGGATCCCAGCCCTGCCCAAACCGAGAAGGCCGGCCGCCGATCGCCTTATGATCCCGGCTGGGGAGAGGACCTGGCCAGATTCCACCAGCATGATGCCGGTTTCCCACAAGCTTGGCAGTCCACACCGCAAACCGTCCTCCAGATCGGACACGCGCCCCACTGCCAAATGCCATCGTCGCGAGCATGTTGCAAATCTCTTGCTGGTCAGTTCGTAAGGTAGTTTCCCACGCAAGCTAGCCATGTCCCTCACCCGCGATGCAAGCGACCGCATCTTCCACGTTGCCCCAATTCCGCGACTCCTCTTCCGTTCGCGTGATAAGCCAGCTCCCACCCACAAATGCACACCCTTGGCTCACCTTCGCTTCCCTCCAGGGAGCCGCGCTGCTCCCGGCCGGTCGTGGAGAACAGCGGCACCTGCGGCCGGGTACGCCGCCTCTCCCAGCCCGATCTGCGCTGCTCATGCTCCGCATCTTGCGCTGGCTCCCCGCGGCTAAGGCTACGGCTCAGACTCCGGCTGCGGCTCCTGCGCCGCCGGAACGGGGAGTGAAGCGCTCCGCCTTCGGCCTCCACGCCCGGGTCCCCGCTATGCCTGCGGCTGCTACCCCGCTGCAGGCTACGGCTTCGGTGGGCGCTGCCTGAGGCTCGGCCGTCACTGTCAACGCCTTCCATCCAGATCATGCGCTCGGCAAACGGGCTGCCGAAGCTGCCGCTGCGCCGGTGTCGAGCCGACCCGCTTTGGCCGTAACGGCCAATTGGTAGAGACCTGCAGCCCGGGGAAGGTGCGGACAGGCCCGTGTCACAGCACATACATTCCTACGCACAACTGTAACATCAGCACCTTGGCGAAACCATTCAAGATCTGACGCCTTCATGTATATCACGCCTAAATTGTACGTGCGCGTGCCTAAGCCTGCAAGCCATGCCCAACAGAAGCGAAGACTTGGCGAGGACTCCATTTAGCAGATGATGAGGCAACGAGTCACATCGGTCACCAGCCCCTACACCCCAGTGGCCATGGCCGCCGCTTACTGTGAGCGCTGAAGCCCCTTGCCAGGCAACGGTCCGTTGCCACCGGCAAGCAGGCTCCACAGCGCTGTCGCGCCTAGTCCCAGCGACCAGCGACCCTGCCGGCTGCCGTCTCCGTCGCTGACGTTCCCGCTAGAAGGTGCGGGGGAGGGACGGCGGCGGCGCCGCGATGACGGCATGCGGCCGCCGCGCCTACCGCCTTCCTCGCTGCCGTCGCGGCTTGTCCGAGCCGAGCCACCGACAGGGCTGCCGCCACGGCCGCTACCGGCGCTGCTGCGCCGCGGGGAGCTAATGTCGGCACTACGGCTACGCCTATGGGCCGAAGGGAATGGGAAATGTGTGATTGGCCCAGAGCTAATGGCCTGGCAGGCTTGGCCTGGGATGGCAGTGAGGTTGGCGGACTTTGGGTCAATAGGAACTGGCCTGTAACAGGAAATACATGGAAGATAGGACAATGTTGAGCGTCCAGCACTGTTTGTGTTGAAAACCGTGCCAGATCCTGTACGCAGGTGCGCTGATGTAGGGGCCGAACTCGCTGTCGCAGCCAACTCACGACTGATTTGCAAACCAAATGGCGAATAGGTTAGCTTGCCAAGGGGTTTTGCCTTGAAGGTACTGAACGGGGCCGACCGAAGCACTGGCACGGCTTCTGCTCGCCGGTTCGATTGAGGCTCAAGCACCCTTTCAGAGAGACTGCAACCCCAGACCCCGTGCCGCGCTCTCCAGTTGCGACTTGGGGACGTCTGCTGCTGGACGGAACCGCATGGGCGCAGTAAAGAAGGGATAACGTGTCGCTAATACACCATTCCTTCGTTCGCCTGGTAACGTGAAAATGGCTCAGCTGTGGATGGGTTTCAACTCATGTCGATGCACCGGTGGATGGAAACGTTGGAAGGACAAATTGTGTGCATGCACGAGGATGTTAACGACTGGCAAAATAATTAGGTAATTGACTGGCTGGATATGGGTGGTAAGTGCATATCGCCGGTCACTCGCTGGTGGACAGGTGGGGTGGGGTGGAGGGTTGCGGGGTAGGTGGTTGGAACAGCCGAGGCCCGGACGCACCTTTGGCGGCCGGATAGCACCCGCATGATGCCGCCCATGGGGCCTTCCTGGTCCGGATCCAGCAGCGACGACCCAGCCGACCGGCGGCGACCGCGGGACGGCTGCTGCTGGAGCTGAAAGGTGCTGGGCTTGCAGAAAGTCGGGGCAGCACGGCAGCAGTGGCCATCCTCAGCTCAGCTCCAATCCACAAATGCGTGGATATGCGAGTATGTATTAGAGTTCAGGTCCAAGTGCGGTGAGGAGCTCGTGGCGAGTCGTCACAGCCGCAGACAGCACCTAAATGATATTTCCCTCCCCACCGACATGCACGCGCAGTTACCAGCCAGAAGGATAGTTACCATCACATGCACACGCGTATACATACATATGCCATGCTTGACACAGGGAGGTTTAAAGTGGCCCGGAGTACGGTGCTCGCCCCCCGGCTCTGCTCCAGTAAGTGCCCCATTAGATTTCTCAACTACATTTGTCTTATCCTTCCAGTCCGCACCCGTTCGCACTCCAAATGTCCTAACTGGTGCTGCGGCCTGGTCAAAACGGCGACAGGAGTAATAACTGTGGTGCTAGTGCGGGGCTGCAGGCCGACCCTGCCTGCTGGGCGCAGCAGGTCCCAAACAGGGTCGCTGTAGCGATACATACTTGCGATACATACATACCGGCGCATCTGGTTGAGAGATCTTGTGGTCGGTGTTGGCCCGCGTGGGCGCATGGCTCCCGACCTGCACACACCCCAACACAGCCGATCCTGAGGCGGCGCAGCAACAGTAGCAGCAACATCTTGGAGTACCCCACCGCCGACCCGCTCGTCCGCAGGTGGGGCCCCCATGCTACGATGCGTTTCGGTCCTTACCGAACATCATGCATCACCGTTTCAACGTGGTTGCAAGATGAGTGCCGGCAGGTAACCGGATGGTAATTACCATCCTCCAACATGTGAATGTCAGAGCCGCTGGTCACCCACGTGCACAACACTGCAACACGTGTCTCGCGATAAAGACCCTGTCACCGAGAGCTTTGCCTCCACTTACTGGAGGCAAGTACCGTTCCCCCACTCGCGACATGATGATGACACGACGGATGGCTGTGGCCTGGCACGGATCTGGCCGGTACTCACCGCGGAAGACCGGTGGCCATGGCTTCAGCCCCTGCGCCCGTCGGCAAGCTGCCTGCATCCGAGGCATTAAAGCGCGTACTGGCGCTGAATTTGACATGCAGAGACGCCATGAGGGCGTCTTCGGGCGTACTGGGTCCCGCTTCGGAAGTACCGGGTGCTGCCTGTGGAGTAGTTGGTCCTGTTGGTAGTACAGCACAGGGGAGGGGTGGGGGCGGATTGGGAGTGTGGCTTGGGAAGTGCCTTTCTTTAAGCGATGTTTTGCAGCCCCGTCCTTAGCACGACCCACGCACCGGCCACACCTTCAGGGCCACCCCGTATCGTGCTGACCGTACTCCTGGTTGCGTCATGTGTCGCTGCTGATGCGGCGTCGTCAGCGGCAGGCGCACTGTGGCGGCGGCAGCTAGTCGACGGTAAGCCGGAGCGTTAAGGGACCCGGGAGGTTCGAGGACGCGTCACCATAGGCTTACCTTGTGCCAGGGCCCGTAATCTCAAACCGAGAGCCCACGGGGAGCTTGCCGACCAAGCTCTCTGTAAAGCTGACCCGTGCAGGAGCAGCTCTCGCCAGGTGCCCTTCACGACCACCTCGATCGGAAGATACCTTCTCCGGTTGAGCTCCTACTTCCTCTTTGGAGCTGGACATACTGTATATGCAGCTTTGTCTAGCGGAGATTGCTCCGAGGTCTCACAGTGGGCTTACGGACCTGCAGCTCTAATTAATAAAAACTACACCATGAAACCTTCAGAGTTTTTAAATCCGGATCATAAATATTGAAGGTGCAAAGGAAATGAATTGATTTACGTGTAACCATTAAGCTGGCACAGTTGAATCCACAACACCGACAGCTAAGATGTTACAGACATTGGATCGATAGTGTCCAAACGATGTAGTGGATGTGCAGAACCAAATTTAGCAAAGCAATAGCGCTGGGCCTACGTTCTCTGTACGGCAGGTTAAAAAGCAGTTAGGATTAATGGCATAGTGCAAATGCATTTATATCAAACAACTGCAGTTAAGGTAAGTAATTGTGGTCTAGGTAAGCCTCGGGGGGCCAGAGGGTGGTGTATGCTAAGGAATGAGGCCTTCCCATAATGGATGAAAGACGTTTGTGACAGCCCGCTTCCAACCAAGCTACGGCTAGTTGGACCCAAGAAAACATAATGCTAGCAAAATAGATAATTTGGACAAAGCTGGCGCGGCAAGGATAATCCACCTCCTCTGGTCGGCGCACAAGTCCGGCGTCGTCGTTTGTCTGAGCGATGGCGCAATGGACTGCGCCATCCGCCTGAACGCCCTTCGCGGTGCTGCACGCACCCAGTCACTGCATAGGCCCATTCCAAAGGCCTGAAGGTAAGGTGCGGAGAGGCACTTAGCGAGCCCCGTACCACGACGTACCACAGCCCAAGAGTCACTCCTCTTTCCAAGCTCTCTCATTTGCGCTTGTGAATTCGCTGATACTGACATGTAGCTTAAGCCTCATGTAACGAAATCCCCTCCAAAGGTGATATGACTGCATATCGTACAAACGGCTCACGGTCTGCCGTTGAGCCGTGCGTCGATGTCCTCGCATTGGTCGCCGTAGCTTTCAAATGCAGCTATAGGTGTGTACAGGGGACAGTATTTTTCGTTACTAATGGTTGGTTGTGCGTGTTCTGTCATATAATGGCGGTTTCATGTACGACTAGGAGGGAACGCAAGGGACTGCGCGTTTCGATGTCCCTTTGCTAACATACCGGCCGGTGCTCAACAACAGTGGCGCCGTCGCCGGAGTCAGTCGGCGAGGACGGGTACGGGTAGCCCCATCCGTTCCCCTATCTGTGGGCAGATCCGGTATACATATCCGGTGTACATCGCATATGTGTGAAACCGACAGAAGGTTACTTGGAAGAGGCGAGGTGGCCCTGGGAAGGAGACAGCGACAACGGCGCAATGCGTGTATTTTTTGAGTCTGTGTTTTGTATGCCGTGTGCATAGGTTTAACCTCAGCTGGTGCTCAAATATAACGCACTGACGATAATATGATTTTTTAATCCAGAATACACATTTATTGTTAGGTAAAGTCGTTCATTCGATCGTTTGGAGGCGCAGTCTCGTGTGATGTTGTCACCGCTTGTCGCGGACAAGGACGTTGGAGCAATTCGATCCTTGGACAGCCAGCAGCGGGAATCGTACAGATGCTTGACAACGTACTTCATGATCTTCTTTTGTTAGGTAATGCAAGTTAGCGGCATCCTTCTTGTATTCCGTGGGCGGAATGAAAGAGGCGGAGTTACACTGCGTACGGCCCTTTCCTTCCAAACATGTGAAAAGCCCTAATGGAAAACGGGTGCTCAAGTATTGTTTGGCAATTGTTTGGCACAATTACGTTGCTGTGTTGTAGAAGTATTCCTCACGTCGAATCTCTCTGGACCATTTTTGTGAGCGGGTTATACAGCAGACGGAGAAACGAGGATCTCCCAAGGCAATGAAGGCCAGCGTCGGTCCAAAAGGTGCGATAGTGGATTAAATTGTAATAGCTCGCAGCAAACACTAACAGCACAGAGACTTTTCTATCCGCATGACCAGCTTCTGCAGTGTATTGCAGCAGCGCGACCACATCAATTCCCTATTACCTCCCGGCGTCCTCCTACACCTTCGCCTTTGCAAAGCGGGCACAAAGAATGCTTCTCCGGTTGATTACAGGGAAATGGATGGGGTCACTGGCTTCAGTGGCTTCGCCTGTGCACGAGCGAAGTCGGTTTTACCTATCCGTCTTCCTCGTTTCTTCCTTTTCAATTTATCAGAATAAGCATAACACCAGTTACATACAATTATTATATCCTTATCACCACGCACAGTCTCAGTCCTAAGCTGGCGGCGCACACGGTGCAGTGCTCCATCTGCCAGTACGGTGGAGGGCACCGGTGGTGACGACAGCGGCATGCCGCCGCCCACGCCCCAGCCGGGTCGGCAGCACAGCGGCGGGGGAGCTTCTGCCGCACCCGTAGTGGGTCCTCAGCCGGCAACAGCTGCGGGTCTAGCAGCCGCACTTCCGAATAGGGCAACCCCCCCAGCTGCCCGAGGAGATGCTGGTGCCGGAGCCGGTGTGGCCGGAGGGTCAGGAGGACCGCCCACGTTGAGCGACGTCGTGTTCGACAAGAGCTGCATGACGGTGCTAACGAAAGATAACAGTGAGTACGGAGATAGGTAGAGCGAGGGAGTTCTTCGTCTTCGTTGTGTGCACTAAGAACCTTGCTATGGTAGCCTGCCTACCTTGCTTGCAAATGGATAAAGCCTTATCTCCATTGAACTATTCGCATCGTCCGTTCAGATCTTATGTCGTCGGTGTTATATTTGGAGCGAAAGGATAACTTCAGCGAAAATAAGGACATAGCTAGATAGCTATCCGACTCCGCAGACCCTGTGTCAACCGTACGATGTATAGCTTTTCCTTGCCTCCCACAGTGTTCCAGCTGTTCAGGCCGCTCAGGGTACTGGGAACGCGCTTTATTTTTGATGACGTGTGCCGTACACGTGCATGCATATGCGCGTGGGTGTGTATGTATGTCTTTAAGCCTCCATTACAGCTGATACATGTGACAGAGTGACAGATCTTTCCCACAGCGTTCCCACTTGCTATCGCTTACGTGCCTTGTTAACGCCACCCTGACATACATACATACATACAGTTTATATGGACAGCATGCACATCACAAGAGAGATGGAGGTTGGTATCTTCGCGGATTTGGTATGGCTGTGGCAGTTGAAAGGACGTGGCACAATTGACTTCGTCGACGAGAGAGGAAACAAGACGTGGGAGGTATGTGTGTTGAGTCCGGTTAATGAGTTTGGAGGTGCTGGACTGTGGGGGACTGTCAACTGCCGAGTATGTTAAAACGTAGGATATGCACTGTGCATGTATCGCTATCGTTGTGAGCACTGAGCTTTTTATAGGGCGAGGTTCTTATTGCACTTGCGTCTCTGGGAAAACCCTTCTCGACTAGTGGGAAATCTGATCGAAAGGTCGCAGGTTTAAATCCGGGTTTGGGGCCGAATAATTTCGGAAGAGCAGAATAACAGTCTAATCTTTCATTTCAACAGAATCGCCTCAGTCTGTGTCCGGGGCCCCGCGCCGGTTGGGTAGTGGCCATATGACACGGTTCAATGCGCAGCCCGCGATGTGCGTGACGGGTTCATGCGGCTACATGCCGAGAAACGAATTTGAGAAACTTGTACTACCGATATTGGCCGATGCAGGATACTGGCGGCCGTGCGCAAGATACTGAAAACTAACAGCGACTGCGGCCAAACCTTACATCGCGAGCAGCAGCAGGGGATGATGGTTCATAATTTCCTTTCCTTTTCCTCACTGCACTTTCAACAACTGCAATTTTGTCACCTTGATTTATTTGCAAAAATGCGCGCCTGCTGTTGCAGCTGAGGATAATTAGTGGTTACTTACAAAACAGGGTGCTCGAACCTGCCTTGGCTGAATCAGTTGGCCGAAGCCGCTTGCCTTGTTGTATTGTCGGACAAGGGCGGTCGGCGAGGCGGCCTTGTTATCGCACCGTTGTCCGACCTCGCCATAAGCAAGGCTGCGTGACAATAGCCCTGACCAACCACCGCGGCCGCCCGTCTTCTCCAGGCCGCAGCTTAGGAGGATCCCTTCTTCCCTGCGGCCTACTTTGACCTTAATAGGCGTGTCGCCATGTTTCTGATTGGCAACCTGCCGCGTAGTTTTAAGCAGTGCGCTTAATTCCTTCCTGGTTTTTCGTGTCGCTGTTTCATTTGCTATGTTGCGGCCGCGGCAGGTGCTCGTGGGCAAGATGCCCGGAGGCTCGTATTCGCTGTGCACCGAGCGTGGAGGTGAAATGTGGAACTACCTCGAAGCAGAGGATGGGAGCATTGCGGCGCTCGAGCGCGTCAAGGGCCTTCCTACCTTTATTGTCCGTGTCTACCCTCGGTGTGTCAGGAAAGATGCGGCCACGCAGTCGCCATTGCAGCAGGAGGGGGAGGAATGGCGGCAGCTCGCGCAGCATCACCGGCAACAGCAGCGGCAGCAACATGAGGACGAGCAGCGCCGGCAGCTGCGGCAGCAGGAAGAGATGCTGCGGCAGCAGGAAAAGCTGCTGCTGCAGCTGCAGCAGCAGAAAAAGGGGCTGCTGCGGCAGCTGCGGCAGCAGGAAGAGATGCTGCGGCAGCAGGAAAAGGGGCTGCTGCGGCAGCTGCGGCAGCAGGAAGAGATGCTGCTGCAGCTGCAGCAGCAGGAAAAGGGGCTGCTGCAGCTGCAGCAGCAGGAAAAGGGGCTGCTGCGGCAGCTGCGGCAGCAGGAAGAGATGCTGCTGCAGCTGCAGCAGGGGGAAAAGGGGCTGCTGCGGCAGCTGCGGCAGCAGGAAGAGATGCTGCGGCAGCAGGAAAAGCTGCTGCTGCAGCTGCAGCAGCAGGAAAAGGGGCTGCTGCGGCAGCTGCGGCAGCAGGAAGAGATGCTGCGCCAGCAGGAAAAGCTGCTGCTGCAGCTGCAGCAGGAGGAAAAGGGGCTGCTGCGGTGGCAAAGGCAGCAGGAAAAGCTGCTGCTGCAGCTGCAGCAGCAGAAAAAGGGGCTGCTGCGGCAGCTGCGGCAGCAGGAAGAGATGCTGCGGCAGCAGGAAGAGATGCTGCTGCAGCTGCAGCAGCAGGAAAAGGGGCTGCTGCGGCAGCTGCGGCAGCAGGAAGAGATGCTGCGGCAGCAGGAAAAGGGGCTGCTGCAGCTGCAGCAGCAGGAAAAGGGGCTGCTGCGGCAGCTGCGGCAGCAGGAAGAGATGCTGCGGCAGCAGGAAGAGATGCTGCGGCAGCAGGAAAAGCTGCTGCTGCAGCTGCAGCAGGAGGAAAAGGGGCTGCTGCGGCGGCAAAGGCAGCAGGAAAAGCTGCTGCTGCGGCTGCAAGGGCAGCAGCTACAACTGCTGGATAGGTTGAAAGAAAGGCAAAGAGCTGCAACTGCCTCAGCAGCACGATTTTACGGAGAAGCTGCAGCAGTTATACGTAAAGCAATTGCAGCCATCACGACAGGAAACAGCTGGAAGAATTTTACGGAGAAGCTGCAGCAGTTATACGTAAAGCAATTGCAGCCATCACGACAGGAAGCAGCATAAGCAGCTCCAACAAGAGCACCAGCAGCTGCAGCAACAACAACGTTTCGTCCTGTGGCCCTTCCTGCTGGTGCAGATGCTGCTACCGCCGCTGATGTGGTTCCGGCGTTCGCACTACTACTGAGGGCCATTCGAGCACCTTGTAGGATACTACACACTAACACCTCCTTGGGGAGTTGGATTGAGGAGTGCAGCGAAGCGTCCAGAGTCGTGTAATGCGAACCCTCCGGTGTTGCTAGTTACGGAAATATTTTGAGCTTTGTTACGGAAATAGTTGAACTTTCTTTTGATTCGGGGCAAGGGACGTCACTTCCTGAGCGAGCAACGATGAAGCCGCATCATCCCAGATTTCGTGTAGCTAGTTTGTCGTTCTTACTTCGTGCCAGGCTAAAGAGCAGGTCGATTGGAACACGCACCTACCTGCAAGCAACCAGACCAATGTCATGAGGATAGCAGTAGATACAGGCAAGGAGATAGGAGTACATACGGACGCGTTGCAAAGTTGAATTGTGGCATACTTGCATATGTACCTTAGGAATTCCCCCAAGACTCTGGCACTTCGCCACTTGGCATTATCATCTTCGCTCTTATTCGGTTAACCATTGGGCACTTGCCTATCTTTTATCACGCGTGATACTGGGGGGTTATAGCGCTCTTGCTGTAATCGTGATGACACTTGTCACTGGTATGCAAAAACGCCATCCAGATAAGAGTGTAGCAGGTGGCTCCCGAGGGTCAAGGGGTCCCACATCAGCGCAAACCCTAAGAAATAAACCCAGGCTTGTTTCGGATTTTGAGAGTTTTGAGCTGGTTACGCTACGGTTTTTAGTGTACGACACATTCGGAGCAGGCTTACAGGCCAAGTTAAGCCGTAGCGTAAGGACCGGTTAGATGCAAACAAGTTGGTTGATCTTGTTTTCACGGCTGCGCACCAGGGGTTCGACCCCCCACAACTCCGCGATTTACGGACTGATCTGCAGTGCGAGTCTTTCCTTAATTGTCCGTCACTGCAGACGAGCTATACCTTCATTGTCTCATGAGACCAACAACACCAACCAACATCAACCACCTGACCGCGACAACCCTTATCCGTATCAATTTTTTTATCCATTTGTCTACAAGCCAACATCATGTACGACAAATCGGTTTGTCGAATGCATCAATGCCACTTTTCATAGCGTTGCCTTCCCGCTGCCGCATGTACGACAGATAAGCGTAAGCCGTCCGCCATCAAGGCGACCTTCGTACAACAATGGCCTGATGATGCAGTTCCGCAAACATTCGTTGCCAAGACATTTTTCCCTGGGCAGCTGCACTTGCATCTACATAATCACCCGCCCACGCCCACTCGTAGAAGATATTCAATTTTTTCTTTCCGTTCCGTTTCAAAATCAGTCATGTGCTATCTACTAGCTGCAACACCAGTCCTCGGGCTACTCCGCTCTAACCCACCCGCCCTGGGGGGGTTGGGCGGCGATGGCGGCACTGAAGGCCTCACTGTATGCGCTGACGGCGGCGGCAGTCCCGCTGCACAGGGCCGCTGCGGAGGCGGCCACCAGGCCGTCCGCCTGCACCCTCCCTGGTGCGCCGCAGGACTGGAGGAGCCCCACTTTCAGCCGGCGGCAGAGCCGCCTGCGTCATCGCCGGCATTGCCCGCTGAGTCATCGCCGGCATTGCCCTCTGCGTCATCGCCGGCTTTGCCCGCTGCGTCATCGCCGGCATTGCCCTCAGCGTCATCGCCGGCATTGCCCGCTGCGTCATCGCCGGCTTTGCCCTCTGCGTCATCGCCGGCATTGCCCTCAGCGTCATCACCGGCTTTGCCCGCTGCGTCATCGCCGGCATTGCCCGCAGCGTCATCGCCGGCATTGCCCTCTGCGTCATCGCCGGCATTGCCCTCAGCGTCATCGCCGGCATTGCCCGCTGCGTCATCGCCGGCATTGCCCTCTGCGTCATCGCCGGCATTGCCCTCTGCGTCATCGCCGGCTTTGCCCTCTGCGTCATCGCCGGCATTGCCCTCTGCGTCATCGCCGGCTTTGCCCTCTGCGTCATCGCCGGCATTGCCCGCAGCGTCATCGCCGGCATTGCCCTCTGCGTCATCGCCGGCTTTGCCCGCTGCGTCATCGCCGGCATTGCCCGCTGCGTCATCGCCGGCTTTGCCCTCTGCGTCATCGCCGGCTTTGCCCTCTGCGTCATCGCCGGCATTGCCCTCTGCGTCATCGCCGGCTTTGCCCGCTGCGTCATCGCCGGCATTGCCCTCAGCGTCATCGCCGGCTTTGCCCTCTGCGTCATCGCCGGCTTTGCCCGCTGCGTCATCGCCGGCTTTGCCCGCTGCGTCATCGCCGGCTTTGCCCTCTGCGTCATCTCCAGCATTGCCCTCAGCGTCATCGCCGGCATTGCCCTCAGCGTCATCGCCGGCTTTGCCCGCTGCGTCATCGCCGGCATTGCCCGCTGCGTCATCGCCGGCTTTGCCCTCTGCGTCATCGCCGGCATTGCCCGCTGCGTCATCGCCGGCATTGCCCGCTGCGTTCTGGCTGTTGTCGCCGCCGGCGCCGGCGCTAGAGCCGCCAGCGGTGTCGCTAGAGCCCCCTGTGCCAAGAATGGTGTCGAGGATGTCACCATCGCTGCCGCCATTACCGCCCCCATTGGCATCCCCATTGCCGCCGGCAATGCCGCCGCTATTGTCGCTGTCATCGCTGTCGCCGCTGCCGCCACCGTTTCCGCCGCCGCTGCCGCCGCCGCCGTTGCCACCGCCGCTGCCGTCGTCGCTGCCACGGCCGTTGCCGCCGCCATTGCCACCGCCATTGCCGCCCCCAGCTCCGACGCCATTACTGACCCCATAGCCGCCGTTAGCGGCACTTGCCGCTTTATTTACAGGTTGGGGAGGGCAACGGCAACGGCAAACGGTAATTCCACTTGAAACGCGGCCCGAATTAAACAGCGCGGCCTTTGACAATTTATCGAACTAACTACATCATACTATATCATTAAGAATTGGTGAACGGGGAAACCGTCTCGAGAGGTTGAGAACTGCAGAGTGGGGCGGACAACAACGGAGATGAAGCTACAAAACGACCGCGAAATCCAGAAACGATGACCCATGGAATAAGGCACGCCGCCGCCGCAGGGTCGTCGAAGTTTTCGTGCAGTACATCGAAGTGCCGTTAACTAACCAATGGAAATAAACCGCAGCATGGCAGCAGCTGCAGTAGGAAACCGCACTAACCAATATCGGTCCCAGGAACAGGCCTTGCAATCGCCGTGGGAGGACCGCGGCCCGGGATGGCCGCCAGCAGCAACACCGCCAACAAGGACAGGAACACCGCGGTGAGGAGCCGCGTGGTGGCGCCGCTGCTGCGCGCCGCCATTTATCAACTGATACTGCTGGTGCCGCCGGAATTCAGGAGCGGCGCCGCCACAGTCGAATATTTGAAGGGACAGACCACTAAACTGGGCTTCTAGGCGGCAGAAGAGCCGGAGGCGTTATTAGTGTCGAGTCATGTAGTTGTGTTGTGGAAAAGTGCAGCTCGGATTACCCCTAGTAGTGGCCCCAGGTGGAGGGAGTCTAACAATAATGCAAATCAGCCGCGGCTAAGCTTCCAAGATTCCTTCGTAGGAAAGAACTTTTCGTATATTTCCGGGACGTGCCGCAGCGCAGCGCAGCTGCCACGTCATCCTGCCGTACACGATTACACACGACTGAGCTGACTGAATTGCCAACGCTGAGCTCCTTTCAATTCACGTGGAAGGCAGCGGGGCATCTCCTCCATCAAGCCTCCAGCGACACGCACAACCAAACTAACAACCCGCAATAAAGGATTCCATCACCGTGCAAGTTTAATTTAATCAAACGCAATCAAAAGGCAGCAGTAAAACTTCGGATTCAAATCTGTCGTTTACGCTAAATTGCATTCACGGGACTGAAGGCGTACGGCATCGGGACCGACCCTTGGGTCACTCGCCGCGTGTTCCCTTAACGGTCAGCAAGAGACCTGTTTTAAGAGTACCTCAGTCACTGTCTGGGACGGGCAAGGAAAAAATGCATCTGGGTTCATCCCCTGAGCGAGGTGGGAGTCCACCCAACCTCCCGACCCACCCACCAACGAGGTTTAAAAGGAGCAAAATATGGGTGAACCCCCCCCCCCCCCACACACACCCCCACCCGCCCCGCCAGCCAGGAAATGCCGGCCGGGTGGCGTAGCACGTGACACGTGCGTCCTGCTGCATTGCTGCTGCTCTCTTCGGTGCGCAATTCCTCTTGGGGTCTGAAGAGGGCACTCACACATCCCGTTGCATCCCCCCGAGAAGGCTGGGGGGGGGGGAGAGAGAGGGTCCAGGGAGGGCTGTTGCCGTACCGGCAGCAGTTCCACCGCCACAGCGCCAGCAGATAGAGGCGGCAGCCGTAGGAGCCCCAACCGGGTGTGAAGCGCAAAACTGCAAGACTCCATCTCCACCCTCCCGTCGCTCTCGGCGCAATCGGGTTTGGCATTGCGCACGCAGTTTCAAGTACACACACCAGAGCATCACAGAGTGACACCCCCTGGTTCAACCATGGAGGGGAATGCACATCCTTGACTGTCGTCATTATTACGGCAAAGGCACATATGCACCCATTACATAGGGAAAGGGAGGGATACTACACGTGTACATGTCCGCAATGGTGAATCAACAGCCTCGTGTACGGCATCACACGCTGCTGTGACCGAGTCGCGCTGCAAATCACCCAACAGTGCATATCACCCAACAGCCAGTTATGCCAGTTCTTTCATTTCAGAGACCTCCAACCGACGTAGGCAGTCCGCAGACCATGAAAACCCTAAATCCCATTTCTCGCATCGCGCTGGTGCCGGGGGCTGAAGGCCATCTGGTGGCAAACGACCGTATCACTCGACACATGTCGCGGCTCTGGGGCACTTGCCCGTTGGCCTCCCCCCGGCGGTCTGTTGCATCAGGAGCAAACCACGACTGCATGCATCAAACTGTATACATCAGCAAATTGTACTATATATACTTCAGACTGCCAATCAACAGAAACGCGACGACGACTCCACGAACATCCACCACATACTCGGTTTCACTAACTACCCCGACCTACCGCAACTACCGCAACTACCGCAACTACCGCAACTACCACAACTATCATTACCAGGGGTGCACGTGGCCAGGCCAGACCCCTAACCCTTTCCCCCTACCTCCCTTGATGCTTGCATGAACACCGCACTGCTTTGTGCTATCCAGGCATGCAGGTACTGTTCCGGGATTATGTGTGGCGTGTGGCGTGTGGCTGGGTCTTCCGCACCCCGGCCCCTTCCTTGACCGCCACCTCAGCCACGCGGTGCCGGTGCCGGTGCCGGCGCCGTGAAACCGGGCAGCGGTTGGAAGGCTGGGAAGGGGCTGGGTGAGAACGGGGGGAGCTGTGGGATGGACGGGAAGGGAATGAAGGCGCCCGGCCCCGCCCCATGTGCCCCGATGATAGGCGGCGACGACGGTGATGGCGTTGGACCTGGCACCACTGTCGACGGCAGAACCGAGGCGCGTGGCGATGGCCACGGCAGCGGCGACGGCGACGGCCGCGGTGACGGCGACGGCTGTGGGCTGGCGGGCCCCGTAATGTTGCCCTCGGTACGAGCGGGCGCTGGGGCAGTCACATTACTGCCCTCGGTTATGTTGGGGGAGCTGCTGACGGGGCGTGTGGCGCTGGTGGTCGCGTTGGTTCCCCTGGGGACATAAGGCCCTTGCTCTGGCTCGCCCTCGACGAGGAACCCCGCAATGGATGCCTCCTGAAGGAGGCTCCTGCGCCTGTTGGCGTTACTGCTTTTGCACAACCCCTCAGCAGCACCGGCTACGTGAACCATGGTTAAATATTTCGCACACGGTTGCGTAGGAAAGGGGGTAGGCAGGTCCACAGCAACGCGGCAATTTAGTAGTCTGCAGTGCCCACATTTGCCAAGGCGGCATGCAAGCTAATGAGGAAACTAATAAGCAACAGACCGAAACGGCGGTGCTGCATTCTTTTTTGCATATTGTCCGCATCGCCGATGTTTCGCGAAGGGTACCAAAAGGGCGCGGCCACATAGCTGGACGCAGAGGAGGATAAATCCGTTCACTCCTCATTAAGGCAACAGATGAATGCACAACAAGAAAACGAAGCTGCCTATCACCAGACTTTTGACCATACTTGCCGTCTCCAAAACTTGATTTCGGCAGCTGCCTGCCGAAAACAGCTCGAGGTGGCCACGTCGACAGCAGGAGCACCGTCGCAAGAACGACCGTGAAGGCCCTTCCCTTCGCCAGGACCACGTTTCTGCCGCGCCATCCGCCTGAGGTCGCCATACTTCTTTTTACCTTTCAACTATCTCCTCGGTTTTGTTCTAGCTTTTCGAAAATCAGCGCATTGTCTACACTTTTAATCGCTGACAAGTGGACAAGCCTTATACTCTGCAATTTACTTATAAACACTTTTTTGGTATGCGCACAATGCGCTTAAGTCCGATGTTGTTGAAGCGCATCGTCACGCACTTCCAGATCAAGCGATTACCCCTTCATGCGTCATCACTTGGGACTCACATCGCTGGCTTCGCCGCCGCTGTGCGCTGTGGCAGCTCCTGCTGCTGGCACCCCCACTATCAACTTTAGTTCCATGCACAAAGCAAACCACCACCAGCGCTCGGACGCGGCCAGGGCCGCCCCAGCTGCCCCTTCACAGCAGCCAGCCTGACAGCTGGAGCGGAAGCGGGCGCTATAGGGAGGAACAACACCTCCCCTCCTTCGCCGCCAGCAACACCACCCGCGACCCGTGGCTCAGTGTTGGGCCCTGTAGATGCTGGCGGAGCGCATATTTATCGATGTTATGTGTGCCGTAACCGGTACAGCATCTACATTCCCCCCCTCTGAATGGGTCCGTCTCGAGGCCTTACAGGCCCATACACCGGCCGGTGCCTGTGCCTACCATCGCCTACCCCGGGGCTGTGGGTGAGCAATCCACGTCACGCCACGTGTCTCGACGCACATCCCACCAGCCGTCTATAAGTTTACCAGTGAATTACAGCAAAGGCGTAACCTGGGATACGCCTTTGCTATATTACAATGGTATCGAGATGGGACTGCACGATTTCCGTAACAAACTTCGGCGGTTCGATTCTGGCAAACAGCATTACGCAAATTGGCGATTTCATGGTGTAGTGGCACACTGGCGCGAGGTGGGATGGCTCCTGTGCTCGAAATAATAGCCGAGGACGTCCATTGCTAAGTGGGGGGCAATGTAACGATGCAAATGCCAATTTGAGCATCCCCGGTTACGCCTTTGCTGTGTTACAACCAGGCACAGAGCCTTCCCAGTCAATCACAACTGCAAAATCCTATCACAATATTCACGCAGAGGATCGTCATAGTCTACCTGGTCATCCGCCACGAGATTTATTGTGTAGTACCGGCTGGTGCTGGTGCTGGTGCTGGTGCTGGTGCTGGTGCTGGTGCTGGTGCTGGTGCTGGTGCTGGTGCTGGTGCTGGTGCTGGTGCTGGTGCTGGTGCTGGTGCTGGTGCCGGTGCCGGTGCCGGTGCCGGTGCCGGTGCCGGTGCCGGTGCCGGTGCCGGTGCCGGTGCTGGTGCTGTTGGAAATGACCGATACTCATATACCAGTGAATGGTAGCCACAGTAATAGGACCCAACGGGGGTCCGGCGCTTTGCTGGTCTTAACAAGTTATGAGCCCCGAATGGCGCATTGCGCTGCCGAGAGGTCGCCGGATAGATACCCACTGGCTGTTGACCAGAGAATGGGAGACTGGGATGAGGCACGGGAAGTCCCGGAGCGAGAGAGTGTCGCTCACGGGGGGGTGTTGGAAATGACCGACACTCATATACCAGTGAATGGTAGCCACAGTAATAGGACCCAACGGGGGTCCGGCGCTTTGCTGGTCTTAACATGTTGGTGAGACGCTATCTCACAGGGACCTAGCAGACACGACTAAGGAGACATTAGCCGTTACACGTATTCGGGAGATCCGCGACCTACCACCGAAAGCCCCTTTGCCTAGGCGTAAACGTGTGAATCTGAGGTACTGTTACCGATAAACAACAGAGACTTATAAAGGCTTGGAAAGCCTATCCCAAAGGACGAGAGCTATCAGTACGCTAGAACCTAATAGTCATTATGACGGGCCTCCCGAGACAGGTCCAAAGCTGTTGGTCCAAAGCTGTTACTCAGTCTAACATGCGACCTCAGACCGGCCACAGCTGTCACTCACGACAGCCTGACAAGTTACCCAAACAGGCCACAGGGCGACACGGCAACCCTTCGCATCAACACGCCCCCTCGTGTCGTGCGGTGCTGGTGCTGGTGCTGGTGCTGGTGCTGGTGCTGGTGCTGGTGCTGGTGCTGGTGCTGGTGCTGGTGCTGGTGCTGGTGCTGGTGCTGGTGCTGGTGCTGGTGCTGGTGCTGGTGCTGGTGCTGGTGCTGGTGCTGGTGCTGGTGCTGGTCGTGTTGTTGTTGTTGTTGGTGGTGGTGGTGGTGGTGGTGGTGGTGGTGGTGGTGGTCATTCTGACCGCAGCTATGTGTGCCGATGGGTGTCCCGTTGTTGATGGGTTGCGTGCTCCCCTAAAGCTATAGGCAGGTGACCACAATCACCGGCGCCTAATGTGGCCCCTTCAGGCCCTCACGGAGGGCTACACAGTGTTTGGCATGACCGTTCGTATCCGTAAGTATGAGGTTGTCGACTTTCACCCCAATCAAACTTTGCATGCGTGAACTGGGAGCCTTTGTAAGGTCGGTATGCAGCGAGCAGTGGGAAACACTGTGCACTTTGGAGAGATGCCGTGCGTTGGCAGGGCCAGGCATTTAGGGCCTCATTACGGGCCGGATGCCTCTTTCGAATCCTGCATTGGTGAGCACAGGATAGCGCTCAAGTCTTTCGAAGTGCAAATTAGATCCATTCTGCCGAATGGAGTCCAGGTGTGGGGACAGCATTCGTTGAACGACCACCCGGCGCAACTGGGCGGTCCTGCAACTTTGAAAAGGTCTCTAGAGAATCGCATGGGTGAGCTGCAACGCACATTTCTGAAGCATCTCCCTAGGTTAGGGAGGATACCGGATAATCGTGTGTTGTTTAGGGGGTTTTGTAAATGGCCCCCCACCCCTTCAATGGGCCTCACTTCTTTACCGATCTTTGAACAGGGTTATCCTGGCTAAGGGGACTGTATTCTACAATGTAGTGTGTGAGGAGATACATTTTTAGGGGTCTCAAGTCCTTAAGGCACTTCCCTGAGCTGCACCCGGACCTGGATGAAGAGAGGAAGGTCAATTCATTTCGTCGAACCCGACACATGTTTTAGATCTGTCATTGAAACGTTGAAGGAGCGATTTGATGATGACTGGTAGAACCTACGTTTCCTTACTGCACCCCGGGAATATGTATCGGACAACCATAAATCAGGGATTAAGATGCGGCCGCGATGGGAGAGCCCACTTGGTGCGGGGCATGAAGGGGAAGCCCTACGGCTACTTGGCGCGCACGCCACATTTGCGGCCGAAGTCGTGTACGAACTTCACCATGTCATCCGAGGAGACGATCTGTAAGTATCCTTCTACAAAATATTGATTTGTTTTCCTCGGCTAGCGGGGATCGGAATCTGGATGGAAAGCTGGCTCATATGAGCATACATGCATCTGCATCTAGGCACACGAAGCCTCAGGCGCTCACGGCGCCTGCTTCGACGGCTACTTGGCGCTCTTGGATTCCACAGCTACCAGGCGCACACGGCTCGTTTGGAGGCTTTCATCGTCACCCCTGTTGATGTTTTGGCCTTATCCCCTCCTGCCTTCATCGACACAGCCGCACCCTGGTGGCACCTAGTGCGGCCGGAGGCAAGAACGACCGCTACCATGTCTTCAGAGGGGACTATAAAGTAAATACACTTGTAAGGTGAATGGGATTAGGTTTCAAGGCTGGGGGGGATGGATTCATAGGGTTGAGGTAAGGGGAGGTAATGCGATCACTTGAGGCGAGGCATGAAGGGAAAGCCCGCTGTGCAGGATGCGAAGGACAAGACCATGGTACAGGGCAGCAACTCGTGACTAGGGAGCCCGTGATGTGCGGCCTTTCCCACCAGGCCGTGATGCATTGCCTGTGTTGGTAACGGTGTCTGGGTACATACCCATCGTACGAAATGGGGGCCCCCGGTCTGCCCCATGGGTGTTTCAGCGGGTTCAAGTCCCGCATTGATCGAGGTATGTGGTTCTCGTTTGCTTATGCTTTGATGATATGGCAGAACAACATGTTGACAGGGGGATACGCCACACAATCGTCTTGCACAGGATTTTCACAACGTTCATGTCAGTACAACGTGGATTTGGTTCTCTTGCATTTGGATGCGCGTCTTTTGATCCCGTCACGCACATGAACATGTCCGAGGAAGAGCGGCGTGGCTACGAGGAGGAGGAGGTGGCAGATGTGGCAGATGTGGCGGAGGTGGTTGCGGCAGAGGTGGATGAGGAGCGGCGCCTCCTCGGCTTTGGGTAACACCCTTGCCGGAACCGTTGCCCCCAGGCCCCATGATCCCAAAGAAAAGCAAATACGTTGTTAAAACCAGCCGATCTAGCCGATGTAAGCCACCTTAAATTTACCCCGAAAACCGCTTGGGACAGTTTCGGGGCGCCCGAGGCAAACAGGGAGGTTTTCGGTAGGTTATTCAGAGGGTTTCGGGCACAACCGAAACTTTTGGGTACCCTGGTGAAGAACCCTGAACTTAGCCTACGTCCCCAGGCCGTACATCATCCATTCCTTACGGGCACTGTTGGGGGTGGGACCATAAGGGAGGTGTATCGGGACAGACTATAGGGATATCATTGTCAGAGTAGCAGGCAGGCAGCACAGCCAGTAAGATATCGCCAGCTATGCTACAGGCGCAAGCATGCTTCCTTAGCCCCGGCTATAGATTATATACCCCTGCAATTATCATGGGCTGGCTGGCTTGCTGCCTGTGCAGGACCACACTTTTAGCTGTTTCCCGCCCTTGCTGCCGTACTGGACAGCTTACACCGCCCACATCCATCCGGGTGGCGAGCCGGAGTGCTTGTCACCCGCCACAAAGAAACACGGCACACCTTTCTTTAGTTGCCTTATCGCTTAGGGGTCGTACAGACGGAGGGGTACCTGCAGGCAGGAAAGTTGCGCTTGCCTTAGGGTTTGATCTGCCCTCCGCTTTCCCCTCCTCCCCCTCCTCCTCTCCCCTCCCCCTCCTCCTCTCCCCCGATGTGTTCCCGCGCTACATGGCGGCACGGGTTGCCCTGCCTAGCACAGGGCCGCAGCACACACATCTGTCCGACTACGTGCTTAGGGCACCCTGGACGACCGCCTCTGAAAGACACCCGCACACCCGCACACACACAATCGTTTCACATGAACAGAGTTCTGACGCAAACTACGTACTTCTTACATAGATTCATAAGCATGTGTTATATGTGTACAGCTTACAACCTTGCTGCTGCTTCAGGCAAGGCAAAGATCCTTACATCGTCCTTGTGACTTTCAGGATCGATCCATTGGTATTTCAAGATCGATCACCTTGGTATTTACAATCATTGGGCGACATTAATCACCCTTCATTGCACTCGGTGCCGACGGATAGTGGTATGCCGTTAAGTTGACTTGTGAACTGGCCAGGAATGGATTTGACCCTGCTGTCGATCTGGCGGCAGATTCTGCTGGATGCTGGTGGTCGGTGCTGAACCCGGGAGATATATCTAACCGAATTATTGTTACCAAAGTTGGCATGTGTGACAAGGATTAAGATGGACGAATCATAGAGGAAGCCAGGGACTGCCGCTGGCCGCTGTTGGTAGGGTCGACACCCCCCCTCCTTCACATGTTCATATCCCGGAGAGAGATGATGCGATAACGCCGCCGCCACTGGCGACTCTGGCAAGCAGCCTGACGGAGTCAGATAGAGGAGGTCAGGGACCGACCTCACCTGCCTGCTGTAGTAGCTGGTGTCGACTTCTGCCTGGCTGCCTGCCTGCCTGCGGTCTGGATACCCGCGGGTCCGGTCGGGCTGTCAATGAGGTTGGAGGCCCAAGCAAGGAAAAAGCCGACCAAAACAACGACGTAACCAACGACCTGATCGCGGATAATAACACCATTATTCTAAGACCCCATTTGCCATTTTCCAGACCAGCCGTGAAAGAAAGGGTCGGCCATATGTTACAAGGTACAAGTTCCGCAGGAATGCGGGGGGTGTGTCCATCAAAGCCCGATTAGGGGCCATGGACTTTATATATTGAAAGTTGATTCCGCTTGTGCACGTGACTCCCCCGCGACAACCCCCCGACACCGACACCTCGCAGCA